AACAGGACAACAGGACAACAGGACAACAGGACAACAGGACAACAGGACAACAGGACAACAGGACAACAGGACAACAGGACAACAGGACAACAGGAAGAACTACCATGGCTCTGAGACGACAGGGCATCTTACCATCACTCGAATACCAGCACGAGTTACGAACAACTCATCATTCATTGACACAACCTGACAGCCACCCTGGAACGGAAACCTGAGCATGGTCGACCGTTGCACGTGGCCATGACCAGACGAGTCTACTTATTTTTCTCATTTCATTCAACACTGTCGTTTGTATTAGATAGATGACTCGAGTCACGTAGAATTCACACTCTTTCATTCATGGCAATTAACGAACATTCTCCCTCCAGTCCACGATGGGTTCCAGTCTCATCCTCCACCGTCTGTATATTGCTCATACATGCCACCCCTGACGCCTTCACTCCTCATCTTCGCAGGCTTGAAGAAGAATTTCCACACCACAGCTTGACGATCGGAAGATCCGTCGCCTCTCCCTACCCTACCCTCGCACGAGCCGCGCCACCAGCGAGTGGTACGGGCAGCACGATACGTTTGTTCGACTCCCAGAAGAGCAGGCTCGTTCGCGTGGACCTCCGATACCCTACTTACCAACCTAGGTACATATGTACCTACCTACGTCGTAGTGCTAGTGCGTGGGTATGAGAAAATGAGAAAGCCATGCAGGCATCAGGCATATTCGATGAAAAAACGTCCAACATACAACACGCTCTATTCTTCAATATGTCCATGGAATTACAGAGTGAGTACGGAGTACGGAGTACGGAGTACGGGGGACCTGGATCGCCCAGAGCATTCCCATTGCGATTCCGATTCCGATTCCGATTCAGGCATCAAGACATCCATCCATCTGCCTACTCAGTACAGTGCCCAACTCCCGACTCCTGACGCTATCTAGTACAGAACCCGCGCTAAAACCAGAACTAATTAGTAGAAAAAGTTGAAAAACGAGCAGAAGTAGAAGTACAATTAGAAGTTACCATTACTCGCATCACGCCTCACGCCTTAATTAATTGGCGACTCCTTTCCTCGTCCGCACTAACTACGAGCGTCTAACGAGGGATGTCTACCTGTACTTCGTCGCTTCCGCTTCTTTTTCCGCGTCCCTATCTTCTCAGCCCGGCTTTTGGACTCGCCTTCTCGTCTACGGGTATGAGTACGGGTACTAGGGCTTCGGCTTCGACTTCGACTTCGACGCCTTGACCGACTCCGACTCTGCTTCTCACGCGTGACCTCCCCTGTCGCGTCACGTTCGTTCACAATCATGGTTCCATGTTCTCCTTCACGTCCTTCTTCGATCCCGAGAATCCCGGCCTTGCTCTTCATCCTCCGCGCGGCTGGGCCGAGCTTGTACATGCTCAGCGGGTCGGAGTGGTCGACCAGCGGACTTGGCTTGAGTGGAAAGAGCCAGTCGAGCAGCGTATGTCCCATTACTTCTTTGAAGTTGCCGGCTGGGCCGATGTCGAAGGGGTTGGCTCCGGGCGGGGATTCGAGGATGGCAAAGGTACGAAGTTCGCGGGTGCGCGGCGAGGAGGAATGTGATGACGGCATATTGGTGCCGTGGTGGGAGGGGGAGTTTGAGTTTGAACTGGGATTAGGATTTGGTTGTGATGGGGATGAGGATGAATTAGCCGGTGAGGTTGTTGTGGTCGCATTTCCACCTTGATGCGGTGGGACTGCTGATGGCGATGGTGGTGGTTGTGGTGGTGCTGTGGACACGTCGGGATGGTACGTCCTCTGTGGCGAGGCAGGCCCATCATATCCCTGCCGAGTAAAGGCCTGGTCACTGTCGTTGGACAACGTGGCGCCGTGGCGCTGCAGGATCTCGAACCGCTCCTCCGGTGGACGCGGGTAGCTGATCAGTCTGAGATCCGAGTGGCCCGAGGTATGGTACCTCTCCAGCGCCCGAGGCGGCAGATAGATGGCGAGATACCAGATCTTGGTCTTGCGCGTGAAGTTCTCGATGGTCGTCGAGTTCAGGACCGCGAACTGCAGACTCGACCCGCACATGCCGGCCGTGAAGATGAAGAACAATCCCGCAAAGATGAGCGTCAGGAGCCAATGCACATTGAGGAAGCCCGGTTCCTCACCGCGCCGCCTCGCGAAGTAATAAGCCATCACGACAAGCGTGTGCAGACAGAACAAGGCCGCCCAGCCGGTAAACTGGATGAAGAACTTGAACGACGTCTCCGAGATGATGCCTCCTACCCAGGGGCAGAAATGGTCCATCTTCAACACACAGCGGCCGAGTTCGCGGCAGTGGTGCGCCCGGTCGGGCTTGTAGTTGTAGCACGTCGAGCAGAAGGGCGGGCGGCCGTCCCATCCACACACGAAGACATCTTTCTGCCAGAACTCGTGCGCGCGGAAGCCTTGGGCCTCTCGGTCCTGCTTCCGACGGTATTTGCGCGGCGTGAAGCCCGATCCTTCTCCATCGGTAGGAGTATAGCCCAGGGCTTCTTCCTTGCCGGATGGAGTTATTCTTCTCTCGTCGCGGCGCTTCCTTTCCTTCTCGATCCAGTATTGTTCGCCGCGCGGGACGAGGCCCGGCCTCGTGAGGATGGTACCGATGAGGCGGCCGAAGCATGCCAGTGTGATGAGGAGGAGGACGTAGAAGATGACTAGGACCGCGACGGCCGCGCCGGTGTCGCCGCGGGAGGACAACGAGTCGGGTGGGTTAATCAGGTACTTGAGACAGATTCGATCCGTGACCACCCAAGACGAGTAGCCTATGATGCCGAGCAGTAGCAGCGGGACTATTCGTGCCGTGACAACATTGCCTCGCTTGTTGGCTTCACCTGGGCGCATCGACTTCATCGCGAGGATGGTGCCGGTTGACGGCTGAGTTTGTTGTCAGCGGGCACAGCAGACACGGCGCTGTCACCGGCGGGAGGGCGCGCCGGAAACCATTGAGCCGGCTATATTCGACGCAGTATAGAGTCAAATACAGACTGGAATCGACGCTGGTTCACCTCAGGGGAGCCTGTGTTATGGTGTCAGGTTCGAGAACTGGTGGTGCTTGGAAGTTGGAAAGTGACGTTGTCGCCTCTCGGCCGAGAATGTCCGGAAGACGCTTTCAGCCACAGTTGATTGAGATTGCTGCCGATGATGCCACATATCATTCCGGTCTCTTCTTCTGGATTCATATTTTGATTATTGGCTAACGTGATGACAACGACTGTCAATCTGTACCTGATCGCGGATCTTCCGTCGTGGAATCACCGCAACCTCTATCTAAATCCTAGCATTCAACCAGACGAATTGGCTGCCAGACACTGCCCACCAACGGAACCCAGTCAGTATCGTTCATGACTGGTTGCGCTCCGTTCAAGCCTTCTCGATCTTCTCCCGGAGGATGCCCTTCAGCGTGACGGCATCCGCAGCAAATTTGCTGATACCCTCTCGGAGCTTCTCGACGGCCATTTGCTCTTCGTTGAAGTCGAAGCGGAACGTCGGCTCGTCGTTGATGTAGCTGCGCCTGGGGATATCCAGGCTATGAGCATCTTCGGCCTTCAACTTCTGCGGCACCTTGTCCTGTGAGTTGTAGAGATCCTCGAGCAAGTTGGGAGAGATGGTCAAGTAGTCACAGCCAGCAAGCTCCGTGATCTCGCCCACGTTTCTGAACGAAGCACCCATGACGATGGTCTTGTAGCCGTATTTCTTGTAGTAGTTGAAGATGGACTGCACACTCTTGACACCGGGGTCTTCGTGGGCCGGGAAATCCTTCTTCATCGCGGCCTTGTACCAATCGAGGATTCGGCCGACAAAGGGGGAAATCAGGAAGGCACCGGCTTCGGCGGCAGCGATGGCTTGCACCAGGGAGAACATGAGAGTCAAGTTGCAGTTAATGCCTTCCTTCTGCAGGATCTCCGCGGCCTTGATACCTTCCCAGGTCGAGGCAATCTTGATCAAAACGCGGGACTTGTCGATGCCGACTGATTTGTAGAGCTGTGCCTCGTTAATGCGGCTCGGGTGGTATCAGAAACGGCTAAAATACCTCAATGATATGGCGAGCCTTCTCCACCGACTTCTGGGTGTCGAAAGAGAATCGAGCGTCCACTTCGGTCGACACTTTACCGGGGACAATCTGCAAGATTTCTTTGCCGAACTCGACCAGTAGTCTGTCGAGTGTGGCGTCAACCTGTTCGTCGATGTCCTTGCCCTGGTGCAATAGACTCAGTAAATTCCCAACCTGGCAGAAATGCTGCCCAACGTACATGTTTCTTTCCGTACTCAACCGCAGGATCAATCAACTTGGCATATTCGGGTTTCTTGGAGGCGGCGAGGATAAGGGAGGGGTTGGTGGTGGCGTCTTGGGGCTTGTACTTCTCGATCGCTGCGGCATATCAGCAATGATACCATGTCGACGAAGAGCTGAACTCACTGTGGAAGTCACCAGAGTCGCAGACAACTGTCTGTCGAGCTCGGTCAGTCTACAAAGCCATTGAAACGCCGGGTCCGGCGGGGTCAAAAGCATACAGTGCCAGTGGCCTTGAGCTGCTCAAGAGATGAAGTCATGATTGCGGATTCAGATAGGCTTTAGGGTAGAGTGTGTATAAGTCTGGAATTCAGAGGTTCGGTCGACTTGGGTAAAAATTTCTGGATTACGAGGTCGGAATGCTTTTATCATGCAACTTGGGCTTCGCATCAGTTTCAAAGCCCGCAGCTTGTGACGATTAGGTGGGGCACGCCGTGACCCCTCGACGGGACCCTCACGGATAAATGAGCATTGGCCTCTGTTGGCTCTGTTGGCTCTGATGGCCCCGGAGTCTGTTTTGCTTTGCGCTTTGGGTTGGTTGAATGGGCACCACCCCAACGTAATTGCGCGGTTTTCGTTCACTTTGAACCTCTCTATCGCCTCCCTCACCGGGTGGTGTTTCGACTGCTATCATCCAAGCGTGTCCTACCCTGCTCTGTGATGATCCTCTTCCCGCCTGCTCATGCCACCACAACTCGCTAACACTGACGCGTTTCCGAGGAGGCCGTGCCACGAGCTGCCTCCCCTCAGCATATGCATTGAGCAGCTCCCTCCACCGAATCACGCATCATGAAAAGCTTACCTCAACCAGGATCAGTGACTAAGCGGCTGAGCTTTGTTAAGTCTGTCTCGACACATGACCCGCCACCCGTTTGCTCCATGCAGCATCTCGGCAAAGTTTTGCCACTATTGACCACCGGCTCGTTGCGGGCACGGCGTGGGAGAAGCCAATTCAGTATCCCGCATCTGATTCTTACCCAGGATGAAGTCAGCATAGCTTGGCACTGGTGGCCCTCTAGCTGGCACGGCGCAGCGCTGGCGGGTAATAGCGTGACTTCGTTGCTTGTCTCGAGAATTAACAATTATTGGTATATTTATGTACTGTAGTTCCAGCTTTCTGAGCACCCAGATGGCCGTCTGAGTTATCTGAGCTCATCTTTCCCACCGCCCCTTGCGACTATTCGTGCATGTCATGTGTAGATTTCAATACAAAAGACGAAGTGAATGAAACCCAGAATGGTATCATTTGGCTCAGGTGAAACGTCAGTCAGAAAGGGAAATCTGTTAGTCTGTAAGTCCGAAGACTTTGCGCAACATAGGAAACTTTTTCTTCTTCCCACTGCGTCCAATCGCCTCCCCGGACTGGCTCGTATTGCGCATGCTTCCTTGGTTCAGCCTCGTCGTGCCATTTCGCGTTGGCGGTCCATCGGCGGTGGTAGGCCGAGGCTTTTCATCGGCCAAGGTCGACGGTAAAGGCCAGGAGTCGCTCATGACCCGCTCTGGCATATGACGCCGTTGTAGTTTAGCATGTCCGTGCTGATGGCCACCCGGGTGTTCTTGTTCTTTTGCGGCTTCCAGCTTAGCCCTGGTCTGCTCGATCATCCTGTCACGCTCCGCAGCAGAGGAGAAACCCAGTCTTGACGGTTTGCTTGTGTCCGTGGGTGTTTTCGGCAGGGTCGAGGCTTGCGGGGATTCAGCGACTGGCGAGAGGGCCTCATCCTTGGGCTTCTTGCTGCGGAATAATCCAAGCAATCCGCGCTTTTTCTCACTATTGGGCGATAAAGCTTCGGTACTGCTGGCAGGCGCGGATCCATGGCCTTGAGGGACCTGGAGTTTGGGTGGAGTTTTAGCTGCCGGCGTAGGCTGATCCTCCTCTGAGCTATCATCCAAGTCGGTCGATTCGTCATCATTGTTCCTCCGAGGAATACCACGTACCGGAGCGAATTGCGGAACCTCTACCTCGTCGTCGCTGTCGTCGTCAAACCGCGAGCGGAATTTACTAGGGCGAGGCTCGTCGTCTGAGTCGTCCGAATCAAGGATACGAGACCTATTGTTCTGCTTGAAGGCTGTGGGAAGCGGAGGGTTGCTTCTTTGTTGGCGGCCAAGCATCGAGGAACTTCTTCTGGTTTCGGCCGAGCCACGGAGGGTTGGGGTGTTGTCAATGGAAGCTCTTAGAGTTGTCCTCATGGGACGAGAACTATCTGGCGGAGAGAATGGTCGCCTTCCGACAGGTGAGACTGATCGTGCGCCGTTGCGAGTGTCACCACGCAAGGTTGGATCAGCTGCACCACGCATGCTTCGACGCATCGTGTACTTGCCACCCGACGTGGATTTACTGCGACGAGCCTTCCTGAATGAACTTTCCGAGTCACTATCATTTGTCACGCGTTGTGGTGCAGGCTTGGGCCAAGGGATAGGTGCCTGCACTGCAGCAGCTGTGGCGAGAGGTATATGTTTCTTTTGCAAGGCGGCGCGTGGTTGGCTTGGCGGGGTTATCACTGCGGGTGGTGCAGTTCGTTGCTGTGGTACCGCACTGGCTGGGGCAGGCATAGACTTGCGGGATTCGTTGCGCATGGTTCTCCGAAAGCCAGGTTCGACCTCTGGAGGTGAGCTTGCTCTCATCGAGTGCCGGAACGGTGCAGCCGCGGCGGCAGTATGCCCAAGACTCGGTGTGGCAACAGCGGGATAGGGAGAACTCTGATTCTTCTGCCGGAGAGGCGAATCCGGTAGCCCCTGCGCAACCGCAGACGCAGCTGGCACAGAAGCGGCGGCAGCGATAGCAGCAGGTGTTTTCTTCTTGCGCCTGGGTTGTTTCGCAGCAGGCTGCAAAGCCGGTGATTGTGCGGAGCGTGAGGCCTGGGCGGGCTGCGATACCTGATCGTAGACACTCGTCGCATTAGGCGGATTTGCTCTTTCAGACATTTGCCCAGATGCAACCTGCGGTGTCGACTGCACAATGGGAACAGACGCCGCCAGCACTGGTTTATCTACTCCAGTAACCTCCTGAGATGGTCCCTGTCGTGTCTGATGCGCAATTCCACTCCACCGCGCCCGTGTCTCTTCCCAAGACTCGCTCGGCAAGGGCCTTCCAACAGGAGCTGGAACATGCGCCAACGGACTTTCTGGTGGAGGAATATCATGCCTCGGTGGAGGAGCGACGGGACTTTCCAGGATGGCATCGATAGAAGCGAAGCCCATCCGTTCCATCTCCGAAGGATCCTCTGCTGCATCACTATAGATACTGTCATTATCCGACACGTCTTCATCGCTCTCTTCTGCGGCTGCTTTTCGGCCTTGTGGATCTCTGTTGGACTCATCGAGCTTAGCGAGACTTTCCGCTGATACTGGAAAGCCTCCGGGCACCACAACAAGGTATTGGTCACGTGGCCCATGCTCCTCTCCGGGAGTGGGTGGCGAGACAGCCACAACGGGAACTTCTGTCTGGGGCGGCTGGACAGTCTGCGCACGCTGAGGAGTGACAGGCTGAACAGGCGCTGTTACTTGTTGATTGATGGTCAACGCCGGAGTTGCCTTTTGCATCGTAGGGACCGACACCTCGCGTGGTGCTGGTGTCGGTGTGATGCTCATGGTCGCGTCAGCCTCAGATGCATCACTTTCCTCGTCTGAGTATGACAACACGCCCTCAACGGACCTTACCTCTGGAGGAAGAGGCTCATTTGACTGACTTTGAGCATTCCGGCGTGCGGCTGTTTGGGCTTCTTGGGCTAATAATGCGCCCACAGCGTGGTCGCTTGACACACCTGTTGTGTGAGCAATATGGGCGCTGGACGCCTCAGAAGACGACCCTGAATGAGACAGGATCTTAGCGTCTGTAAGGGGAGAGCGAGTTTCGGCGGGTGACCTCGGTGTTTGAGCTGTATTTGAGTCGTTCGTGTCTTTAAACTTTTGCCCGCGAACGCTGCCAAAGGATGGAAGTTGAGGACGTGGCTTCATCAACTCTTCCATGTCGCCGTTCGAGGGAATGGTGTTGAGGGGCGGCTTATTTTTTCCCAGCCCAAGCCAGCTTTTTCTTTCCTTGCCTGGGCTTCCGACCGGGCTTGAATCATTGACAGGTGTACCGACGATTTCTGGTTGAGCATCGAAGCTCACTCGCACTGACTTCTTTCGTCTTGGAGGCCCATCAAAGGACGCACTGGATATATCAGACGACTCGCTCGGAGTGACACTAGAACCCCGAACTTGTCCGTCGGCCGCTGATGGCGCGGGAGAAGAGTGCTTGAGTGCTGGTTTGGCCGGTGAGATCGATCTTGGGGGAGGTTCGTGTTTCCGACCAGCAGCAAGGTCTGAAGATAGTCTATCTGAGAATCTTGTTGATCTCGACGGGCTCAAAGACGTGCCCCTTGTAGGCTGAGGTCCGGACGCTTGAAGGTGGTTCATGGAAACTGCCGGCGAATCTTCTGCGGCAGGTGCAGCGGATGCAGATTGCTCAGGGGAGCGCGGCCGGTCCGTTGTCGTCGGCAATGGAACTGGTTCCCCAATCTTCCTCGATACATTTGCCGCATTTATAGGGTGCTTGTCTTGCGTGAGGGTTGGCCCGTCTTGCGCCCGCGGATCCATCAATGGACGGTCTTGAGGAGGAGTGCCCTGCTCCTGCTGTTCCCCTTCCCAATCCTCTCGCACAATAGATGGCTGTTTTTGCAGAATACCCGACGCCCTTTGAGTCCTTTTCTCTCTCTTCCGCTCAACATTCGAATCCGAATCGGAGTCTGATCTCGGACTCTCGGCCACAGAAAAATGCGTATTTTCTCCGGAAACCGCGGCTCTTTTCTTCGTTCTCCTGCCAGGCGGCTGATCCTCTGACAAGGATGGCTGTTGGCGCTCTGGGTCGGGTTCGAATGGAGTAACGACCGGGTGGCTTGCCATCGTCCCAGATTGTAAATGAATGCCCTCGACTGTGCCGCCCGCTATCTTCTTTTTCTTCTTTTTGACCGGCTGGTTTGCGGTTTGAGCCAGATCATGCTGGATGCTTGCAGCTTGCACTGGTGAGATAACCGCAGCGACGGCACTTGGTTTCGCATTGCCATTCATACGATCGCCATTCGCGAGTACTGGCGATTGCGCAACCGAGGGCTGTGCCATAGGTGACGGAGATCGGGGTGACAAGGGTCTAGAGAAATTGACCGAATTCCGACTGTCAGTACGTTCAAGGTCATTGCTCTGTGGGACGTAGCTGTTCCTCGGAGCACTCGCTGGCGGCGCCGGCGGCTGAGACGATCCGTATCTATCCAAACTCTGGCCACGATTGTTCGGTCGCACTAAGGAGGGTGAGAGGTCGCGAGGTGGAGGGGCTTCTTGGCTGGATGCTCTTTTCTTTTTCTTCTTGATTGGGGCGGTCGCAGGGGGCGCAAAGTGTTGCGGAATGGTCGGAATCGGCGGCGCCGGCGGTTCTGATCGTGATACTGGGCGCGACGGCGACGGCGACGGCGTCCTGAATGTCCTCTCAGTCATAGACCCGGAACTGCTCTGCCGTTGCAGACCACCTCTTCCTCGACCCCGGGCTGAGTTGGAAAGAGAACCGGAAGAGGCTTGCCTTTGAACCATGCGCTTAGTCTGCACCTGATCTACCGGGACGGGAGGCGGAGACATAGTTCGAAGGGCCTGGGCCGCAGCGGAAGCTGACAGGTTTGCTTGCGAGGATCGGCTACTCAAGAAAGCCTGAGTAGCTGCCTTGTGCGCTGAGGCTGAAGCAGGTGTCTGGGGCCGCTACGGACGAGCGAGCAAATGTCAGCACTTGACAGCTGCGCGGGCAGAATGGGGCGCCGAAAAGTGATTACTTACAGAGGCCGACGCAGACCTGCTTCTCCTGTGGAGGAAACTCATGTTTGCGATGATCACCGAAGGCCCTTCAAAATGGCGTTCCGATCAATGGGTGGTGCTGGTGGTCGCGGGCGGGAGAAGCAGGGCGCAAGTGTTTCAATGAGCCGGTGAGTGTTATCGAAAGGCTGCCTGGGATAAATGCGCCGCCACGGCCCCCATGGCGCTCCGGTCGAGTCCTCCGCCGACAGTCGATGATGAATGGTAGAGAGAAGGAGCTGCGTAGAGAATCGCAGGTCGTGTGGTGTTTGGGAACAACGAGAGCGGAAGGAAATAGAGATGGATCATCGAGCTATCCCAGAGGAGTTTTAGGTGATCCCGTCACCAAGGAATGTGGCTGAGTGGGCCAATAATTTGGGAGAAATGCTTCCCCCATGAAACCACCCGTGCCACGTAATCTACGTCATGTCCCTCCCGTTGCCTCTAATGGGTGTCTAATGATGGTGATGGTGATGGCGGCAGCGGCGGTGATGGGTGGTGCCACATCTACGGAATGGAATCATGCCCCGTGCATTCCTTGTCCATTGCGCGACCGTGTTTTTCCGACAATTCCAGAATATGTCACTCCGGGGTCGACAATTGAAGATCGATCTGACTGCCCAAGTGCGGATGATCCAGCGGCCCCTCCGCATCAAAACATAATTTTCCTCGCACCCACCTCGAGCATTAGATAAAGCTGTACGTAATCTTGTGGGTAGAATTGGTGGAATCACGAGAACTAAGGTGCTGCATTTCTGACCATCACTCATTGGATGTGTTTTTCAACCACAGTCATCAGTACTGGATCGGGTCCTTACATCATTCCGCTCTCATGACTTCAGAGCCAAAGCAAGGCTCTTGACTTGAGTGCACGAGGCCACAGCAGGCAGGCACTTTGTGACATAGCGAGCTCGAAATCAATCGAGTTCAAGATTCAGGGGCCTTCGTGTTCTTCAGCTTCGTGCCCTGTTTGAATCAATTCGGTCAATGTCCAAAACTTGGTCGTGGAGCGACGCCTATTGTCCCTGCTGGTGACGAGAATGTTGCAGGCTTCCGCCTTCAAGGGCTCGCGTGATTACGGCGCGAGGTTCCCATCTGGGTATCTCGTGGACCTCTTTGAGCAGCAGAGCCTTCTCAGACATTCACAAGCTTGCTCGCAAGGTTGTCACTCTTCTTGCGCTTTGCAGTAGGAGCTAGTGATGCTCAAGCTCGAACCGCTCCACGAACTACTCCAGGAACGCCTCCGGTCTTCCTCCGTACTTGGAGATTTACGCCGCCAGGCTGAGCGGACAAACCCTTGTTGAAGACCTGCCTCGGTAGGTACAGTAAGCGCAGAAGGGCGTGATGAGCAAAATGTTCGTGAACGTCCCCGCACCTCGCGAGTGAGCCCTGTATGTGGAATTTGTCAGATTCTTAAGCCCACGCTGTTGTCTCCTCTTTCATTGTCAGGACGAGGTCTGATTGCATCTTGACTCTTTGGCTCCATCGCCAACTCCGTCGACATGGCCTACACCCACCAGGACTCCCCCGCCGACGCCATTGACCCGACTACACTTCCACCGTTGGAACTACCTGCCGGGGTTCAGTCTCGTTTTGTAGATTGTGAGCCTCGCAGCCTCGTTTTTCACATCCTCGAATCGCTCCCTCGGAACATACCACCTTCAGGTCCGAAGCCCAAACTTATCTTATGCATTCATGGCTTCCCGGAGCTTGCCTTCTCATGGCGGTATGTCTTGCCCCTCCTCTCGGCTCGGGGCTATCACGCTGTGGCCTTTGACCAGAGAGGGTACGGCCGCACATTTTCCCGGCGACCGCTCGAAGGGACTTCGTTCCGTCCACTGAATCTCATCAAGGACACCATCACTCTAGTCAGCGCTCTGGGCTATACTTCCGTTTCTTGTGTGGTGGGCCATGACTTTGGCGCCGTCACAGCCAGCCTCTGTGGCCTCGCCCGACCGGACACGTTCAAAAGCGTCGTCATGATGTCTCATCCGTCCCAAGGCGCTGCGCAGTTGCCACTGTCCACATCACCATCATATGGATCGCCCGAGGCATCGCCGCCACCCCCAGAGGACATGGAAATGGCACTGTCGCAACTCCCTCGACCGAGGAAACACTACAAGTGGTACTATTGTACAGCACCTTCGAACAAAGAGATGACATACCCAACAGGAGATGAACTGCACACCTTCCTCCGTGGCTACTTTCACCTCAAATCGGCAGATTGGGATGGTAACAGTCCGCACAAACTGCAGGGTTGGACGGCCGAGGAGCTGGCAAAGATGCCACGCTATTATATCATGGACCTTGAAGATAATATGCGTGAAGCCGTGGCGCGGGACATGGCGAATGAGGATCCCCAAGTCGTGGCTTCACGCTCAAACCGGTGGCTGCCCGATCGTGCACTCGCCGTCTATGTCGAAGAATGGGGAAGGACTTCGTTCCAAGGCGGACTGAATTGGTATCGCATTCAGACACAGCCTGAGATCGCCTCGGATGTGCAGGTGTGGTCTGGCGCCAACATCACCGTGCCCACAGTGTTTGTGAGTGGGAGGCAGGACTGGGGCACGTTCCAAGAGCCCGGGGCGGTCGAGGCAATGGAGAACGGTAAGAGTGTAAAGCATGGCATGTATAGAGGGACCGTCTTGGTGGACGGGGCTGGGCATTGGGTCAACCAAGAGCAACCAGAGAAGTGTGTTCAGGAGATCTTGAAGCTGGTGGCCGAGGTCGAAGGCGAGGCTGTGGACGATGGACCCGGCGTCAAGCTTTGACACTGGGACTGTCGTCCGTGGTCAACCACTGCAACGTCAGGAATTGATTGCGTACCGTGAAACGCGTGTACCGTGAAATGAATTCTTGTTGTCATACTATGAGCAAGATTTCTCCCTGGATACGATGCAACTCCTCCCTGTAATATGCATCCATGGAACTCTCTGACTCTTTGGCCAAGATCACCGCCCCATTTATGATATTTACATATGTGCATCAACCCCAGACGCCTTCGCTGAAATTGAGTGTCAAGGCTGAAAGTCATGATTTCCCCTTACAGACCCTTAGACTGAATACCATTCTTCACCGCCACAGCCCATTGTCACTGTGGCACTCCCGTAGCCATAGCGCTGACGTCCCCGCGGTAACTATGTTGTCCTACGAGAAACCCCTCACCATTCAGCCATCTGGCTCAGTCATGTCGGAGTCAAGTCGGTCATGGTCACCTCGAGCTTTGCCCTTAACACGCTCGGTGTCCTCGTCGTCCTCTTCATCATCGTAGTTTTCTTCATCTTCCGAGTCGTTGTTCAGTTCTTGGTCGGACTCGCTTCCATTGGCGGCGTCGTCGTCGAAGTCGTCAAAATCGTCAAAGTCGATATCTTCGGCTTCGCTGTCATTCCAGAAGTTGTCGTCCACAGGCTTCTCGACTTCTGGCTTGGTTGACTCGTGGGTTGGCTATGACGGCGTCAAAAATGTCTGCCACTCTCACTGGGTAAAGTGAACATACCATGATAAAGCCTTCTGGAATATCGTTCTTGGAAGCGTCCACGTCCCGCTTGACCCTGGCCCTGAAGGCGGGTTCGTCATCTCTGTACATCACGCTTGCGTCGACATTTGCGGGTGAGGAGACCTCTGCGTCATCCAGCAGTGAAAGGATGGAGAGAAGGACCGACTCGACACGCTGAGCAGGGGACCAGCGCTCGCCAGCAGACTCGCCAGACATCATATCATCACCGGGCGCATGAAGAATGGAGATGCAGAGTCGGCCATCGGGATAGATGTTCGGATGCCACAGGGGTTTGGTGAATCGGAAGTCTGGACCAGGTCAGTTACAGCACATATTCGATCCCACCAGGCGCCTTACCAGGCGGTTTGTACGGATAGTCTTTGGGGAAAGTCATTTGAGCCTTGAAGTAACCACCGTAGTACATGGAGTCGGGGTTGATGACCATCAAAGCGAGATTCCAGTGGTAGATATTTTCCTCATCGACGTCTATCTGAACCCATTTTTCTTTCGCCAGAGCTTTGTACTCCTTCATTAATACCGCTTGAGACATCGTGGGCACTCGGGTGGCAGTGAGAACGTATTCCTTTCGGGAGGCTTCGTCAGAAGGATAGGTGGCGAGGGTGAGGCGCGGTTTGAGATCGGTCTGGGAGGGTGCGACTTCTATTGTTGTTGGAGGCGATCATTACTCAGAAGCAGACGATAGACGCGTTCTGACGGCGTAGGCAGTGAATATGGGTCCGCTGCCTTCTTCCAGTCCCGACCTAAATGTCACCGACAGCAGTACATTCTTCAGAGGTGACTTGACGAGATGAGTAGAGAACTCTGGCTGCGCAGACGGCGACCTTGGAAAGTGTCGACGGCTGAAAGCGGTGATAGGAGTTGACTGAGGACGTGCCGGATTTCAAAGACGACAAGTAGTCATCGGAAGAGAAGTGATCTTATCAAGCGTCAGAAAAGGGTTCCCCGAGATCGAGGCCTTGATGTCGGGATGACATGGCGAGCCAGATGGCAAAATCCATGACACACGTGCATAGCTGGATCATGACAGGGATGCAGGGGAGAACTACGCTACACTTCGCCGCCGCCCAGTTCTGGTGCTAACTAATATACATTTGCATATATGTGTTCTATACCTTATGTACGGCTCGAATATCCAATACTGTGTAGCATCACCTCAAAAGAATGGTTGAATGACGGCGTAGGGGTACCTCTCTTGTGTCTATTCTGGTCTGACAACGGGAATTTGCCACATACCACGTATTTCAGCGACAACAGAGCACACCTGACTTGTGCCAGGCTGTACGTTGCTGCTTTACTCAGCCATAATGGGACCGTCTCAACGTCAGGTTAGCCCCAGCACCACCAGCCTCCGCTTCAGCTGTTAGGCTGCTCAGGCCGCTATCGAACCCCTGAAGACTACAGTATACCCAGTGTTGCAGGAGAGCTTGAGGCGTTCAAGAGCCATCATCCATAGGTCAAATCTATAGCAGGAGGCATCGGCCTGAAACCCTCTCAGAGCCGCAAGCCGCAAGGGCGCTTTTCTCGACACACTCTCTCTACGTTCCAGCTGAAGGTACCACGGAGAGTGGTCGGACTGAGCCACAGTACATCCGTCGCGCCAGCAGCGGAAGTGAGGAATTTTTGATCTGTGAAGTATGCCCTCCTGGACGCTGGGTACATGTTGCGCTCCAGTGCTCCATACCAGTACGCGCGGTCAGGAGATGATTGTCGTAGCGCCTTCAAAGGGCAGTCATACAATAGGCCTTGATGTCCGGCAACTCTATGTGGATGACACAGCAAAGGGCAATCTAAGCTTCAGAGGACGACAACAGCCTGGTCTCCGCTAAGAGCATCTGCTTAGAGACGGACGTCCGTGCTACTCGTACGAGGCACAAGTGCTCCAAACCTTCTCTTCAGTATTGTGTTCACCGGAGATATTATTACGTATGTGCGGCGCCGCATCTTTTCACTTGGAAAAATTTATTGGCTTCACCAGCCTCAAGCATCGACAACATTAATTATCCTAGCCACAGGTTATGCAACGACGTTCACAATCTTCAAGTCCAAAAAAGACATCTCCCCCGGGTGGGCTCGAACCACCAACCTCCTGATTAACAGTCAGACGCGCTAGCCAATTGCCTAGTTGAGAGTTAGTGACCTGTTGCTTGCTTGAAGTTGCTGTCATGAACTTACGCCACGGAGGATGTGATTTGTTGCGCAAATTTCGACTATACAAAAACATATACATGCAGAACAGATTGATCACGAGCAATGTATCACGTGATTTGCTGCCCCTCTCGCTCACAATAGCCGAGTTTGACATCTCGATCCGGACGCCACAAGCCGGTTGCTCGGGGAGTTAAGTTTGCGTGGGATTAAATGGATGGCGTAAGAGGCTCGGTCAATCTTGGAGCAAGAGCCAATGCTCCACAATGAATTGACTTAATTGACTTGCATTGACATGACTCTCCGCGTTGCAGGCCGGATCTTTGCTTCCTCGTCTCGTTGCATCCATTGTTTGGTCAGTCTCATAGCTTCTGCTTCCTGCGAGTGTGAGTCGACATGAGAAGGGCGCTCCCCGCATCAGAGCAAAGGTGAATTGTGGTGGAAATTCATTGCGGTCATGTTTGCGCATTGCAGGAATCCCATCTGGCGCGTTGACGACCTGTCCGCCTGTTTTCAAGCAGAGTATGTGCTCTTGGTGGCTGACAGCAGAGCTTAGAGCTGATTGTATCTGTACAGCTATCTCGAAACGCTTATCCCACTGGTGGCGTGCGCGACCTCTTTCCTGCTTCTGCTTTCCCGAGTGGTTCGTCAACAGAAATCGAGACGACGCCGTGATCGTAACCGGGACCTTCTGGTCAATGTCGACGAAGATGACGTGGTCTCGGAGGATGAAGACGAGGATAGTGTTGCCGGCCTCGCGCTGCAGAAGACGTACAGTCACGGCAACCAGTCTTTGAAGGACGTGAAGAGGCCAACACACGAAGTCTTCCGTGTCACAATTGAATTCCTGCTGCTTCTCGCGCAGGTGGGCGTCAATGCGACTGCAGCATTGATTACAACAGGCAGAGAGAAGCGAGCTTCGATTGCACAGACTACCGTGGCGGCGTATCTCGCGGTGGTTGCTGGGGTACGGCTGATCTCATCGACCACAAGCCTTCAGTCGCCTGTGCCGGGACTTTGGACTCACAGCGCCACACTCTACATCGCACAATGGCTTTGCCAGGTTTGGGTGTTCCGCTCGGTTCTGCTGCATTCTCCAGGTCACCTTCTTCAAGCCCTCTCCGTGGCAACATTCGCGATCACGACTACGCTGGTGATTATCGCGTTGACTGCCAGAAAAGGGAACAAGGGTGTACTCCTGGAATATGAAGATGGCATCGAACCCTCTCGAGAGCCATTGGCTAGTGTCTTGTCTTCGGCCACTTTCACCTGGTGTGACCCGATTGTGTGGAAGGGCTTTAAGAAGACTCTGGAACTCTCCGACGTTTGGAACCTGGCTCTGCAGGACAAAGCCGAAACTGTTCTGGCCCATTTCCGTCAAATCCGGAAGACTCATTCTTTGGCTGTCAGGTTGTTATGGTATTTCAAGATGCCTTTACTGATACAAGGTGCGTGGTGTATGGTTGCGAGCGTTTTCATGTTCCTGCCGACTCTGCTGTTGAAAGCTGTCCTGGAATATCTGGAAAATACAGACATTGTGCCTGTTAGTGCCGCCTGGTTGTATGTCATCCTTCTCTTCGCCACTGGCGCGATCCAAGCTGTTAGCGACGGTCAAGGACTGTGGATCGGTCGGAAGATTTGCATCCAGCTTCGTGCCATCATTGTCGGCGAGATATACTCCAAGACTTTGAGGCGGAGAGCAGCTGCCGGTACCGATACAGATTCTGAAGAGGGCGTTACTCCAAAGAAGGCTGCATTCTGGACGAAGTTTAAATGCGCCCGGAAACGACAAGGTCCAAAGCAGTCCGGCGATGCCGTCGGTCCGAATTCACAGAAATCGAAGAGTTCACAGGCTAATAACGGCACAATCATTAACTTGATGTCCATCGACTCGTTCAAAGTGGCTGAGGTTTGCGCATACCTCCACTTCCTCTGGGCTGCGGTACCTGTGCAGTTGGTTATGGCTGTGAGCTTGCTCTACAAAGTTCTCGGCTACAGCTCTTTTGTTGGCATATTCATGATGGTCCTCATCTTGCCTCTCAATCTCTACATTGCACATTCATTCCAAGCGGCACAGAAACGGATCATGACCGCTACTGACGGGAGAATCCACGTCACGAACGAAGTCCTCCAGAATATCAGGATCATCAAGTATTTTGCCTGGGAGCAGCGTTTCCAGAACAATGTTAACGAAAAGAGGCAAGTCGAACTCAATGCGTTGTGGCGAAAGTACGTCTTGTGGGCGTCCGCAGCTACCATCTGGAGTGGTGTCCCTATCTTGATCACCTTTGTCTCCTTTCTCATGTACACCCAGATTGAGAAACGGCCCCTCGTCCCATCAATCGCCTTCCCGGCACTCTCGATGTTCTCATTGCTGCGGATCCCACTGGACCAGCTCGCAGATATGGTGGCCCACGTCCAAGAATCCAAGGTCTCAGTGGATCGAGTCGAGAAGTTCTTGGAGGAAGAAGAAACCGAGAAATACGTCCAGTTGCGCCATAGCAGAAGAAGAAGTTTGCCAGCAACTCGCATCGCTCTAGAGGAGGCTACATTGACATGGGGAACCACCAGTGCAGACGCAACCGAAGCGTTCAGACTGATCAACATCAGCGTCGAATTCGAGATTGGCCGCTTGAATATCATTGCTGGTCCCACAGGGTCCGGCAAGACATCGCTTCTAATGGCTCTGCTTGGTGAAATGCAGTTACTCAGTGGTAGTGTCTACATCCCCGGAGGTTCAGTACGACAAGATTTGCGGCCCGATCCTGTTACTGGTTTGACCGAAAGTGTGGCCTACTGCGCGCAACAGGCGTGGCTCGTTAACGCAACAATCAAGGAGAACATTCTCTTTGCCAGCCCGTATGACGATCACCGCTATCACGAGGTCATCGCAGTGTGTGCTCTAGAGCGAGACCTTGAAATCCTCGATGCGGGGGATCAGACTCTTGTTGGTGAGAAGGGCATCGCGCTCTCTGGTGGCCAGAAACAACGCATCTCACTCGCCCGAGCAATCTACTCGAATTCCAAGCACGTGCTTTTGGACGACTGTCTCAGTGCTGTGGACGCTCACACTGCCAAGCACATCTTTGAGGAGGCGCTGACAGGTGATTTGATGGCCAATCGTACTTGCATCTTGGTGTCACACAACGTTGCTTTGACGGTGCCTCTGGCAAGTCGCGTGGTAGTCCTGGCCAACGGTAAGATCGCCGCTCAGGGGTCACCACAGCAGATCATCGAGAGCGGCGCTCTTGGAGATGAATGGCTCAAATCACGCCCTGTATCGAGAGCGAACTCCAGGCCGCACTCGCCAGTTCCCTCCCATCCCGAAGAGGAGAGATCTCACTTATCTGGAGGGACAGTCAATGGAAGTGCAACTTTGCAGGCCAAAGGATCGGGCAAGCAAAAGCCTAAGACAAACAGGCCAGACAAGCAATTCGTCGACCACCGCCTTGAGGCCAAGGCTACAGGCAGCGTGAAATGGTCTACGATTCGGATGTATCTCAAGGCTATGGGCCCATGGTGGTACTGGATCTTTGCTGCCTGGGGCTTCATCGCAACACAGCTTGGATCAGTTGCGACCAACTTGTGGATCCGCCAGTGGGCGAATGCATACCATGTCCGAGGCGCAGACGCGAACCACGCCTCGGTGAACGCTTTCCATGCCCACAGTCTGCCGTCGACATCGAAACTTGGAGGCTCGTACGTACAGATGCCACAAACGGCTACTACTGCGAACGGACTCTCGATCTGGAAATCGCTATACGATGTCGATGCGAGCTACTATCTCCGAATCTATGCGATCCTGGGCGCCGTGTATGTGTTCATATGCTTCTCTCGGGAGATCATCCTCTTCTGGGGGTCCAGGCGGGCCAGTTGGCATCTCCACGAGAAACTTCTGACCAGCATCCTTCGCGCCAAATTCCGATTTTTCGATTCTACGCCACTGGGCCAATTGACAAACCGCTTCTCGAAAGACATTCAGGCACTCGACCAAGAAGTTGCACCTGTTGCCATCGGCATGCTTCACAGTGCTGCGTCGGTCCTCACGATCGTGGTCTTGATCTCCGTTATCACTCCCGGCTTCCTGGTGCCTGGCTTCTTCATTACGATACTGTACGTACTCACCGGTCTCCTCTACATCCGTTCTTCCCGCGACCTCAAACGGATCGAGGCTGTACAGCGAAGCCCACTCTTCCAACACTTTGGTGAGACGTTGAGCGGAGTAGTCACGATTCGAGCGTACGGAGACGAGGCAAGGTTTATCCAAGACAGTCATGCGAAGGTCAACACGCACAACCGTCCCTTTATTTATTTATGGGCCACTAACAGATGGCTCGCATTCCGAATCGACATTGCAGGGGCGCTTGTTTCGTTCTTCTCTGCCATGTTCGTCGTGACTAACGCTCGCAATATCGACCCTGGTGCAGCAGGTTTGGCGTTATCGTACGCCATTACTTTCACCCAGAACGTCCTCTGGCTCGTGAGACTGTATGCAGCAAATGAACAAAACATGAATGCCGTCGAGCGGATACAAGAGTACATCAACGTGGAGCAGGAGGCGCCAGCGCATATTCCGGAGACGAAGCCTGCGGCCAACTGGCCCAGCCACGGAACGGTTCAGTTCATCGGGTACAGCACCAGGTACCGCGCGGATCTTGAACCCGTGCTGAAGAAGGTCTCTTTCCGCATCGAAGCCGGGCAGAAGGTTGGAATTGTTGGCAGGACCGGGGCGGGCAAGAGTTCACTCGCTCTAGCCTTGTTCAGAGGTCTCGAGGCTGAAGAAGGCAAGATCCTAATCGACGATGTCAACATTGGGCTTATCGGCCTCCAAGATCTGCGGGAAGCTATCACCATCGTGCCTCAAGACCCGACCCTCTTCTCCGGCACCTTACGAAGCAATCTGGATCCTTTTGAACTTTTCACAGACGAAGAGGTCTTCACTGCCCTCCGGCGAGTTCAGCTTATTTCTGGAGCACATGGCACCCCGGAGCAATCAGGCGCGACGACCCCAATAGGAGGCTCGAGCAGATCTCCGACACTGCGAGAGAGTTCAAGTCCTCCAGAGAGTCATGCATCACTGTCTGCAAATGGAACAGTGAAGTCCGGTTCGACCTTGGTGCAAGTTTCCACCAACACCAAGGAAAACAAGAACATTTTCCGGGATCTGAAATCGCCTGTGGCTGAATCTGGCTCGAATCTATCTCAAGGTCAACGACAGCTTCTGTGTCTCGCTAGGGCACTGCTGAAGTCGCCCAGGGTGCTTGTCATGGACGAAGCGACAGCATCCATCGACTATGCGACGGACTCTAAAATCCAAGACACGCTCCGAGAGCTGAAGAACAACACAATTCTCACCATTGCCCACCGTTTGCAAACGATCATCGACTATGACCGGGTGCTGGTGCTTGACCAAGGAGAAGTGGTTGAATATGCTGATCCGTGGGAATTGATACAGAAAGAGGACGGGCATTTCAGGTCCATGTGCGAGACGAGCGGCGACTTCGACACTCTCTACCAACTCGCAAAGAAGGCCTGGCAGGACAGGAGATTGATTGATGATTCTTGAACGGGTCCGAACCCACATTGGAGGCATTGTTTTTGGTATTATGCACTTTCAGCGCGGGTGGCACTCTCGGTTTTGATAGATAATACGTAGATTGCTTTTGCTGGCGCCCAACGGTTTCATTCTGTACATAGGTCGACGACGAAGCATGATATAGTCAGCGGGGGACGTCGGGGCCGGAAAGACGTGGTAATGATACTGTATGCAGGCGTTGAAGGAAGTAGCACGTCGTCCATTGTACGCCTCCTCTCCTTCACGAACTGCTTGGCTTCAGCGGTCCTCACTTCTTGCCCGGCACGGTCCTCAAATGGACTGCACGCCATGTCCCTGACCACCGGAGACACTCCGTCCGCCGCCCTTCGATCGGCTCTCCTCACCTCGTCTCCTCTCGTGCTCCTCCTCTGCGGGGTTGTTGCCCATCATTGGTTCTGGCGAAAGGAGTTTTCGAGATGGACGAGCAGTCGTGTCTCATCCAGGCCCTTCTCGAGGGAGCAGAGAGATTTCGCCGAGCAGATTCTGTTGACGAGGCTCGTCATGCGTGAGAGATAGGCCATCGCTGAGTGGCTCACGTCGCCCATGCGTGTGCCGGGCGCTCGTCTTCGGCACCGCAACAATGACCCCTTCGATATTCCTGGACACGAGGGACCAGCTTGACCTTGCGGGGAAGAAAGCCTCGGGTGATCGATGACTACATATACGGACATTGCGTGTATTCAGTCCGCTCTACGAGTTTCGTTGTTTCTGTACGACTTCTAACCGTTGCGACTCGGACCCAGACCATACCGCCCACGTCCAGACACGGCGATACAAGTATAATATAAAACACAACTCACTTCGGTCGCCCTCCCGCAGGACAGAATGCCTCCAGTCAGCGACCAGAATGGCACCAGCCACTCGTGGATCTCGTTACCCCAAGCCATGTCCAAGGCCGTGTCCTCGCTGGACAAGATCCTGAACGGCGACCCGCAGTGGCAGGCGTTTATTGACACGAAAGCCATCATCGAGCCCGTGACGATGGGCATCCAGAGCACCGGCGGAGACGAAGCCATTCTCGTCAGCGTCTCGTCTGGTGCCAAAACGTCGTCCTCGACAGGATCGGCGAACAAAGCAGATTTCACCCTCCAAGCACAGCCTCAGCAGTGGGAGAAGTTCTTCGCGGCCGACCCGGTGGCGCCGTATACCAGTTTCGTGGGTCTTCAGGTATGTCTGCCCGTCTGGACCCCCGGTTTGCCGTGGTCCACGATGCACGTTTTACGGGGTCAACCGAACACCTTGTTCCACGGACCCAAGACCGGACTTACTGACTTGCCAACTCGTCTAGGGGATGAACATCGTCCAAGAAGGCGTCGGCGTGCACGGCAACCAGGTCAAATTCGCACAGTACAGCCACCTGGCCACGCGACTGCTCGAGCTGCTTCGAGAGGGCCAGAATGGACCCCTCAAGGAAGACGAACAGCCCGAGACGGACGAAGACCACATCACAGGCAGGTACATCTACATCAACGCCCCGGTGTGGGGCCGCACGAAGGTCTTCTACGAAACGTCGGGCACGGGGCCCCAGCAGATCGTCTTCCTGCACACCGCGGGCAGCGATAGCCGACAGTACCACGGGGTGATGAACGACGCGCGCATGCGCGAGAAGTGCACCATGATCGCGTTCGATCTGCCCGCCCACGGCCGCTCCTTTCCCGGAAGTAACCACATCCCGGGCAACCATACGAACAACGAGGAGGCCTACGTGGGGACGATCCGGGAGATGGTCAAGGCCTTGAAGCTCACCAAGCCCATCATCTGCGGTGCGTCCATGGCCGGCCAGGTGTGCGTGGCGGTCGCGATCCGGGCGGAAGAAGTCGGTGCTGGGGGCACGATCCCACTGCAAGGGTGTGACTATTTGACCATGGACCGGCAGTTCAACGACAAGAGCCCCGTGGTCAACCAGGCATTGTTCAATCCGGATTGGAGTAAGTGGTGGTGACTGACCTCTTGAAATGCGATGTGACCCTGTATTGCGAAGTGACGGGGCTCAGCAAACACCGACATGGTTGACTTTGACAGAGTGACTGACTGAAACGCGTTGATACAGTCTACGGCATGATGGCGCCAAAGAGCCCCAAGGTCAACAAGCAGCTCATCTGGGTGCGTATTCCCCTTGATCCCAATCTCTCCTGGTCCTCACATTTCCCGTCACCCTGTAACTACTACGTCGTACTGACCTGCACCGCGCTTCCAGCACATGTACTCGGGCCAAGCGTACGGCATCTTCCACGGCGACCTCGACTTCTACTTTGGCGGCTTCGACGCGCGCGACCGCGTCGCCTCGATCGACGTCAAGAAGTGTCCCATCTACTTCCTCACGGGCGAGTACGACTGGTCGACCACGCCCGAGATGAGCCAGGCCACGGCCAAGAAGATCCACGGCGCCAACTTCAGCTCGATGAAGGGCTTGGGTCATTTCCCCGCGACCGAGGATCCGCAGAAATTCGTGAGTGTCTCTTACTGCCGTGCCTGCAATGCATGCTTCTCGCATGGGATCAACCGTGTCCTTTTTTTCCGTATTGTGCATTGTATTTTCTCCTGATCGAGTTCGAGCTGACCTTGTGGATGCGCCAGGTGCCGTATCTTATCGAGGCCATTGACTGGATCCAAAAGACTCGTCAATCCTGAGTGAGGACTTGACGGATGTGAGAATAGTTCAGAGGGGCTTGATTACCGTGTCCGATTGATGATGGATGTAAGTCAGCCTCGGCGTGGGGTCAGTTGGTGCCCTGGTCATTTGTCTTGGGACCGTAGGAATATACAGTACCCTTCGAGCTTCACAAAAAAAAAAAGCACGTACGAGCTTGCTAAAATCTGGTTGTTATCCTCGGACGTGGCCAGCCAGCCAGGCAGCCGCGCAAAAAACAACATGTCACTGAGTAAAGTGGTCGTCGAGGCTGACTCCTAGACTCCACAAGAATGGACTGTGTCGTTGGCTCTTCACATGTTAAAGCAGGGCAGGGGAGCAAAGGGAAAGCAATAGGGCGTATACGAATCTAGTGCCGTCCTCTCGCCGCGTGATCACTTGATAATTCCATAGTCGAGCGCGACGCCGCCCTTTATCTGTCCTGTGTTGCCCTACGTTGCGGTTCATCATTCTTAACCACCAGTCACGCTCTCCTACATGATTCATGATAGATGTCGACGACATACCTGGACAGTAGCTCGCTGTCGATGGGGAAGCACGAGGAGCCTGAAGGCTTCTACGCCGAGTGCCAACCCCTTTGAAACAAATGGTCCACCGAGGCCTCTGCTATGGTCATGCCAAGGGATGCCTGCAGGTAGGGTATGGTGAGGAAAGACGGGATAGTGTGCTATCGGGTTTCGGTACCGAAAGTGCGCCTTAAGAGTGCTTCAGCCCTATTTAGTCGGCGGCAAGTGAATGAAGGGGGCGAAACGATGGTCGGACAGGCAGAAGGCTAGTTGCTTCCGCCGGATCATGATCTCCTGTTCATATCTGCACAAATCGTTCACATAAAAACACATGACTTTTTGAATTGAACATTTCTCATCCTCCCCGTTCGCTCTTGGCCCACTGGCACGCGTACATCGGTGATCTCGAAAGACGGTCATCATCCATTCCGGATCATGCATGGAATAACCTCTAGGATGGCTTGTAGGATCGAACCATTCTCATCTTCGCGGGTGGCTCCGCTGGGCCGCCATCTGGGTTGGTGACCGTGCCAGGAAAGCCAAGGGCCGTGTTCCAGGTATCAGCAGTGGTCTTGTCTCGAGTTCCCAAGGCCAGGATCTGAGCCTGCACAGACTTGCACAAAGTCTTCGCGGCATCGTTGGCTTCGCAGACGTTGGTCAATTGGTCGCAGATTCTGTTGGTGATGATATCTAGTAGCATTGCGTTAGCATTAGACGAAGAGAATGGTGGCCCAGGGCAATGCATACTTGGATTCAAGGCCTCTTGTTGGCCCTGGGCAACCAGAGGGTCAATTGGCAGGAAGGTGAATTCTGTGGCAGGACGTCCACCCAGGCCTCCCTCAAACTTCATCGTGGGTACACAGAGTCCGAAGTCGGCGCCAGCCACGTCGGAAGTCTCGGCGGCACCGCCAGCTGCAGCTGCTGGGTTCTCAGCAGCTGCAACGGCAGTTGCAGTGGAGGCGGCGGGAGCTGCGCTGCTGGCAGTATCAGCAACTGCAGCCGCAGCTGGAGTATGTTAGTCACGTCAGGTGCAGAGACGGCGAAGAGGAAACTCACCAGTAGTTTCCACCACTCCACAAGCAGCAGCAACGGCTGTTGTGACAGCGGCCGTGGCGCTTGCTTCGACGGCTGTTGCAACGGCACCGCCGTCAGCTGCTTCGTTGGCCACTCCACCCGCTGCTCCCCCGGCATCAACAGCACTTGTTGTTCCATCGGCAGCTTGAGCAGTGAAATTGGTGAATCCGTTCTCTGCCAACAAATCCGCCACGCTCTTGCCCGTGGCATCGAGGGGATTTGCTTGGGTGCTAGCAGACAAGGCGTTCGCGATATCCGAACCGACGACTGCAGGGTCGATCAGAGGTGTGATACCTCTGAGGATATCTGTGGCCGGCAGGCTAGGGTCACTGCAGATTGTGGGGATCGACTGAGCGAATGGGTTGAAGTTCTTCTCGGCAGCAACTATGCCAATGGCGGCGGCAATGGCATCGGCTCCCGTGCCGAGTTCAGCAATGATTTGATCACCGCGCTTTAGCTTGTTGCAGGCGTTGCTGCCGGCCAGTACATCACTCACAGCTGCCCCGGCAATGGTTGCAGCCGCGCCTGGAGCACCGCCTTGGACAGCAGCAATGGCTGGGATTGGGATTTGCTCCTGGCCGAATCGTGCTTGAGCAACGGCCAGCAAGGCCGCGATAGCGGTTGATTTGGCGAACATGTTCAAATCGAGACGTAGAAATGCGAGTAATGATCGACGGGCGAGTTGAGTATGTCGTAAAAGAGAGACTAGCTCGCGTGAGAAACGAACGTACCGACCAGCGGTGGGAGATGCAAGACGCAAAAAGAAAGACAGATGGGGGAATCGCTTGACGAGAATGGGAAAGAAAAGCAAGACCATGATCAGGTCGAGCCCTTTATATTCCATTCGACCCGGATGGTCTGTTGTCACAGCTGTCCTTGGCCATGACAGATCCTAGCGTAGCCGTTGTTGGACGGGTTTTGAGATTGGCCCGTACTCCGTACGTGCAGCGGGAAACTCTGGAGGCGAGTACGTCGAGAAGTGCCTGATACATGTCCGCCAAGTGGACTTCGAGGTGGTTCGGCGAGCTTGGCCGGACAGACGAGTGTTGACCAGCGAGAATATGGCGTCATCGACTTCTCGACTGAGTAAGTCGATGCTTCAGAAGAGATGTCGGATGTTATGCAGGCTATTGGCAAATTGGACGCAGGATGACTGACCGAGGCCATGGCTTTGCAAGTCGCCGAAGGTGAGGCAGACGCAGTATGGGATCCTGTTTCACGACGGCGAGGCTGGCGAGGCTAGCCCGAGTAGATACTAGACCCGGCTCAAAGGGGTTGAGACATGGCCGGGTTCTCCTCGGATGCGTCAAAGGCCGAGGCGAGCTCCACGTGGATGAAGCCACCATCTGATATCGTCAAGCCACAACTGGCCGCCATGAGATCTCGCACGAGACGGCCGTCGCCTCTCGGGTCTTTCGATTTGGCGCTTTCAGGATCGAGCGAGGTGCCTCATGTTGCGCCAGGGTCGCCGAGATCAGATCTCGCTCAAAGAAAGAGTTTCAATCCGTTGTTTCCGAGGGGTCAGCAGTGAAGCGGTAACGAAGAGACATGAAGAATGGAGTAAGCCACTCTCACATAAGGACTACTCTTGTTAGCTCTCCCAGGCACGCGCAGGGTTAGGAAGAGGGAGGCGCGAATTTGACAGAGGGATCAGTGTGAAATTGCATCTTTGTGAGAGTCGGACAGAGGAGCCTTTCAGACCTGGCAGCATCAACATTGGCATCCTGGTGCTGGTAGCCCACCAGAACAAGGCCTTGAATAGTACTGAGTTGTGCTGAGTTGAGGCCACAGTGAGCAGTGAATGAAATGAAATAGAGCGACACTTGAAGACTCGCCAAGAATTACGTCACGCGTCGCATTTCAACACCAAGAGTCCTTTGCGCAGTGGACGAGATCGCTGACAAGACTGCCATTCGACTAATGGCACTTGTCTACTCCGTACACTTACAAGTGCTTCATATTACGCGTTCGTGGCACTCTCAAATAAGTCTTCCACCGAATTCCTCCATACCATGACGGATTGGCGCAAGTACAAGGTCGCTGACCTGAAGGAGGAGTGCAAGTCGCGTGATATCCCTACCACCGGGCTCAAATTAAAACAGCAATACATTGACAAACTCGAGGAATACGAAGCGCAGAGCGGTGAAGGGGCGACCGAGGATGTCCAGGAACAAGATGTCGAAATGGCCCACGGAGAGCCCGTGTGGTCCGTCAACGGCGACAGCTCGCAGCCTCACGATGTCAAACCCGACGTGAGCGAAGCCGCGAATGAGGGGACCCAGGAGGAAGACGCCGGAGAAGGAAGAGCTCCAGATCAGGAAGACATCAAAGAAACGAACATCCCGCCTGCGCTTCAGGAGGAAGAACGCCGCACGGAGGCACACTCCGAGAAGGAGCAAGAGTCTACGCCCGAAGTACCCCCACTTACCGCCGACGCAGGCGTAAAGGACGCGCTGTTTGTGCCAGAGCCTGAGAATGTCACCGAGAAATTAGAGGAGAAGAGGTTGCAGGAAACGGTAGAGGGACACCACGATAAACAACAAGCTCCTAGCGAACCTGTGCAGCGGAACGACGAAGAATCGTTCACGCCTGATCAGCAACAAGCGCCCAGCAAGGATCTGCAGCAGAACGATGAAGAATCCATCACCGCTGATCGAGCCGTGTCAAGTCCCAAGCCTGCCGTTTCATCCACGCCGCAACCTTCGCAACTTCCATCAGACTCGAGCACACCGCTTACGTCCCAGATACCCCCTAGTGACCTTGCAGAGGACCAGAAAAACAGAAGGAAACGAAGCGCCACGCCCATTCCCTCAGCCGAGGAGGTCGCGCGCAAGAAAATGAGACTGAGCGAAGAAGCCAATGAAAGAAAAGCACAAGTAGCATTGGAACAGATGGAAGCAGCAACCGAACTTTCTAAAGATATCCGTATGGAACATACAGATGTTGGACTTCCTGCCGTCTCGGCCAAACAAACGAATGCCAGCGCCGCGGCTGCTGAACCACCTCCAGCTTCACAAGGCAGTACCCTGGTTCCACTCGAGGCACGGAAAATGACCCCATCAAGGTCGCCGTCTCGGTCGAGGAGTCCGGCAGAAGATCGTGACGTTCCACCAGCCATCCATCCGGCAACGTCCTCGTTATATATCAGTCGACTCAAGCGACCGATTCAACCCCAGGCATTCCGCAGCCATATCATCTCGAAGACCAAAACCCGGTCCTCCGATGATTCCGATCCCATCACCGCATTCTACCTGGACAACATCAAGTCACACGCATTCATCTCTTTCACCTCGGTCTCGGCTGCGTCTCGCGTGCGCTCGGCAATGCATGGCGTGAGGTACCCAGAAGAGGGTTCACGAGAGCCGCTATTCGTCGACTACGTCCCAGACGACAAGGTCCAGTCATGGATCGACCAAGAGACCGAAAGCGGCTTCGGGCGAGGCGGGAGCTCGGGTCGTCGCGTCTTCGAAGTCGTCTACGAAGACAGAGGAGACGGCATAGAGGCTATATTCCAAGAAGTGGATACCACGAAGCCGCGGGCCCCGTTAGAACCGAGTCGCGGGTCACGCCTGTCCTTTGAAAGACAGCAGCTAGGCTCCGCCCCAGCTCCCGCTGGTGTCCATCCCGACCGTGCCGGCCTTGTTCCACGGGATGATCGAGGCAGAGACCGTGATCGCCCTCGAGCACCAGCACCACCCTCTGGACCTAAGAACGCCAGTTCCGACCCCGGCAGAGGCTTCAAAGCACTCGACGAGCTCTTCAACTCCACTACCACCAAACCGAAACTGTACTACAAGCCTGTGCCCCCTTCCGTTGCGGCCGACAGATTAGGCATGTTCCGCGGGCTACACTCCCGATACGCCGAACTGGGACGGACCGGTGACGAAGGCATGAAGCGGTATTCTTTCGAGAAATCGAAAGACCGGGAAGAATGGGTGGATAAGGGTCCGGAGTTCGGGCACGGACGGAGAGGACAGGAGAGGTTAGTCGGTGGTGACCGAGGCTTCAGAGGGAGAGGGCGTGGAGGTCCATATCGTGGGAGGGCCGTGGATTCGTGGCGAGGAGGCAGCGCGCGATAATTGGTTTCCATGTTGTCGGCAAAGTGAGGTGAGGCAAGGAGAGAAGAGGCGAGGTGATGCCCGAGGGTCCTTTTGCCCCCAATCTACATGGATCATGATGATGTTGTCGCGCTGAGCATAGACCTGCGACCGACCTACCGACTACACGATTGGGAAGATCGAGAGCATAAAAGTTACTTGTGGACGATATGTGATTAGTTGGGCTGTCCCGATATCCAGGGCTTCCAAGTGCTTTAGATGAATCCCAAATAATAACAAATGCAAGGCGATCATAACGACTGGATCTGTGGTCAGAGCGCGTGAATCAACTACAGGGGAGAAGTGGTCCGAACAGTATGAAGATACTGAGCAGGATGTACTGTACCGAGCAACGTACCCTACGCGACATAGACATAGGGCCGACTTAGATCGTATTGCGTTGCATTGCATTGACTGTATTGCTCGCTCTGGGCAAAACAGTGCAAAGACTATGTCTACCGGCTCGCAGCTCGCAGGTCGTTCCATCCATCCATTCTGCCATCCGTCCAACAGAGCCAAATGATTCAGACCCAAGCGCGGACGGAGACGTAGACGTAGATATAGACGTAGACGCAGATGTAGACGTAGATGTAGAAAGGCGCACCACCGGATCTGGTTCGTGACTGCATACAACATGTCGAATGAATCGCATGTATAGAAGGTCCGGATTCCATATAGAAACGAGTAGCGGCGGCCTCATCTCACCAGTCCTCACCCCACCCATCCTCCTTTGTCTTCCGCGGCGGGTTCGCGGCCGGGGAAATCGTCTTCTTCAGCGCGTTGGTGCCAATGCTGCTGGCACCGCCGCCGCCGCCGCCTCCTGATTGTCCGAAAGTATCCCAAAAGTCTTTCCTTTCGGGCTCTACATCCCTCGACGCGGCGGATGCGGCTGCTCTCTCGTCCTGGCCTTCGACGAACTTGTTGAACGATTGCGCGGCTCCCCGGGCGCCGGATTGGAGGCCCTGGCCGGCCGCCATGGCGGCCTTTTGGGCCTGCGACGCGAAATCTGAGGCGGCGATCTGAAGAACCGGTCGTTAGCAGTCAATGTCATGTCATTTCATCCACCGCTGCTATCGTGCTCGGTCGTGTTCGATTCATGTAGGTTCACGCGAGTGGCAGGGCATGGCATGGCATGGCATGCTAGGGACTTACATTTTTGGCCGTGGGCTGGATGTACGAGTCGTTCACCAGCTTGGCCTGCTTGCTTACCATCCCGCCCAACCAGCCGAAGCCCTTGGTGATCGCGGCGACGGGGTCCTTCGTGAAGTCGTCCGCGACTCCGCCACCAGCCTGTCTATCCGCAGGCTCGGGCATCGCGCTGCCGAATCCCCCATACTTCCCACCCTGGCTGGGCGGCAGATTGTCCGGCCTCGAGGCGTTGGCGTCGCCCATGCGCGAGAAATATGCTTCATTCTGCGCCTTTTGGTCTGCGGTGATACGGCCCCTCGGCGCGGGAGACGCTGTCCGACTGCCTGAGCCGGGCCCGCTGCTGGAGACGGCGGCCGCGGCCGTGGCATGGTTCCTGACGCCGCCAGCAGGCGTGGCGGACCGACTCGCCTGTTTCTGCAGTATTGCCTGTCTCTCTTTCTGGAAAGCGGCCATGTCAAACTCTCGGTCCTCGACAAGGCACGTTAACCGCTCTTTCCACTCTTCGCCCACTTCCGAGTCGTATCGTTCCTTGATCGTGGCCTCGTCGAAGGGTAACGACTTGGTGTTCTTGTTGTAAAAGTCTTGCCAGGCCTTGTTGCCGCCGCGGTCCATACGGAGGAGCTCGACCTCCTTGAAGGCGTCCATGGAGATGGAGCGCACGAAGGAGACGTGCACGCCTAGGCCGCGATGCACGCCCGCGCATTGTAGGCAGATGAACGTCGAGAATTTGGGAGAAGCCTGAGGAGATAGAAGCCGTGTTAGCAGACCCCGAGACAACACAGTGTTTAGACACCGTCATTTGCAGTCGCTTCTGGCGAGAGGATGGACAGCGAGACTCACCCATTGCGGTGAAGGGGCGCCGCAGTCACAGCATCTGTCATTGCCAGCACCTTCTTTCTTCCCCAGTGCTGCGAGCTAAGAGAGCGAGCGAGTAAGTCCGAGGCCGTCAGCTGGCAAAAGCCTGTGAGGGCCTCCATACCTTGCTCCTTGTCTCCTGGTTCACCTCGAAATTCGCCTTCGCGGCCATCTTGTATGTGTGCGATTCTCGTTCGTGGATTCGGGCGCCGGGCCGCGGGGTGGAAAATTGTTCGTGTGCTCACGGTCTCGACCTCTCGCAGCGCTAGCTCTCGCGTAAATGCATGCTCAGATGGCTTTATAGCTGCATAAGATAGGCAGGCAGATATAGTGCAAGGCCCTCACGAATCGCAGATGCCTGGTTTGAGTGCTTTGGAGGTTGAGGGTCCATGTCGTTGGCAACACTTCTAGACCGGCTGGCCAATCTGGCTCGAGTGCCCACAGCTGACAATCTGACCAGATCGAGCAATATACAGGGATATATAATACAGGCTGCCTAGGTATATATCATCAGGCATCGCCGCGCAGTTCCGCAATGAGGGCTTTCTCCCGAGCACCCGTCACCTTCTCGAAGCGGTCGACGCTCATCACAAATGTGCCTCTTCCTCCAGTCATGCTCCGGAGATGTTTGAGATATCCCACCATCTCCTTCAGGGGGACCTTGGCCTTGACTGTCCGCTGAAAACTCACCCTTTGGTGGTTCTCTCCCGACAACGACGACCCGGACTCGAACGGGTCCTTTGGCGCATATATCTTCGACACGTCTATCCTTGTGGCAACACCGCCTGCTTGAGCTTGCTCCTCTTCGTGGTCTCCCAATGAGACAATGTGGCCCCCACGACCCGAGGAGATGTCGGAAATGACATTGCCCAGATTCACTTCGTCCACGTTGATGTCGACGTTCATGACAGGCTCCATCAGCGTGCACGGACTGCTCTTGGTGGCATCTCTGAAGGCAGCGATGGTAGCTAGTCGAGCCGCCGCCGTCAAGGAAGGGTAGGTTGTTTCGGAGCCAAAGATATGCTCGTCTGGGCGCAGCGTCAATGTGACTTTCGTGTCTCTCATCGGATACGACCACGACGGGCCGCGACTTAGGGCTGCAAGTGCGCCGTTCAAACACGCCGTCCGGACTTCGGGAAGCAAAAGATGTGGTGGCAACCCCGGCGTGTCGCTGTCCAAAGGTCGCCCGCGTCGGTCTAGAGTGGGCGTCTCGATGATCACCACGTTTCCATCCTGCTCGTGAACGAAAACATCTTCAGCATCAGTAACGTCCCCATCAATCCCACTTGGCAGAGGTCCAACTCTGGCAGAGCATCCTGCCTTGCCCTTCGTGGCTGCCCGTTCGCCTTCGAATATCTTTGTAACTGGTCCAGAAGAGTCAGGAAGGGTTTCGCGGTAGCCGATCGCAATCTTGCCCATTCGTGCTTTTGCTTTCAGCTCGTGGACGAGTCGATCTTGGGCAATCTCAAGATGCAGCTCCCCCATGCCGCTGATGTGGGTTTGCCCCGTGTCTTCATCCTGCGAGATGTGCAGACTGGGATCCTCCCGCAACAGGAGTGCCAGCTTCTCGTGCATGTCCTTTTCTTCTCGTAAGCTGTTGGGTTCTATGGCCGCAAAGAAGACTGGTGGTGGGACTTTGATGGGTCGAAGTTCCAATTTGTGCAGCGGGTCGGGAGGTGTAGCCCTGTTACCCGCGTAAGATATAAGAGTGTCGCCGGTTCTCGCAAACTTCGACCCGGCGATGACCCCGATCTCCCCTGCACGAAGCGATGAAACAGGAACAGACTCATTCGCATACATCCGGAGCAGCGTGGCTGCCTTTTCCGAGTTTTGGAGGTTGGTATTGAACAGCGTCGCGTTGCGTTCTATTGTCCCTGAATACACGCGAATGTAGACCAGCATGCCCTTCCGTGGATCGTTGACCACTTTGAATGCCAACGCACAACCCTGCAGCGCTTTGCCGGCCACAACCGTCGGAGGGCTGGAGCTCTTCTTGTTGTGCTTCGTTGCGTCCTTTGTGAGGGACAGTTCACCTTTGATCAGCTGCGAAAGGCCCCCATGGACGAGCCCCAGGCTCAACTCTGGATCTGGACGCTCCTCGGGCGAGGGAAGCAAGTTGTTGACGGCATCTAGGAGTGGCTGGACACCGATGTTGCGGAAACTAGCGCCGGCAAAGACTGGAATGACTGCACTTCGTGGTGCAAGTAAAGACCTGCGCAAACTGTCCCAGATCTGGGATGGACTGACTTTGAGATGATCCTCTTCGGCCTCGAAAAAGGCCTCGACCAGTTGATCATCGTGCTCGCTGAGAAGCTCGACCAACGCGACCCTCGCACGCCTCAACTCCTGAGCCAGCTCTGGGTTTTGATCCTCCAGATGCAACAGGCTGTAGCGCTTGATCTGCTTGCCGTCTCCGCCCGACTCGTACAGAAGCCCCTCAAGGTTGACCACATCGGCCACGCCTGTAAAGCGCCCCTTTCCTCCTTCAAACCAAGGGATTTGACAGACTGCTGGCCACCCGCCGAGCCGGGAACCAATTTCACGGACTGTCCGTCCGAAAGCAGCACCATCACGATCGAGCTTGTTGATGTAAGCTATTCGTGGTATTTTCCACTCGCCAGCCTGAGCCCACACTTGCTCGGTCTGGGCTTCGACCCCAGCAACACCGTCGAGAATGCACACGGCACCGTCCAAGATCCGCAAGGAACGGCGGACTTCGAATGTGAAGTCGGCGTGTCCCGGAGTGTCGATGAGGTTGATAGTATGTGGAAAGCGAGAACGAGGTTGAAGGCTTAAGTCGTCGCTATCCTCGTCGATTACGGCTTTCGATGGAGGCCACTCGAATGTGATAGCTGCAGATTGAATGGTGATGCCCCTCGCTCGCTCGGCAGGCAGGAAATCGGTCACCGTCGAGCCTTCATCAACATCACCTATCCGTCGAGTATGACCGCTGTAGTAGAGCATACGCTCCGTTGTTGTTGTCTTGCCGGCATCGATGTGAGCTATGATGCCGATATTTCTCGTCCGTGAAGCTTGTGGCGCCGCCGTAGCCGCGACACCTGCATAGCTCCGACATGAGGAAGCCGGCCTTCGAAACAGAATTCGCGACCATGGAGAGGATCGCAATGTTTGATTTAGAGCGGAGTATAAAATCGGCCGACCATGAGGGATTGTCATTCCCTTCTCAACCTCGTGTAGACAAACCAGGCCAGTTGCTCAGAACGAATTCGAAAAGATTAAAGCAGAATGCGATTAATCTATCAGACCAGGATCAAAGGAGCGACTGGAACGCCGGTGTCAATGAAGATATGCACAGTAACCAGGCACGAAGCAGGCGAAAGGCAGAAAGATGGAATTCTCGATGCCTCCGTCCACCATATCACGACTAAACCGTGTTTGGTTCTTCCCACGACTTTCACCATCGCTCTCCGCCCGCTTAGACACCTCCTAGATGGAGACATCTGCTCACCACATAACCTTGGGTACTCTGTACAGAATCTCTTCTAGTAGGGATCGGATAGGCTGATCCGCTCTCTTCATTTGAGCAGTCCGTTGATACTTTCATCGTCAAACACAGTCCACTGCTTTCGGCGCAGGCATGTGCTGGAGCTCACGCTTGATTGACTGAGGCATTGAGAGCGACCACCCTCCCGCATCTGCAGAATGGACTACACCGCCGTGGCGGGCGAAGCTGACGCTCTTCACGGCTCATCGCCATGGGGTTCCTCGTCTCCCCGTGCCCCCAGAGGCTTTCCTCAAGCCACGGCTCCGGATTCACCAGAGTCCCCGCAACCCGTTCGAGGGCATTCCTACAATCAATCGCAAGACAGCATTCCTGACTCTCCTTACCTGCCTCCACCCGACCAACCCGGAACACCTGGCTTTGGGGACAACACAGTCCCGGGCGAGGCGGCACAAGGTCAACAGCCGGCGGGTGTCCCACAGCACTCCCAGGCGCCGGCACATCATCCACACGATGCCCAAGCGGGACAACAGGGCCATCAATATACTGGTCAGGCGCAGCAACGGCCAGGCGCGGCAAGATATCACAGTACAAGGCAGAACAGGCCGGTGCCGCAATACAAGCTGCAAGCCAAGGTGACTGCGCTCGAACGAAGCGGCCGGAAAGATCCCGTCTTCAGATTTGATGTTTATGTGGGTTGCAGCACCTCTATTTAAACCCATACACTGCTGATAAGACCTATACAGACCAATCTTCCCAAGTTTCGCACCACCCAATTCCGAGATGTCCGTCGGACACATGGCGAATTCGTCAAGCTCGCCGACCACCTGGTGTCCTCAAACCCGGAAGCACTGGTGCCAGCTGTACCGCCAGCCCAGACCTCCGCCGGCGTGGGGACCGATGAAGATGAAGCACGAGTCAAGGCCGCAATTCAACGGTGGCTGAATGTTGTCTGCAGCAATGACGTGCTCATGCGGGATGAAGAGATGGTGTTCTTCGTCGAGAGCGATTTTGGGTACTCGCCCGTGGTGAGAATGAAACAACCCGCGACGGGAGTGAGGCGGAAAGTTTTGAAGCAGTTTGCGCCGCCACCGGATGATACGCCAGAGCTGCACGAGGCGAGACCCGTGGTTAAGATGTTCTATCTTGGCGCGCTGGACACAAGCCAGAAGCTGGAGAGAGTCGTCAAAGCCAGACGAGGTCAGTCAACTCGATCATGATCATTTGGTATGTAAACTAACAGGCTACAGCCCTCGGTCTGGGAGAATCGTCCCTTGGCGAGAAGATCGGCCAAATGGCCGTGCAAGAGACGCATTCGGGTCTCGCAACTGCGTACCGCAAACTCGGTCGTATAGTCCAGACCTGCGGCGACTACCACGCCGCACAAGGCACGGCCGAAGCCACCACCCTGGGGGACGCACTGACCTACCACTCCTCGGACGCCTTCATCGTCAAAGAAACGCTGACCAATCGGCACATCCTGCTCCGCGAGCTCCTGCAGGCCGAAGCCAGTCGCCGGAGCAAAGAATCCGCCGTGCAGCGCCTCAAATCGTCCAGCAGCGTCCGGCGGGACAAGGTCGACGAGGCCATTTCGGCGCTCGACGAAGCCATCAGCCAGGAGAGCTACCTGCGCTCCAAGACACACCGCGTGACGGCGAACCTCCTGCTCGAGAAACGGAGATGGTTCAACCGCACCAGCACGGAATTCATGCTCTCGCTGCGAGAGTACGTGCTCAGGCAGATCGAGGCCGAACGACGCACCCTCGCGACCCTCGAGAGCGTCCGCCCGGACGTGCGCGCCATCGACGCCTCGGGCGGCCTCAGCCGCTTGGGCCGCGAGAACCACCCCACCGTCCGGCGCATCTCCATGGCGAGCAGCCAGGGCGCCAAGGGCGATTCGTGGTCCGGCGTGCCGCGCAGCAGAGACGCCCTCTCACGGAGCATGTCCGGCGGCTTTGGACCGGGCGCCTTGGGCGTGCCCATTTTGCCCGAGGACGAAGAGAACGGGGCCAACGGCGCGGGTGGGGCGCAGCAAGGAGGGGGAAGGCCGAGAAGTGGCACGGGCGCGAGCCTGGAGAGGGTCAAGGAGGATGAAGACGAGGATCGCGTCGATGCTAGGAACGCGGCGAGTCGGTTGGCGCAGAGTACGTTCTAGGCGAGCTAGGTCTGTTCCTTGATGGAGGCTGCATCAAGTGGCTAGCCTGAGACGCGCGTCGATTGGAAGCTAAGTGTCACACGTTACCAAGCGTCACACGGTTACCGGAGAGAAAAGCAGGGGCATGGATCCACAGGTAGAAGAAGCAAGAAAGGAAGCACGACATGGAGCGATTGTGGGGTATTGCACTGACCACAGCCAGTAGGTACAGTACAGTACAGTGCAGTACAGGAAGGGGTATTTGTCTGTCTCACCAACTACCTGGTATCCAAGCTCAGCTTTGCTGTATCGTTACCCATCTCAGCACTGTTGGCACTCTGGCACTGTAGCCAGCATCTGCTCAGTAGACTCTCCCTTAAAGCAAGCCCCTGGGTATCATGACAAGAATGAAAATGAACATGAAAACAAGAAAAAGGGGCTGGGAAGAAATCAAGCTCATCAGCCGATCCTCAAGCACTTTTCCTTCAACCTCTGTTCCACTTGTCGTCAATGTGCGTAGGCTGTTGGCGAAGCTTCAGCAACATTTGTTGACTGCGGAGTTTTGGCTGATCGAGTTGCTCGAAGGAGTTGGACGTGGTTGGGATTATTAGGGCTCCGAGGCACATAAGCCTGGTTTGACCACCGCTGTGGTTCGATGGTTTGCTTGCATTGTCGTTGGTCTGTACAGCTCATGTCTCTGGGGTTTGGACATGGTCGTGATGACCGCTCAGCTTCTTGGCTTTCTACTCGAAGGTTCGGTGAATAGCGCAGTAGGGTTTCTGAACGTGTTAGCCGGTTGTGACTACTTCTCGACAAATCAAGACATACCGTCAAGGCTCACATGGAAGGATGGTGCAACCCTCGATGTTGTATCTTTTTCGCCCTCATTCTTCTGCATCACTATCGGCCGCCTCTTTCACCTAAAAACTCGGACCCAAGTGTCGCAACACGTTCTGAAGTCTTTCTCCGTCTGCGCCGTTGCCGCCGAAATCGTTCTCAGGCTGAGTTGCAGTGGCTGCGCTCACTTGGGCTGGCATTCGTATACCAGATCCGTAAGAAGCGGCACTTGGATTTAGGGTCGAGGGAGGGAAATCGTTCATGCCATTTATGCCCAACCCATTGGGGCTGGGAACGCTGCCGACGGGACCGAAGCTACCAATAGCCGGGTATGTGAAACTGCGAAGTTGCGGGCTCGGAGTAGCGGCGGGAGTGCCAGCAGGAGTATTTGGACGGCTGGAACCATTGCCTCGACTGCTGCCAATTGGACCCCATGGGTTCTGAGCTGGGAATATGCCAGTGTTTGGAGATCGTGCAGGAACCGCCAGACTTTGCTGAGTGTAAGGATTGACACCGGTAGGAAATTGCATCGTCTTGATGGTCGCTTGGAGCGCTTCGCGTTCTTCAAGCAAGGTGGTGCGCTCCTCTTTCATGTTGCCCAGCTGCGCTGTCAACTGAGACTTCTCGCTCTGGAGTCCTTCGATCGTGTCCATCAAGGCACGTTTTTCACGTTGAGTCTGCTGAACGAGGCCGCGGAGGAAGTCATTGTCGTTTCGGAGCTGGGCAGCGTAGCCAAAATCGACACTGCCACGAGGCGATGGTGTCCCAGGACGGCTGCGAGAGGAGAAAGGAGTCTCTGGTCTGGAGAGTGCTCCGCTGCCCACACTGAGGTTGTCGCGCTCGGTGGTGTTACCATTGAAGGTGCCCAGTGAAGCCAGTGAAGCCGATGAGCGGTTGGTGAGAGCAAGTTTGGTGAGAGCGCGTTCAAGCGACTTGCCTGCCTTTGCCGGTTCACCTGGAACGACCTGGCGAGGTGCAGCCGTGTAGTGACCTGTGTCATAATGTGCGTAGACTGTTCTTCAAATTAGCCTCCCGATCGTGATAAGTGCTCCAAGGCGCAGGTTGTCGCTCATTCAATATATCGGGGAGGGGAGACTCACGGCATTCGTCATCCGAGTATTTGCATTCACCTTTCTCCCACCACCAGAAGCAAGTCAAATGTTTGACGGAGCGACGATCCTGGTCGTTTTGATTTCCCACTGGCGATGGCATTGGTGAGGTTGCGCGGGAGGCAGGTCCGCTTCTCGAGCGCAGGGAGTCTTGACCGGGGCCGTCACTTTCGTCTTCAGCACCTTGTGGAGTGCGAATGACCATAGGAACGGACGAGGAGCGGGACTCGCCTCGTGGACCAGCGGCGTGTCCGCCGAGACGAGAGCGGCGTGAGGGTGTCTCTTGAGTCGTCATACTCTGTGGTGAGCTGGGCTCGGATTTCGACATGTCGGGCTCGAACGACTTCTGAAGGGGACTGTGAACGAGGGGGCTGCTGCTCTGACGCTGATTTGCAGGCGAAGGCGCACGATTCCTAGTCCAGGGACTTGGTGTAGGCTGGAGGTACGAGCGCGGTGGCATGGTAGAGAAGCGAAGCTTTTTGGGTCCTTTGGGAGCTCCTGCTGGCGCTTTGGAGGGTGGAGGAAGTGAGGATTCCGACATTGCGACTGCGACAGAGACTTAAATAGCAACCAGTTATAGCTGTAGCGCTGCGGAGCGGACAGGCGCAGACGCAGGTGCGGTTGGAAGTAGAGGGAAGGTGGTCTTCAGGTGGACGAGAACGAGCGAGGAGGGTGAATGCGCGAAGATTCATGTTAACGCCAGCCAGCAGCCGCGGTGAGGCAGGAAGATTTTACTTGTGAAGAGGCTTTGTTGTAGACCGCTCAGCTCGATTGTCTCATCCTCACTGCCAGCACTTGTCGGATCGAAGTCAAAGATTGTTCTCAACAAGTCCCGGCGCTACTCCTTCTGCTGGTGCGCTCTCCATTGTTCGATCTGATCCCGAAAACCTGGAGAGAACTCATCAAACCGCTCTGCCCCATCGTCGCTCAGCGTGAAGTACGGCGCTCTGTCCTTGAGGAAAATATGTGCTCCTACAGGGGGCAGAGCAGGCTGAGCTTCAACGAGCGTCCCCAGCGTCAGGCCGATGCGGTCTGTCTCGTGGAAATACCGCATCGATATCGCCGAACCACACTGCGTGCAATGCCCGCGCTCAGCAATGTCGCTGGCTTGCCACAGGTCTGGCTGTTGTGTCCATTCAATGGCCGTGGTGGGAAAGCCGACGAACGGCAAGAATGGGGCACCTGTAACCCGCTGGCAGGTTATACAGTGGCAGAAAGTGACAGCAAGTGGTTGGGCTTGTGTCTTATACTGAATGCGCCCGCACGCGCAGCTGCCGTGGATCATGCTGGGCTCTGGCATGCAAGATGAATGAGACAAATGATACGGCTAGAGATGAAAGATGAAAGATGAAGTCGGAAGAGGCACGATTTTATCGACGATGCCAAGTTGATCTGAAGCTGAAACCATCCCTCATTCGTCTCTGGGCGCCATTTATTCCTAAGCAGCGTTTACCGGCAGACCAACAACTCATCTTTCTATACGCACTCTATCCCACAAGGACGTTGCGTCATCAGTGGCTTGTAGCAATTGCCTTGATCCCAATATCGCCCAATGCCGGATTAGTCAATTCCAGCTGCGGACGCTTCCTCCACATTTCCCGCACCATCGCCAAATTGATGCCGGTCTCCGCGTCTTCAAGGCGCTCCGAGCAAAGTACGAAGCCAAACGAGCCCGCCCTCTCTGGGGGTTTGGATTCAACTTTTACACGCCGGTTGAGGAAATACACGCCGGTTGGGGAAATCTATAACTGCAGTCCAGGCGCTGTTCTTGAGTGTCCTCTTCTTTCGGTGGACGGATAGGCGTGTGCCTTGAGGGATGGTTGAGGGTCGAAGAAGTGGAATTTGCATATCTACTCGAATGCTTGGCATAATTATGCCGGGTGTCGCCAGCAGTCTCCCATTCGACGGACGATGGCGGCGATAGGTACAGGCTCGATGATGCTGAAGCATGCGCCTACGCAGCTCTTGCATTGCAGCTGCTGTTGTCCTCTGAAGTACACGGGTATACACGGTCAATAAAGCGAAGGACCGAGGCAAGAGGGGTGCACTGGCTGCTTCGCTGCGTCGGGTCAACGAGACAGCGCAGGGTAAGTAGTGTCCAGACAACCCGATAGTCGAGATTTCTGACACGACATGGGACAATTGGTCCCTGCCATTGTATCGGAAAATCAATTCGAGATTGAACGGACCAAAATGTACCGGACGAACGCGCTGTCCATTGACGAGTTGGTATCCAAACCTGGACCCTGGAGGTCAGCGCTTCGCATGAAATTCTCGAAGGAGGCTATCTAACGAGATATATTTTCGCCGATATTTCACAGCACATACCCAGATGTCACCGTCCATTGCGAAATCAAGTCAAGAGCAGAGTGGATGAAGATACGAAAGCCTCACTAGACATCACAGCTGCCCGAAACGGGTTGCGGAAGCCTTCGATGAGACAGGATAGGGGCGACTGGAAGATATGATCAACTAAAGCATCACGCCACGGGGAATCGTATTTGATCTGACAGTAGTATTAGGGAGTGTGCAGAGTTTGCAAACCGTCTCCCGCCTTCGAGCAGACTGAAATTCAACAGTAGGAAGCTGCCGCAGCCCACGTCAGCGGAAGCTGCATCTTACCGCCATAATCTGGTCCTTTCCGGGGTTGTACACGGCCCATTGTTTGCTGACATACCCGTCGGTGCCCACGTTGGGCTATTATTCTAGGACGGCGTCACGGCTCGCAAGGTAGCTTCTTCGGAACAAACTTGATTCAAGCAGCTTCCCCCGCAACTTTCGCAGCATGACCGTGAGTCAGCCCAAGAAGTCGCGCCTCATTGTCGACAGCTTCGGGAAGCTCGTCAACCAGTTCTCCCTTGACAGGCTGCCATCCGAGCAGCTTCTTGCCGCGAATCGATATTCCTCTCGAGTTCGTTCCAATTGCCAAGCTGGCGTGGGGTAGATATGCATCGGCGTCGCGTGGTGGCAGACTTTCAAGCGTCGGATCCTGCAGAAGCCCCTTTTTATGAGCCACGTTCGCTATCTCCTGGAGCACATCTCCCCAGACGAATGGTCCGTTCTCGGCCAGATAGTAGCCTTCAGCGTTCCACGTGGCCGGTTCCCCTTTGTTCAAGGCCGCCTCCCCCAGCAGGAGATAAAGGTTCGAAAGGTCGGCGACGTGAATTTGATGCCAGATGTTCTCTCCCTTCCCGACCTTGAAAGCTTTGCCCCGCTTCAAGAACGCCTTGGTGGCATTATATATCTGCACAGACCGTGTATTCTTGGCATCTCCGTTAGCTGATATGATTGGTGACAAGACTGGAACAGCCACTGCTGCCATTGAAGAGCTGGGTTTGGAGACAAGGGCGACTTACGTCTGGACCTCGACCAACTCCCCAGATGGTTGGGGGACAGACGATCGCTGTCTTGACCTTGTCCGATGATGCAGCCAGAACGATCTTGTCAACCTGGTAGTGTTGAGTCTCCATCAGTGCTTTCCCATGCTGCCCGTGGGTCAGAGAGCTTACATTTCTGTGGGCAGCGTGGTCTGGATGGGAGGTCAACTCTTTGACATTCTCCCAATCGTCAAAAACCTTGTCCAGCCTGTTTCCAAACTCTGCAAGCTCGATCGTCTCCCAGCCTAGAATCAGAGTGCCTGACGTGTGGATCCAGTAGCCTGGTTGATCCCCCTGACGCCGAGCAAGGCCTTTGGCAATGGCATTCGCCGATGGCTCATGATCACAGTTGGCGAAATGATAGACAATATCAGCATTGGCGGCTTCTTCTTCTATCGTTTCGACGGCGTCAAGATCCCCGTACACGAGTCTCACCTTCGGATAGGCTCTGTGAGAGCGTCAGACACATGTCTGGAGTTAGACAAATGATGGCTATGCCCCTACGCTGCAACCTTGGCGCCCTTGTCACTGTTGCGAACCAAGCACGTGATGTCCCAGTCTGGATGTTTTTGTGAGACGAGATAGAGGAAGTCCCCGCCAATATAGCTGCTTCACCGTTAGCAGTCATGAGCTGTGGGTGAAAGCCGGACAACGAGACACGATTGGACAAATATGCATGTCGAGGGACTCACCCGGTCGTGCCCGTCAAGAACACTTTCACTGCCATCCCGATAGATAAAGTCTTTCATATGCATCTACCTTTCAACTATCACAAAGTAGAGTCAATCGCATCGAGCAGTGGAAAAGTGTCAGTTCTGTGTGACGGAGAGATCGAAATGCTCAACAGGCAGTGACGTGAGTGAAACGGCCTGCGCCTTCCACCAAACCATCCACGGCCATTCTTCACCACGTGACCACCTTGGGTGGCTTACATAATATCTGTGGGCTCGCTGGTGTCGCCTTTCTCCAATCCGTCTGCAGTTCAAGGCTGTTTTGACTCGTCTTGACGGAGACGAGCAGGATCCTACCAGTATCTCTTCAACAACCACAACCATCCACACAACCAGATAACTTTTCCGCTTAGCAGATCTCGGAGACAACTGCTGAGCTCTGGCAGGGATCTCGACAGAAATTTCACACCATTCTGCCAACAGCCAAATGTCGTTAGCCTAACCTCATGGTACGAGAGACGCCGACCTTCATATTAGCCTCAACGAGGTCGCAGCGTCCGAAGCCCGGGCGTAATGCCCCCACCAGTCGGTGGTAAGAGGAAGCGACCAGATCGCGGATATTCAGACGATCAACCTCCTAGCCGTCCCTCGCCTCATCGCCCCCAAAATCTCAACCTGGCGCACTCGGGGTATCAATCAAATGATCGCGACTACAGTCAACCACGCGGAAGAGGTGGTAGGAGATCAAGCCGAGGAGGTCGAGGCGCCAGCACCGCGTCAAGTCCCATCAACAGTGCCGGAGACAGGCTACCGTCATTATCGAGGACACCCGTCGCAGATCCTGAGCCCGTTCATGTGAACGGAAACATGGCGACCACCCAGCAAACACCTCTTGAGGCTCCTGCCCTCTCAGACCCCCCTTCCGAATCCCAGCCTTACAATTACACGTATCTGACGGGTGAGACCTGTGACTCATGGCAAACAGGTGGTCGAGAAGACGTATTGCGACAAGGCCTCGAAGGGATGCAAGACGATGAGGGGACACAGCTGATCGTACTGATGCAGGAGTTGGTGCAGTCTGTCGTCTATGGAAGGCTGGGCCCGGCCGAAGCCGGTGACCTCGTCAAACAACTGCTGGAGAGCGAGTTACAAGAAGACCAGGAACAGTCGGTACCGCATCCTACAGTTCTACAGGCTGCGCTACTAGATTCCGTGTCCGTCATGTTCGAGAACAACCCTACGATTCCGCTGGACCGGTTATCAGTCTTCATCTTCGCGACTGGGATACCTCATGAGCTACTCCGACACGAGATCGACGCGCCGTTGTTGGAGAAGTTCAACATGATCCGAAACACCTTCAGCCGTATGGGCATCAGGAAACAGACAAACCTCCTCTATCGACAGGCCAACTTCAATCTGATGCGGGAAGAGTCCGAAGGATTTGCTAAGCTGATGACTGAGCTGTTCACGACCAGCAGCAACGAGGCGCCCACTGCAGACACGGTCGAAGAGACGGTAGAGAAGGTCAAGGCTATGATCGGCGCCTTTGACCTTGATGTGGGACGGAGTTTGGATGTTGTGCTCGACGTCTTTAGCGCTGTCCTTGTCAAACAATGTCGGTTCTTCGTTAAATTCCTCCGCGCGAGCCCTTGGTGGCCCCGTTCCCCACCGCTGGCCAAGAAGACACAGCTCCTGACAGGGCTGCCTTTGTGGGCTCTTCCAGGCTCGCCGGACTGGCATCTGACCGAGGAGGAGAAGCAGCTTGTGGCTCAAGAGACCAGAACACGAGACCAGGCTTTCTGGTCTGACGCTCGAGAGAAGGGCCTTCACGCATTCTATCTGCTTGGGGGATCCCGACCGACACAAGAGCATTTAGAACGGGCATCTTCAGGAGACGAGCTGCTGTCGCAGTGGGTTCGAGAGACTGGTACCTTGCCACCCCCAGGAAACCGCGACGCTGCCCAGCTTCTGGGTTTCAAACTACGCTTTTACTCATCCTCACCCGCCCGAGACGAGACAGACGTCCTCCCAGACAACCTCATCTATCTTTCTGCCCTTCTCATCAAGATTGGATTCATCTCCTTGAAAGACCTATACCCCCACATTTGGAGGACCGATGACGCGATGGATGAGCTCAGGCAGCAGAAGATTAAAGAAAAGTCCGAACGAGAAAGAGCCGCTCGACCGGGTGCTGGAATAAAGAATGCGCTTGCTTCCGCTGGAGCCCTGGCTGACGACACTTTACCCGTCCCACCCCGTCTGAAAGAATCTGCCACACGCTCAAATACGCCGGCCAGGGAGCAAGACACCGAGAAGCCACCTACTAAAGAAAGTGCACCGGCGGATCAGAAGGTTCTCCTGCTAAAGAGCCTGCTCGCCATAGGCGCCCTTCCTGAGGCACTTTTCATCCTTGGCCGCTTTCCTTGGTTGATGGATCTCATACCTGAACTCCCGGAATATATCCATCGCATATTACACCATTCATTGAGCAAAGTGTACGGTGAGATACAGCCTCTGCAAAATCGACCCAGTCTGTGCGCTCAGAAGCCGAGCTACGAAACCGACGTACCCGGAGTCCCAAAAGGCCAGGTCAAGATTGTGGAAGCAATTGAAAGAAAGGTTCTCCGATGGGCCCAACTGGACAAGAATGATTCCCTCGACGGCACCGACTACCGCTTCTATTGGGACGAGTGGAACGACAACATCCCTATCTGCCAGAACGTTGAAGATGTTTTCACCTTGTGTAACATCTTTCTGCCGCTTGTGGGCGTCAAGATTGGTCAGGACGTCGGCCTTCTGCTCAAGATTTCCCGCATCGGGAAACATAGCTTGCACACCGACAAGACCGAGTCCAACCGATCGCGATGGTTAGACTTGATTAAGCGCACCTTGCTCCCATCATTGAGCCTAACAAGGTCGAATGCCGATGCAGTCAATGAAGTCTTTGAGCTGATCAGTATATTCCCCGTCAGCGTCCGCTACTTGATGTATCTCGAATGGTCATCCGGCCGGACATCACGCAATCCAGATGTCAAGGCAGCATTCGATCAAGCCAGGGCTGAGACCAAGGACATCCTAAAGCGTATATCCAATACCAATGTACGACCGATGGCCCGGGCCTTGGCAAAGATTGCTTTCGCCAATCCGCACATCGTCATAACCACTGCGCTCACTCAAATCGAAGTCTACGACAGTATCGCAGAGGTGTTTGTCGAGGGCGCTCGCTACTTCACGGATCTGGGCTATGATGTCCTTACTTGGGCCATCGTCAGCTCAATGGCGAAAACGGGACGGAATCGGACGCAAGAAGGCGGCATCTTCGCCAGCCGTTGGCTCTCCGCTCTTTCTGTATTCGCTGGCAAGATCTATAAGCGCTACGGCATGATGAAGCCTGGCCCGATCTTACAGTATGTGGCTGAGCAACTTGAACATGGTAACACTATGGACCTCAAGATGTTGGAGCAGATCGTACTTTCCATGGCCGGAATTGCCACTGACACGAGTTATAACGATGCTCAGTTGCAAGCAATGGGAGGTGGGCCGCTGCTCCAAGGCCAGATCATTCTCCAACTGCTTGATCGCCGTCACGACTCAAAGAGAACTTCAGAGCGCTTGATTAAGTCGCTTCAAGACACCGGCTTGGCCGCAAAATTCTTGATTTCCATGGCTCAACAGCGGCAGGCTGTGGTCTTTGAGGATAGTGAAATCCCACTGAAAGCGATCGGAAACACATATGACGAGGTACACCGCGTCATGGTCCAGTATCTTGATCTCCTCCGAACGAACCTATCTCCCGATGAGTTTCGAGCTACCATTCCTGATGTTATCAGTCTCCTCGTTGACTACGAGATACGACCAGAAATTGCCTTCTGGATCGCCCGTCCGCTCATTTCCCGACAAATGCAGGATTACGACAGAGAAAATCGCAAAGAACAGCAAGCAGAGGAGGTCAAGGACATCAATGGAGACGTTGACATGTCAGACCAAATTAATGGTGGTTCGGAAGAGGATGGCGAGGCTGTGGAGACGGAGAACATCACGAATGACTCGCCAGCTCCAGGTGACACGATGGGTCCAGCGCTTGATCTCGACGCCAGCACCAAGTCACTCGGGACATCTGATTCCATATCAGAAGATTGCTGGCATCCTGTGATGAAAGATCTGATGACTGCCATCGAGCCATCTCTGCCTGAAGAAGTCACCAAAACCATAGGCACCGGCTTTTATTCGACCTTTTGGCAGCTGTCCTTGTACGATATTGCGGTTCCTAGTAAGTCGTACGAGGATGAGAGTGCTCGGCAACGCAAAAAGATGGCTGCCGTCACAGCAGACCGGACAGACGTCAGTGTTTCCGGCACCAAGAAGAAGGAAATGGCGACGAGGGAGATTCAAGACCTCATCGACAAATTACTGCTGGAAAACAAGCAACATCTGAAATCCTTCCTGGAGGGTAAAGCGCGACTACAGCGTGAAAAAGAGCAGTGGTTCCTAGGCAAGACTAGGATGGACAGGGCCCTAAACACGGCCCTGATGGAGCATTGCTTTCTCCCGCGAATGCTATCCTCCCCCCTCGACGCCTACTTCTGCTTCAAATTCCTCAAACTCCTCCACAGTGGAGGCACACCAAACTTCCGGACCCTTGGATTTTACGACCTCTTCTTCAAGACAGCCCGACTTATTTCATTGATTTTCATGTGCACGTCCAAGGAGGCCGACAACTTTGGAAAGTTTTTGAACGAGGTATTGAAAGATCTCGCGCGATGGCATAGTTCTAAAACAACATACGAGAGGGAAGCGTGCGGAGGCTCGAAGAGAAATCTGCCTGGATTTGCCCTGAAAGTCGAAGCTGGGAGAGTTGTCGCATTGCTAGACTTCGAGAGCTTCCAGAAAATCCTGTTCAAGTGGCACAGCAACCTGTACACGGCACTTCAGAAATGTCTGGCTTCGCCGGAGTACATGCACGTTCGGAATGCCATATCGGTGTTGCGCGCTATTTCCGGGGTCTATCCTGCCGTCAACTGGCATGGGACCGGGTTGCAGAAGGCTGTGGATAAGCTGCGGGATTCTGATAAGGAGGACCTCAAGGTCTCGTCTCAAGCCTTACTTGGAGCTTTGCATCGGCGCGAAAAAGCTTGGGTCGAGACAACGAAGTTCCGCAGAGGGCCCGAAAAGAAAGGAGAGCAAGAGCAAGCGCAAGCAAGCTCCCAGACCGTCAGTGCTTCTTCCCAGGATGCGCCCTCTTCAGACACGAAGCCAAGCATCCAGCAAGGCAACGGCGAGATCAAGGATGAACCAATGGCGGATGCGCCGTCCAAGCCAGCAACCATCCTTGCTTCTGAAAAGAAGGAGAGTGGGGAGTCGTCTAGAACTACCAGGCTCCAACCTACTGCCGAGCCCTTTGCACCGTCTCCTAGGCCGTCGTCCAGGCCAGCCACAACCAATGGTGCTTCGACACCGTCACGACAGAGCAGTGAGGCTTCTGCAGCTCCCAAGCGAGAACCCCGACCTACTCGTCCTGAGCCTTCTAAGCCTCACGATCTGCCGCGACGCCTCACTCCGCCGCCTCCATCGCGTTCGACCTTGGCTGGTCTGCCGAGCCGTCCCGAACCAGTGGATTCTCGCAATGGCCACAGAGATAGTCCACGCCCGTCACATCGCGCAGAAATCGATCCTGCACGACCGCCGCCCGATGCTCGGACGAACCACACTCGTGACGCAAGATCAGGTTACCGTGGCCCGGAGCGACCGGAACGACCGGACCATGGATTTGATGACTATGATCGCCACTCCCGGCGATATGAGCGGCCGGACGGTCCGCCTTATCCTGGACGTGAGGACCGCGGGTATGGTCGCGAGCACGAAAGAAGAGCCCCATACGATCGACCTATACCGCCTCAAGAAAGAGATCGTCCGCCTGTTCGGCCTCCGCCAAGTGAACGTGAGCGAGAGACACGTGAGCCCGGTCCAAGATCAAGACCTGTACCAGCTCCAGAACTTGCGAGGCCGGAACCACAGGCTCCTCCGAGAAACGAGACCCCATTGGAGCCCACTATCAACCCTGCACGAGCTTCGTTGATAGGGGGCGGTGGGGATCAGAGAACCCCTCCTACGAGAGGCCATGGGCTGGAGAGGCCGTCGAGACCGTCCCGACCAAGCTCGCCGCGAAGAGACGAGGAACGAAAACCATACCCCCGTCGCGACGTCGAAGAGCGAACCAGGCCAGAGAACCCTTCCGTGCGTCAGCCCTCCTCCAACGGCCCCTCGTTGGAGCCAGCAGCCCCATCTTCACGTTCTGGTGGGTCCGGGCAATACAGAAGAGACCCGAGAGACGCTCGCCAACCGCCAGCGATTGACATGCAGCATGGCAGGCTTGAGCAAGAGACTTCACCACGAGCGTCGCTGTTACAGACCCCGGATCGGCCTCAGGAATCGGATGTCCCATCTGGCCCTCGTGGCCGACCACCTTCGGCAGGGGGCCCAAGAATGAGAGCCCCTCCTCTTAATACACAAGTTCCACCCACGCCGCCTGCGGATCGACCCACTCCAACCGGACCGTCAAGACGACAACATGGCCGGACCAGCTCGTATGCAGAAGCATCCTCTGCACCAGGTACTCCTGCTGCAGATTCGGCAGGCGTTCATCCCTCTCGCCTTAGCCAGATTGATGCTGTGCCATCTGATTCTTCGCGCCCGAGTCAAACCGTGCAATCTTCGCAGCAGGCTCATCCACCAGCAGGTCCTCGAGGCAATGCTCCTCCTGGAGCTCCATCCGGACCATCGCCTACAAGCCGAGGACCTCCATCCGGACCACAATCTGGTGACGCGAGCATCCGTGGGGGGCGGACAAATCGAAATCCGCTCACGGGCATCAACAACACACTTGCGCAAGCAGGCACATCTTCGGTCCGTGGACGTGGCGGTCCGAGACAGAACAGTGGAAACTTTGGTTTACATATGCCTCCGCCGCCTCCACCTCCACCAGGTGGTCCTCCTGCTTCAGGTCACGGTCCCAGTTCGGATGGACACCCTTCCAACGACCTCTTCGCATCTTCGAATCCAAATGATGTACCGGTTGGCAGTAGACAGATCTCATCGCGCCACGACGTGGGGAGAGGAGATCGGAGAAGTGAGTTGGCAGAGGATCGTGGATCTGAGAGGAGATCTTCACGACACTCGAGTCGGCACGATGAATCACGCGGAGACAGGGAGCACCGAAGTGAGCGAGACGGACGTGACGGCAAGGATGAGAGACACAGCCACAGCGGGGGTGATCTACAAAGGCGGGAAGAGCGACCTAGTAGGCGTGAAAACCACCTGGGGGAGGGGGATGACAGGAGAGGAGGCCCTCTGCGATCGGGCCCTAGGGATGAGACACCGTCTTCAAGGAAACATGGCCGTGATGAAGAGCCGAATGCATATGCCAGGGGTCATGGCGCTGGTGGCGGTGGTGGGAGAGGAGGAGACAAGCGCATGCGGCGCGGCCTGTGAATGAATGAAGGGCAAGACAACTCTGCAATTGCAATTCTTACATTTGTAGCTGGCGGGAGCGTGCAGGGAAGTGTTGTATACCCGAGACATGCCGGAGGTCTGCTAGATTCAAAATGTGTTAGTACATGATGACTCCTCGAGTTCCTCTTCTTAGACGGTCACAAGGCGTATGTTTGGCTGGCCGTGTCTTGTCAGGAGCTTTTTATGAGCTGGTAGCTGGCTTGTTGACACGATTGCTACTGTAAGTGACTCCAGCTGTGGTAAGGCACATCTTACCACAGGAGTCTCTTGGTGATCACGTGATTTACTACAAGGCAGGGGCTTAGGTAAGCGAGGCCCCGCTCCACTTCCACATTTCTACACTTCCGACTCTCCAAAAGTTCGTGTCGGTTGCTCGCGTCGACCCGGACCAGGCTCACATCTCTGTCCAACTGTTGCTTACAGCCACTTGGCCTTTTCCTGCAACAGACCAATTGTCACTGCATCTAGCCTGGTACCTCCATTCACCACCGGCTCGACCAGGTCGGCTCATGCGAATTTAATCTGACCACTTTCCTCTGAGATCTGGCCTCGGAATCTCATACTCCATTATGAAGCGCCGGCCGTCGAATCCTTGAAATCCCTACTTTCCTGCGTCAGCTATGGCCGAGTACGGCTCTCACTATGGCGCTGGTACCGGCCAGGCGCCCTATGTGAACCCAGATCCTCGAGCACAACAATATCCTCCAGGCTCGCAGCCGGGCTACCAACAGTATGGCGCCGATCCTAACGCCCCACAGGTGTATGCCAACATGCAACAGACGCCTTACCCGGGACCAGGTCCCGCGCAGATTCCGCAGCAGCATGACACCATGAACGGGCTGGCTGCCCAGATGGGAGGTCTCGACGTGGCAGCCGCCCCTGTACGGTCTCACAGAAAGAAGGAAAGGCATGCATATCACGAAATAGCCCCGGCTCCTGGTATGGGGTCAGGGGCACCCGCTCCACCAGTCAGTAGCGTCGGAAGCACACAGTTTCTGAACAATGCACCAAATGCAGGGCTAGGAGGAGGTGTGCCAGCTCAACCGGGGGACAATGCCGTCCTCAATCCCACGGACAAGCTAAGGATGGGTGAAGAGGCTGTTGCGGCTCAGGGCAGAGTCAACCCCGAACAAATACCAAGCGTATCGAGGTCAAGAGACGTTGCGACACAGTTCTACCAGCGCAATGTCTACCCGACCATGGAGAAGCATCTTCCCCCTGCTGCGGCTATACCCTTTGTTGCCCACGATCAAGGCAACTCATCCCCGAAGTTTGCCAGGCTGACAGTCAACAATATCCCCGCTACGTCAGAAGCGTTGGCCTCGACCGGACTTCCCCTAGGTCTGGTGTTGCAGCCTTTTGCCGCTGTTCAAGAGGGAGAGCAACCGGTACCCGTGATCGATTTCGGTGAAGGCGGACCCCCTCGGTGCCGGAGGTGCCGGACGTATATCAACCCATTCATGACATTCAGAGCTGGCGGCAATAAATTGGTGTGCAATATGTGCAATTTCCCCAATGATGTCCACCCAGAATACTTTGCGCCCACAGACGTGGCCGGAGTTAGAGTGGACCGACTACAACGGCCAGAACTGATGATGGGCACAGTCGATTTCACAGTACCGAAAGAGTACCAAACGAAGGAGCCTGTGCCGATGCGGTGGCTATTTATGATCGATATCACCCAAGAGGCCATTAATCGAGGATTTCTTGAGTCGGTCTGCAAAGGTATTCTGGATACGCTGTACGAAGGTGACGGCGAAGATATCCCAGAAGGGGATACCGAATTTCGCAGGCTTCCGGCCGGCGCCAAAGTCGCCATCGTCACCTATGACAAGGAGATACAATTTTACAACCTCTCGGCTGGCTTGGAGGCCGCGCAGATGATGGTTGTCACTGATCTGGAGGACCCCTTTGTCCCTCTGGCAGGGGGTCTCTTTGTTGATCCGCAAGAATCGAAGACTGCTATAACGGCACTTCTGACATCAATCCCTACCATGTTTTCTCTTGTCAAGAATCCAGAGCCGGCTCTATTACCCGCCTTGAACGCCGCCTTGGCTGCGTTGACTGCAACTGGCGGTAAGATAATATGCTCATTGTCAGCATTGCCGACGTGGGGTCCAGGAAGGCTCCACCTGAGAGATGACGGTAAAGGCCGAGACACAGATGCAGAGAGGAAGCTGTTCACAACCGAACACCCGGGCTACAAGAAGACAGCAGCCGCTATGGTGACTGCAGGTATCGGAGTAGACTTCTTCCTGGCGTCTGCTGGCGGAGGGTACATGGATATTGCCACCATTGGTCATGTGTCACGGCTGACGGGCGGCGAGATGTTCTTCTACCCCAATTTTGTGGCACCTCGCGACTCTCTCAAACTACAGCTCGAAATCAAACATTCCTTGACAAGGGAAACCGGGTACCAGGCGCTTTTGAAGGTGCGCTGCTCGACCGGTTTGCAAGTGACTGCCTACTATGGTTCATTCTTGCAACATACGTTCGGAGCAGACCTTGAGATCGGAACAATCGACGCTGATAAAGCTATCGGGGTTACCTTCTCCTACGATGGCAAGCTCGAAGCGAAGTTGGACGCTCATTTCCAGGCGGCTCTGCTTTACACGTCTGCTACTGGTCAGCGAAGGGTGAGGTGTATCAACGTGGTCGCAGCTGTCAACGAAGGCGCCACCGACACCATGCGCACGGTTGACCAAGACGCGGTGGTTAACATTATTGCCAAAGAATCCTCGTCCAAGGTGTCGGAAAAGTCACTCAAGGATATCCGAGCCAGCATCACGGAGAAAACCATTGACATTCTGGCTGGATACCGCAAGAATTTCTCGGGGTCGCATCCTCCTGGGCAGCTCGTGCTTCCAGAACATCTCAAGGAGTTCGCCATGTACACGCTCGGGTTGATCAAAAGCCGGGCATTCAAAGGTAAGCCTTGGCGTCGACTTGCTCTTGCCTTGATTGCTAATGCCCCTCGTAGGAGGTGTTGAACCCACCGATCGCAGAGTGCATTCGGCCCGCTTCATGCGGTCCTCTGGAGTGACCGAAACGTCGTTATACCTGTACCCCCGAATCTACTCACTTCATAACCTGAACCCGGAGGATTGCTTTGCTGACGCTGAGACAATGCAACTTGTCGTCCCACCCACGCTTCGAGCCTCCTTCGCTCGGGTGGAGGAAGGCGGCGTGTATCTGGTCGATAATGGACAGGTCGTGCTTCTCTGGCTCCATGCGCAGGTGTCCCCGAATCTATTACAGGATCTGTTTGGTGAGGGCAACTACAGCTTACACGACCTCGATCCCATGATGAATGAGCTCCCTGTGCTGGAAACCCACCTGAATGCTCAGGTACGGAATCTGCTGCAGTACATTTCTACCGTGCGCGGAAGCAAGGCGGCAAGCTTCACACTCGCCAGACAAGGGCTCGACGGCTCAGAGTTTGAGTATGCCCGAATGCTGGTGGAAGACCGGAACAATGAGGCTCAAAGCTATGTAGACTGGCTTGTACATGTCCATCGCGCCATTCAAATGGAGTTGAGTGGCCAGAGGAAGAAGGAGGAGACTGGCGATCATGACGGGATTTTGAGTAACCTGACGAGCCTCAAGGCGCCGTACTGGACATGATCATATTGGTCACGCTTGACATCAGCCACGCGGATAGGCTCATGAATGAAGAGTAAACCGACGGAGAAGCTCAACACCCAACGATCTGATTCAATCCTACTTGCAGACACAGCCATGTGCAATTGTATGACGATTGGAAGACTAGGAGCCTCCCGGCGCTGGTCAAGTCCCAAAGCAAGCTCGGCCCCCTCATGCGATGGTCCATGTTTTGTCGGACTTTAGGCATCAAGCGTGATGGGACTTTTGCCATGCATTAGCAGTCCATGCTGAAAGCGTGTTGAGCCCGGTAACCATCCCATAACCGCCTGGCCGCAACCACTTGATGCTCATGGAACCCGGCATGACCCCAGGCCGCCACCGGGGGCGCTTTGAATACTCCCGCTTCCACTACCATGAGCCCCGCATTCTGTGCCGGCTTCCCGGTCCTTCGACCGCAATCTCAACTGTTCGTTCTTCTCTTTGACCGCACAAAGCAGACCGTCCGTGATCTCCACCGAAGCTAGATCCAATCCCTCGGTCGAAAGAAGACCAGGATGCGGCACCTCGCCATTTCCGGAAGATCGGACGGGCAGAATATATGCGTGCGAGCGCCAATTCTCCAAGGGCAGTCTTCTCTGTTTCGCTGCCCGATTTCGCTCGCATCCGAGCCAGCAACATGGCAACCGGACCGTGAATCTACGAGCGTATTCGAGTGCTCCGAGGCACGTCGTGGAACTAAGCACTCCAAGCGTCGAGATGAGTTTCGAGAAAAAGTCTGAGATCGAGCGCATGGCCTCGCCTGCAGGCCCGTCCAGCACTGGGTCGACCCGAAATAACTCCCAAGTCGCACATGGCGACGTTGAAAAAGCTCTGTCAATCCACGAGGGCAAAGACGTCACAGCTACAGTAAACCAGGCGGTCGACCCCGATATTGTCGACTGGGATGGACCCGATGACCCCGAGAACCCGTTGAACTGGACATCGAGGAGGAAATGGGCAAATATTGGGTTCTTGTCGATGATCACTCTCTTGACGTTGGTGGCAGCCAGACAATTTGAGATGAGCATGCCATGGCGATACTGACGATTTCTTAGACCATTTGGCTCTTCCATGTTAGCACCGGCCGTGCCACAGGTGATGAGAGACTTCAACTCGGAGAGTGAAGCCTTGGCCTCTTTCATGGTATCCGTCTACGTCCTGGGGTATGCATTCGGTCCCCTTTTCATGTGAGTGCTTTCTCCCGGTTCATGGTGGGACCCTTCGTATCCCTGAAATGGTCACTGACCAAGCCATCATAGAGCCCCAATGAGCGAATTGTATGGTCGACTATACGTCTATCACGTCAATACCTTTCTCTTCATGGTCTTCAGTCTCGCTTGTGGCTGGTCGACCAGCTTGTCGATGCTGATCGTATTCCGCTTCCTGGCTGGGGTCGCTGGCTCCTGTCCTTTGACCGTCGGCTCGGGCTCAATTGCAGACACGTTCAGGCAGGATCAGCGTGGGAAGGTGATGAGTATATGGACATTTCCCATCCTTTTTGGACCGAGGTCAGTCCTAGCCCGGAAGTCTCTTGTGCAACCCAACTGACTAACGAATACCAGCCTGGGACCAGTGGTGGGCTCGTATCTGTCCGAAATCGGCTGGCAGTGGAACTTCTACCTGCTGGCAATTTGTGTACGTCCCGATTGGCGCAGTCCGACTCTCAAACCGTTTAGCTGACATACAGCAGACCGGCGTCCTCTTGGTCGTGGCGCTCGTCATTCAAAGAGAAACGTATCCTCCAGTCCTCCTCGAACGGAAAGCCAAACGACTCCGCAAGCAAACGGGTAACGACAAACTCCGATCGGCGCTCCAATCGACCAAGACGCCTGGGCAATTGTTCTTCTTGAGCGTGGCTCGTCCGACGAAGATGCTGGTCCTTTCGCCCATCGTATTTGGACTCTCGCTGTACATCGCTGTGGTTTATGGCTATTTGTACCTCCTGTTCACGACCATGACATTCGTCTTCCAGGATCAATACGGTATCAGCGCCAGCAACGTTGGTCTGGTCTATCTAGGTATCGGACTCGGGCAGTTCATCGGCCTGTTACTGTTCGGGGCTTATTCGGACAAATTGCTGAAGAGGTTGGCCAAGGGCGGTGAGATGAAGCCTGAGTACAGGCTGCCGCTGCTTTGGCCTGGCGCCATCATTGTCCCCCTGGGTCTTATCCTGTATGGCTGGACCGCGCAGTACAAGGTCCATTGGATTGTCCCCATTCTGGGCACGACCATGCTCGGAGCGGGCATGGTCTTGACGTTTATGCCAATAGGAGTCTACCTGATCGACGCATACACCATCTACGCGGCGAGCGCCATGGCAGCGAACACGGTCCTTCGCAGCCTTGGAGGCGCTTTCCTACCTCTTGCGGGAAGAGACATGTACAATGCCTTGGGACTTGGATGGGGGAATTCTCTGCTGGCATTCATTGCATTCGGCATGTCGCCCATGATCTGGTTCTTTGTGAGGTATGGCGAAAAGATACGGACGCATCCAAAGTTCCAGTTGAATTTGTGAGCTTTGCAGTGCATGAGGGATAGATTACAGATTACTAGAGTAGAATACATAGACTGATCGGATGTCACGTGAAGAATACTGTCTGAAGTGGCGGTCTCGGCAAAGCTGCCTTTCCGACCGTCCGAGGCTCTCACTAGTGAGTCACGACGTACAACCACGACGGTGATTCGCCAATGGACGATGATGTGCTCGACTGGCCCACCGCAGACACAAACGAACAGGCCCGAACTTTTCGCTGGGGTCTCAATCTGAAGCCTCGTGCTGTGACTCAGTGCTACTGTACTCCTACGAGTACGGAGTCTGTGAACGGCGACAGCTTCCTCAATGAACAGCATATAACAGACCTGAGTCCCAAGACCCTGCACTTGTCAATGGATCTCACCTAAGCTCGTCTTTCACCGTCCCTCCACAGTTTGTCCCCGCATCTCGACCTGGAATTTTTTTCAATCGGTAATCGCCCCAAACGCGGGCTGTCATCATGGCGACACCAGATACAAATACCAATGGGGAGACTTTGAATCAGGACTCCCCAGCAACACTCCGTCAGTATCCCCTGCTGAGCCCTCCACTGCCACCATGATTGAACGGCTGCTAAATCCCGTAGAGATTGTCCGAGACCAGCCTGAGAACCCGTTCGCCAAACTCGTCGTCGATCAACGCATCGCCATTGTCCCCTCCTTCACTCTCGAGTCCGGCGTTGTCCTCAAGAATGTCCCCGTCGCGTACACCGTACGAGGCCAACTCTCGGAGAACAAAGATAATGCTCTTGTCATCTGCCACGCCCTTAGTGGCAGCGCGGACGTTGCCGACTGGTGGGGGCCACTGTTGGGAAGGCCAGGCCAGGCATTTGATGTCACGAGGTTCTTCGTCGTGTGTTTAAACAGCCTGGGCAGCCCATACGGCAGTGCCAGTCCGGTGACGAACAAAGACGGAGACCCAGCGCAAGGGAGATATGGCCCCGAGTTCCCTTTGACTACAATAAGAGACGATGTCATGTGAGTTTGGCGGGACCAGGCCATTTGACATGCACTATTGACAATGAATGACAGGATACATAAAATCGTCCTCGACCACCTGGGAATCCGCCAGATCGCGTGCGTGGTGGGCGGCTCCATGGGAGGAATGCTCTGTTTGGAGTACGCCTACTTCGGCAAGGATTACGTGCGGACCATTGCGCCCATAGCCACATCGGCCACTCACAGTGCTTGGGGGATTAGCTGGGGTGAGGCGCAACGACAAGCCATCTACTCGGACCCAAAGTACGAAGACGGATACTACTCGTTTGACGACCCTCCCACTGCTGGCTTGGGCGCAGCGCGCATGTCGGCGCTGCTCACCTATCGAAGCCGAGACTCCTTTGAGGCGCGCTTTGGTCGAAATACTCCTGACGTCTTGAAGCGGCAGTCGATCAGCCAGGGACAGAAGACCAATGGTGTGCAGAACGAGCACTGGAGCATCCACAATCACGGCCATCAGCGAGCCAGAGGTTCACGTGATTCTCGGCCGGTTTCCCGCAATGGTACCGTGTCAGAGCCGACCTCGCAGCCCGAGTCGCCTGATCGACAGCAAACGTTCAAAGATCCTCAATTTTCGGGAAACACGGATTTTGTGATACCCGTTCCTGTCGTCGAGGCGAATAGCTCCAAACCTACGAACCACTACTTCTCCGCCCAGTCGTATCTGAGGTACCAGGGCAACAAGTTTGTGAATCGATTTGATGCAAATTGTTACATTGCGATTACGCGCAAGCTGGACACGCATGACGTATCCAGGAACCGAGCTCCCACCGTCAGAGAAGCGCTTGCGCAGATCGAACAGCCGACGCTGGTGCTCGGCATTGAATCCGACGGTTTGTTCACCATTGCCGAGCAGCGAGAACTCGCCGAGTGTATTCCAAATGGGCGACTAAAGAAGATTGACTCCCCTGAAGGACATGACGCATTTTTGTTACAATTTGAGCAAGTCAATAGTTACCTGCTCGGGTTCTTCCGAGAGTTCTTGGCGGACATCATGGACAAGCCCGGTATTGGTGGCGTGGAGGGCGCAGAGGGGGACGTTATAGATGGAGTAGGCAAGATGACCAAGTCGAGTACATTCGGTGAGGCTGAGGTGGACGATTTGACCGCCTGGTAGGATCACTCGACTGTCGGGCAAATGGTGTTTCGGACCAGTTCAACTCTGGTCGGACACCATGTCGCGAATTGAAAGAGCCACCAGTAAGAGTCGTGCGGGTTGGGGCTGTATATACTTTGTGTCGTTGCCGTCGATCGGATGATCGCATTCGCAGATACCCCGGATATGAAGGTCAGGGAAAAGGACAGCAAACTGAAAGGTGTTCCGTGGTTGGGCGGCTTCACGAATATCGCCTGGTTCTAGTGTTGGAAGAAGAATGAGCCGATTATCGACGTCGTACAGTAATCGCCATTGCCATCTCGTGGCAATCATTGGCGCTCACAAAGGCAGTGCCGGGTCGATGCTGTCGCGTGGTCTATATAATTAGATACTGTTCATTGCCCAATTCCGTCAGGGCTGAGGACAGGCGCTGATGGTTACTCGTACCGGCTTAGGTAAATGACGCGACTTAGCATGCCTACTATGTACGAGTAGGCAGACACCTAATGGGGTCTCGTGACTGAGCTTACCCTTTTGCTTGGACGGGCTTGGTTGGGCTTAAACAGGCTTGGTAAGGAGATCCAGGTGGCCTCGCATATTGGGTAGACGGGCCTGGGGTGTAGTTCATGCGCAACCTTCAGGGTCAAGGGCAAGCAATTCGGAGGACAAGCCACTACTGCACCCACTTCGAATTTTATGCAGGGTGTCTTACGACTTTCTCCCCGAGAGGGCTGATGTGCAGAATAAACTGGGGAGGCTGATTAAGTTTCGGCCGAGCTGAAACGCGCTGTGGTCCTGCTCTTTCGTGCTGCTGCCCTGTCAGATGGAAGAGGCGCAGTTCAATGCTCGCCCAACCACTCTACATCTCTTTGTGACCTTTCACCACCCTCCGAAACAATCATACAGTCTCTCACTCTCCCGAAACTTGCATACGACATTCTGCCTGGATTTCGATCCTGCTCGCACTCGCTGTCACTCCACACCCCCGCTCACGCCTTGAGGGCAGGCCTTGCGAGAAGCTCATTTCACGCTCTCACTCGTTTGCGACAGGCGCCCAAAAGTCTCAGCACGAATCCCACAAACTCTCTCAGCGGCGCTCAAAAGCGATGCGCCTGCGATTCAACAGTTGACGTACCTATTCATTGATTTCCACAGGCAGGATAGGCGACAATGGGCTGGCCAAAATGCAATACCACCGAGGAGGACATGATGATCACGGAGGATCCCTTATGGGACGGCTACACCTTTCATACCATCGGTCTCTGGGTCGGCGCAATCTTCACCCTCATCGCCCTGCTCATCTCGTTCTTCCTCATACTCATGCATGCGACCCGGTATCTCAAGCCATGGGAGCAGAAACACATCATCCGCATTCTCTTCATGATCCCGATCTACGCCGCCGTCTCGCTCCTCTCGTTCTACTACTACCGACACAGCGTGTACTTTGAGGTCATTCGAGACTGCTACGAAGCCTTTGCCATCGCCTCCTTCTTCAGCTTAATGTGCGCATACCTGGCGCCCGACCTGCACCAGCAAAAGATCTACTTCCGAACCATCAAGCCGAAGAAGTGGGTGTGGCCGATGGGATACCTCCAGAAGATCACAGGAGGTGCTGAGAAAGGCTGGTTGAGGAATCCCAGAAGTGGGCTGACTTGGTTCAATGTAAGCGTTCTTCCTCTCACCTTGCAGTGCAAGACTAACCTGGCGGTAGGTGATCTGGGTGTCCATCTTCCAGTACTGTTTCATCCGCGTCTTCTTCACTATTGTGTCGGTCATAACCCAGGCCCTGGACCTATATTGTCTCGAGTCGCTCAGTCCAGCCTTCTCCCACATCTGGGTCATGGTCTTCGAGACCGTGTCCATCACGGTCGCCATGTACTGCTTGATCCAGTTCTACGTCCAGATCAAAGACGACATTCGGCAACATAAGCCTCTCTTGAAAATCACGGCCATCAAACTGGTCATCTTCCTCAGCTTCTGGCAGACCATCGCAATCTCTTTCCTCACCAGTGCGGGAGCCATCAAGGCCAACAACACTGTCCAGACCCCCGACATCAAAGTTGGGATCCCTGCACTGCTGTTATGTATCGAAATGGCTTTCTTTGCGGTTTTCCACATTTGGTCGTTCAGCTGGAAACCGTACACGATTGGATCAAAGGAGCAAATGTCCGAGGTGGTTGCTGGGGAAGGAATCGCTAAGGGATCGTACCAAGGGGGGTTCCTGGGTCTCAAGGCTCTGGCTGACTCCTTCAACGGTTGGGACATGTTGAAAGCTACAGGTCGATCTGCGAGATGGCTGTTTAAGGGACGCAAATCTCGCCATACCGACTCGAGTTACACCCTCAACCGCAAGGACACCGATGGAAGCGATTTCAGCGCTCAGGGCCAGACACTCAACACGTTCAGCGGTCAACCCACGTACAGTGGTGGGGTCACGAAGCTGCCACCTTATAACAGGTTCGGCGATGAAGAAGACGCCAATCTGCTCGCCAACAGCCAGAACATGCCCACGTCCCAACCGCCCGCCTTTCAAACACCGGGACAATATGATTCCAATAACGTGAGCGACATCGGGTTGGCAACATCCAGTTATGATGACAAGTACAACGGGCGATACGACCCTCCAGACGGGCGACCGCCACCGCCGCAGTCCTATCCCTCTTACCAGAGTTCGATAGGTGGCCAGGAAAGCGGCACGGTTTCTATACCGTACCCTGACTCGCGTCCTGCCACCCAAGCACATTCGCACCTCGGGGGCCAAGACAGCGATCGTATATACATGGCTCCGCCGCGAAGTCCGGATGCCAGTTTAAGAAGAGGGCCGGACGGGCAAGGCAACGGAAGTTTCTTCTGATGACATACTTGTCCGTTGCATGGTTTATGGCTTGGAAATGGCTTGGAGATGTGCAACATGCAATAACATCGAATGGATACGAAGTTTATGGATCTTTAGCGTAGCAATCGATACCAATTCTCAATTCTCAATTTTCAAATCTCGTTCAAAGCTGTCTGGTCATTTTCAATTCTCGTGCATAGCTCTCGGTCATTCTCAGTCCTCGTTCAAAGCTCTCCACTCATAATGGCGATTACTCTATTTCTTGATTGCTTCTTCTTTGTGATCATCGGGTCCTCCTCACCATGATGAATAAGATGTGCTTCGTTTTATCGTTCATGTGGCTCAGACAATCAGCTCACACCAACAGTCCTTGATCCCCATTATCCACCTGCACATATCATGCCATTCCGTCGTATTTCCAGCAGCTGCATACGTACCTACGTTTGTATGCAACATGCGTGAACTCACCCGAACCCAGCTCCTCCACCACGCAGGTATGCGGTCGAATCGAGCCACGCCGCCCGTTCGTTAATTCATCGATCAATCCCGCTCACTCACGCCCCTCTCGGCCATGACTTCGGCCAACGTCCGCCCTTGTTTCTCGGCAATGAGACTCAACATCCCGCACGCGACGTCTTTGATCTCGTTGTACCGTTTGAGGAGAGTGATGTGTCGTGTTATGATGAGTTGGGCGTGGTCTTGCGCTGCTGCTGCTGCTGCTGCTGCTGCTGCTGCTGCTCTGGCGGGATCTTGACGGGGGTTATTCGATTTCGTGTCTGATGCCGAGGATGAGGATGGAGGTGAGTCTCGTCGTTGCTGGTGTGAGTCTCGTTGCTGGTGTGAGTCTCGTTGCTGTTGCGGAAATGATTTCAATTCAGTAATCTTTTGCACTTTGAGCGCAAGTTGTGCTTCTGTGGCTTCGATGTTGGATTGAAGGGCCGAGATCTTGGTCTGGAGTTGGACTTGTCTTGGATTTTGTGGTTGCGTCATGGGAGTTTGGTCTCGTTCTGATGAGCTCAAGGTCGACTCTGAGTCTGAGGTTGAGGTTGAGGTTGTAGCAAGGTGGCCTGCATGGCTTGTGGGCCTAGAGTCTTGGTGTTGCTCGTCTTGTTCTGCTTCGGCCTGAGAATCTGAGCTGGAGGTGATCTTTCGTCGATGTGAGTCGGGGGTGTGGTCTGAGCTGGGGGTAATCTCTTGTCGAAGTGAGTCCAGGTCGTGATCTGATCTGGGGTGGATCCGTTGTCCACTCTCGGCCATCTCTACAGTCTAGTCCATAAAGATGAGAACAATCAAGTACAAAGTCTCTCTTCGCGACAATTCAAGCCCTCTAACAACCGAGTTACGTGGACCTCAACTGTTAGCCTTGTCATCGCTTAATTGCAATGCTAGGAAAAGGACCTCAAGCTTTAATTCCTGACACCATGACACCTCTATCCCCTCCCGTAGACTCACACTGAACTGCATCAATCACTCTTGCCATTGAAGTCGGTGGCTGATACGAACTCACAGTGCTTGTTCCTCAAGGTCAAGTCACAGACATGTGAGGGGCACGAGCCTTGCAGATGCAGTAAATAGAAGTCTGACAAGCGGTATCCGCGTAAGAGCCCTCTTGCGTGCTACTCTCTGCACTGTCATTCGTCATTCTACAGTATCTCCTGGTGTCTCTGTGATCTCACTTCCTAGTCGACGTCAGACACGCCATTTCTTTTCGGCTGCTCATCAAAGTCTCGCTCCTGTTAATTACAATGCGAATGCACTTCGACCTGCCCCTTTGTCCACCCAGTATTCGCCGTTAAGTGAGGCGAGCACGCGCCGCCGTCGATGGAGGCCCTTACTCGCCTAATAGAACCTTGATTTTCTCCCGATTCAACATTTGACAACGCGCAGGCAATGTTCGTGTTCACGCCCTTGCTCGGATCGCAGAGCAACTCCCGGGCATCCCAGTCGATCCTCGAGTTAGATGGCGACATCAGGATCCTCGTGGACGTCGGATGGGACGAGCGATTCGATACCCGTCAGCTAGCAGAGATAGAGAAACATGTCTCCACGCTTTCCTTCATCCTGCTCACTCACGCGACAACATCTCATCTCGGCGCATACGCTCATTGTTGCAAACACATTCCCCTCTTTACCCAGATCCCCGTCTACGCGACAGCGCCGGTGATCGCCTTCGGACGCACCCTCCTGCAAGACCTCTACTCCTCCTCTCCGCTCGCTGCCACCTTCATCCCCGGCTCTGGCTCGCTTGACACGGCCACAAGTGTAGACGACAAATCCCGGACGAATATCCTGCGACAGGCCCCGACTTTCGACGAGATCAACAAGTACTTCACCCTTATCACACCGTTGAAGTATTCTCAACCTCATCAGCCCGCAGCATCGTCGTTCTCAGCCCCCGTCGAGGGCCTCACCTTGACGGCGTACAACTCAGGTCACACGCTGGGAGGCACAATATGGCACATCCAACATGGCATGGAATCAATAGTCTACGCGGTGGACTGGAACCAGGCAAGAGAAAATGTCATAGCCGGGGCGGCTTGGTTTGGAGGCGTCGGAGGTGCCGAAGTCATTGAACAACTGCGGAAGCCCACGGCTCTCGTGTGTAGCAGTGTCGGCGCAACAAGAGAAGCACTCACAGGTGGGCGGAAAGCGCGGGACGAATATCTACTGGCACATATCAGGAGCAGTGTCGCTAAGGGCGGTACCGTTCTCATCCCGACCGACTCGAGCGCAAGGGTCCTGGAGCTGGCTTGGCTCCTGGAAAAGGCGTGGTCTGATCCCTCGAATGCCACATCCCTCAAGACCGCCAAAGTATACATGGCCAGCCGATCCGGCAATGCGACGCTGCGGCATGCCAGGAGTCTCCTCGAATGGATGGACGACAGCATCGTTCGCGAGTTCGATGGCGAAGATGAAAACGTCGCGCCCGTGCAGACACACCGGAGAAGTGGCAGTAAGCAGATCAACGGGACAGCCAAGCCCTCACGGCCCTTTCAGTTCCAGAACGTCAAGATTGTCGAGCGGAAGACTCAGTTCGAGAGGCTTCTGAGAGCAGAAGGTCCCCGGGTGATTCTTGCCAGCGACTTGACCATGGACTGGGGCTACGCGAGGTCGCTCTTAGACCATGTCGTGCAAAGGCCGGAGAACCTGATCATTCTCACTGAAATGCTCGATCCCCGTCCGGGTTCTCAAAGCCCAAGTCAGGTGTTCTGGACCTGGTTTAGGGAACGCCAGGATGGCGTCGCACTCGAGAAAACCCAGACAGGCGAACAACTGGAACAAGTGCATAGTGGAGGCAGGATGCTCAAACTGAGAATCGTTGAGCGAGCGCCCTTGAACACGCAAGAAAGTCAAAGATACCAGCAATACATCGCCACGCAAAGACAAATTCAAGACTCACTGCCGGGCAATGATAGAGATCAGGCCAACGCAGAAGACAATATGGATGATGGTGATACAACCACGACGGAATCAGAACAGTCGGACGATGAGCAGCAAGGCCGTGTCTTGAATGTCTCTGCTGCCATCGGCCATGGTGCGCGAAACAAAACGGCTCTGAGTGATGCTGATCTGGGGGTCAATATCCTGATTCGCAAGAAAGGCGTCTACGACTATGACGTGCGGAACAAGAAAGGCCGAAACGCCCTCTTTCCATACACCCATTCTCGGAGGCATGGCGACGAATTCGGTGATTTCATCAAGCCTGAGGACTTTTTGCGAGAGGAGGAGAAGGAAGAACAAGACGCCGCCAATGATAATAAGGCCGGAGGTCAGTTGGGCCAAAAGCGCAAGTGGGATGAAGCAAACGATCGCAAGCAACCGCCAAACAAGCGAAATCGAGGAGATGCCATAGACGGTCCAGCTGCCAACAAGTCAGAGCAGGACTCGGATGCGGACGACTCGGACGAAGAGAACCAAGTCGAGCATGAAGGATTCCAAGGCCCCGCGAAGATTGTATATTCCACATCCGAAGTCACGGTCAATGCTCGGTTGGCATTTGTCGACTTTGCTGGGCTGCACGACCAGCGGAGTTTGCAGATGCTGATACCCCTGATCGGACCAAGGAAATTAATTTTAGTGGGCGGCAACACCTCAGAGACAGTCGCTCTGGCTGCCGATTGCGGTGAGCTTCTGGGAGTCAAGGTCGCGGGAGCAAGGGAAGAATCCTCCACGGAGATTTTCACCCCTGCTGAAGGTCAGACTGTCGATGCAAGTGTTGATACTAACGCCTGGGTCGTCAAGCTCAGTCGCGAGTTGGCGAAGACGCTGCACTGGCAGAACGTCAAGAACATGGGGGTAGTAACTATCCAGGGTCAGCTCAAGGCCGAGAGGAGAGGTGACAATGTCCAGGAGGATGACCCTCAGACCAAGAAGCAGAAATTGGACACTGAGGTGTCTCTCGCGGCGGAGTCTGCCCCTGCTCCTCCTCTTGAACCCGTCCTCGATGTTCTGCCAGCGAGCCTCGCTGCTGCGACGAGGTCCGTCTCGCATGCCATTCATGTGGGGGACTTGCGGCTTGCGGAGCTTCGGAGGCTGATTGCCATGGACGGCCACGCCGCCGAGTTTCGCGGCGAAGGTACTTTGCTTGTGGATGGCATGATTGCAGTCAGGAAGCTGGGAACGGGCAAGATCATCGTGGAAGGCGTGCCGGTCAGTGCGGCTGCCATGACACCAAACACGGTGGACAACTTTACGCGTGTGAAGCAAAAGATCTATGACGGGCTTGCTGTTGTCGCAGCTGGTTGAGGGCAGATGAATGAAGCAAGGCTCGATGCCGGCAGTTGTTTGTATCTACAAGTCACGCTGCACATGGTCTGCCATATACAACCATGGAACGACCATCTCCTCGTCTCCGTTGTTTGCTCTCCCCGTGATCAAATCCTTTTGCACCTGACATGTTACGTTGCTCTCACCAGATACACTACAAATTGGGTTTCGACGTCTGTTTGCAGCCCTTTGTCACAGAAGCCTTCTTTGTGTCAGGGCACAAGCGCCAACGAACTGCGCCTCACCGCCAGGTCGCCTCTGCAAAGATTTCAGCAAGTGGCGATCCCGTTGGTGCTTTACCCTTCGGTAGGTCTCTCGTCGGTGACCCCCTTCGATTGTGCTATGTTCTGTCACGGAGACGACCTCGGTTCGTGACTAGCTGATCTTTCCTGCACTTCCTCCCGACAGGTCAGTGTTCAAGAGCGTTTGCTTTCGCCGCTCGGTTTCGTCGCCCATGGGCCCAAGCTGTACGTTTCTTTGTCACAATGCCTATCACATCGCACATCCATGACTACACGGCCTTGATTGCACTACTCTGCATGATGGCAAGTACGTACAGCCCAAGCGTCAGCGCGACGAACGGCAGTAAGTGTCAGCACCAGCAGCAGCACCTGGGCCATGGCTTGCGACTATAACTAGCCGGGCCTCACCCATGTTCTTTGCGGGTTTCTCATCAAGCAAGTCGGCAGATCACCAATGGCAAGCTTCTCAGCTCGATCCCCAGTGGCAGCTCTCTAGCCATCAGAATCTTGGTCACCCGTGGCAAACCAGTTTGTTCCTCCTGGTCCAAGGACAATCTCTTCCTTGAGCCCTCAACTATGGCCTGTCTTCCACCACAGTACTTTGCCATGCCAGCCCCAACTCCAGCCCCAGGCCTCATCGGCAAGACCGTCTACCACTACATGACTCGAGATGGGGGACCACCAAACAAGGGTGCTCCTCCATCTGCACCAGCCAGCTCAGGCGCTCCGCCTCCTTACTCTTTGATTCCACCATTTGGGCCTGCACCTTCTCAGCCTGGCCCGGTCATGATCCCGCCAGGCCCCGGCTTCCCTGGGGCTATCTGCGTACCGAACGGAGCAGCGCATCCAGCACCACCGGCTCCTCCCACTGGGCCAGGCTGGTACAGTGTGCCGGGACCGCCGCCTCCTCCTCCGCCCACCGTCCCAGGCGCGGTTGCTCAAGCTGCTGCTCAACCGCCCGAGCCACCAGTCAGCGGAAATCGGGTCAAGGACAACTTGGTCGTGGTCAAGGACAGTGGAGGACATGGTCACGTAGTCTCGAAGCACAACGCCACGTTCCATCTGTTCACGTACAATGTCATCGACAAGTACACGGTCAACGCCAGCAACCAGTTCTACATCCCACCCAACGCGTGCGAGCCCTTCCGCGTCATGACGGCCGCGTACTCGATGCCCCTGGAGGAACTGATCGAACAGCTCGACTGCATCAAGGTTGCGCCGGCTGGGTGGCCACGCTACGCCATCGGACTGGCAGAGGCATTTGACCTCGGCAACGGATGGTTCCAGGTTGGGTCCAAGTTCCACCTCGACGAGGAGAAGTCCAAGCAGACCATCAAGGAGGCGTGGAGCAGTAGCATCGGCGAGGCGCAAGAGTCTCGACCCAAATACCTGATCCGTCTGCCGGGCAAGCGCGGTGGCTCTTGAGGCTGCAGTTGTGTGTGCGGATCGACCCGACCATCGTCTTTCCAGACCAGGGATTTGGACAAGTAGTCGACCGGCGCGGATATCAAGGCGTACTACCAGCGTGCTTTCGGATCAGGCATGTAAAAGTGTCGACCATCAACGGACTTTGGCGGCATTGGAGACTCGTGTCTGACTGGCTGTTCGGCTGCATTTGCCTGGTGCAGTTAATCGCCTTTTTTGCTATTTCAACCTCAAGCGACAGCAGACCGCCGAGAGGGAGTGCGATAGCTTCCGCCATCTCTCTTGCCTGTTTCGGCCTTGTAGGTTTCCTCTGCCGTGGCAAATGGGATGGATGCCTGGACCGCCGGGTGATGGGCCACACAGTGTGGACAGTCCGGAGTACTCAGTACAGTAATAATGCTTGTCGTCGAGCCGGGCAGAGTCTTTGTGGTTCTCCATCGCTGCGGAATCACTGCTGATTGGACGATGAGCGTATTCTCTCGACTAAGCAAGCAGCAGCGTGGCAGGGTCCTCGTCCTCGTCCTCATCCTCGTCCTAGATACGGAAGAATTCCACTCTGATAAGCGTCCGTTTGAGGAGTCGCGTGCATACACGAACCGACTATTACATACAGTACATACAGACATAGATATCAAGATCAATCCATCCGCCTTTTCTTTCTCCCATTCTCTCCTCAGATTTGGTCTCTTATTCTGACTCTTTCTCATCTCTCTCTCATCTCTCTCTCTCACTTTTCTCTCATCTCTCTCTCATCTCTCTCTCTCACTTTTCTCTCATCTCTCTCTCACTCCCGTCTCACTCCCGTCTCAAGTCTCGCATAACTGTCTTACACCCACCATGGCAACACAACCTCAGGACTTCTCCTCTCCCCACGCCACCACATACCCCATCGCCCACCCACTATGCCCGCTGAGCGCGGCCGAGATTTCCACCACCGCCGAGCTGGTGCGGTCCGTGTGGCCGACGAGCGTCGATCTGCGCTTCAAGGTCATCACGCTGGACGAACCGGCCAAGAAGTCCATGATCCCGTATCTCGATGCCGAGCATTCCGGAGGCGCTTTGCCCAGTATCCCGCGCAAGGCCTTTGTTTCGTATTATATCCGCAACACGGTGAGTGTGTTTTTCTTGTCTCGACTCGTATTACTTACTGGTATATTCCGCGTCATTGAGCCGTTGTTTGGTGGACTGGGATCATCTGTACATTGGATGAGCTAGGCTCTGTTCTGGAGTGAGCGGGCATTCTCACTACACTTGATTTTGTTCTGCGATGCTTGTGGGAATGTCTCGGTCTACGAAACTGGGCAGCACCCAACGTTGTGTACCGTGTCAGCAGAGCCAAGCTGATCCCATGACATGTCAATACTTGTGCTCTGACTTCATGCTGACTCTCATGCTAGGACCGGTTCCACGAGGCCGTGGTAAACCTCTCTTCTCGCTCCGTCGAGAGCAATGTCCGGCTTGGTCCCAATATGCACGGCAACGGCGACTACGATGAGATCCTGCAAGTCGAAAAGAACGCGCTGGAAGACGAGAAGGTCAAGGAAGCGATCAAGAAGTTGCAACTGCCTGAAGGGGCGGCGATCTGTGCAGACCCCTGGATTTACGGTGAGTCTTGTTTTCTTCACCTGGGCAGCAGCACGGACTGCAGGTAGAGAAAAAGCTCGTCCTCATACGTTTTTCCTTATCTCTAGGCTCTGACGGCGTCAACGACGACGACCGCATGTACCAGGTCTTCCTGTACATGCGGGACCCGAACAACGTGTCGGAACTCGACTCGAACCACTACGCCTTCCCGCTGCCCATTTCGCCCGTCATCGAATGCAACGAGTACAAGGTGATCCGGATCGACTATCTCCCCACGGGGGCGGACAACACGATCCACGAGCCGCGACCGTGGCAGGCCAAGCCGGCGAACGAGTACGTGCACGAGTACCAGACGCTGCGGACGGATCTGAAGCCCCTGAACGTGATCCAGCCCGAGGGGGCGAGCTTCAAGCTCACGCCCACGGGCGAGACGGGCCACCTGCTGGAGTGGCAGAAGTGGACGGTGCGCGTGGGCTACAACCAGCGCGAGGGCATGGTGCTGTACGACGTGCGGTACGACGGGCGGCCGCTCTTTTACCGACTGTCGCTGTCGGACATGAACATCCCCTACGCCGACCCGCGGCACCCGTTCCACAAGAAGTCGGCGTACGACCTGGGCGACGCGGGCGCGGGCGCCATGGCCAACAACCTGAAGCTCGGGTGCGACTGCCTGGGCCACATCCAGTACCTGAGCGCCGTCATCACCGACGACAAGGGCACGCCGACGACGCTGGACAACTGCGTCTGCGTGCACGAGCAGGACGCGGGCATCGGCTGGAAGCACACCAACTACCGCACGGGCCGCGCCGCCGTGGTGCGCAACCGCGAGCTCGTCCTGCAGAGCATCATCACGGTCAGCAACTACGAGTACATCCTGGCCTTCATGTTCAACCAGGCCGGCGAGCTGATCTACGAGGTGCGCGCCACGGGGATCCTGTCGACGCAGCCGATCGACCACGAACTCGACACGGTGGGCGTGCCCTTTGGCACCGTCGTGCATCCGGGCGTGCTGGCCGTGCACCACCAGCACATCTTCTCGCTGCGCGTGGACCCGATGCTGGAGGGCCACGCCAACCGGCTGGTGTACGAGGAGGCGCACGCCATCCCCGTCACGCCGGACTGGAACCCGCACGCGGTCGGGTACGAGGTCTCGGAAACCGTGGTGCCGCGCGCGGGCGGGCTGGACCTCGACACGGACGCGAACCGCGTCTTCAAGATCCAGAACGCGGGCGTGCGCAACCCGGTCAACGGCAAGCCCGTCGCCTACAAGATCCACGTGCCGCCGTTCCAGAAGATGCTGTCGCGCCCGGAGTCGTTCAACTGGAAGCGCGCCGAGTTTGCCGACCACAACATCTACGTCACCACCCACGCCGACCGCGAGCTCTACGCCGGCGGCTGGTACACGAACCAGTCGCGCGGCGGCACGGGCGTGCGCAGCTGGGCCGCCCGCCAGGACAGCGTCGTCGACACCGACATCGTCGTCTGGGTCCAGTTCGGCATCAACCACGTGCCCCGCATCGAGGACTTCCCCGTCATGCCCTGCGAGATCCTCAAGGTCAGCTTGAAGCCCGTCAACTTCTTCGACCGGAACCCGGCCATCGACGTCCCGCCCAGCGAGCAGGTCTTTAACAAGAGTACCTTGGTCGCCGAGGCCCATCGCCAGCCCACGCAGGAGTTGGTCGTTGGCACCAACGGCAAGGCCGTCGTCGAGGACTGTTGCGCCGGCGCCGGCGCCGAGAGCAAGAGTAAGTTATAAGTAGGTGTGTCGGTCTGAAGGACTTCAAACGGCACCAGGATTCAGTCTTCAGGCAACCAATTGATCTGTCCGCGTCAGCAACACACACACACACAGGGGTCGGATGATGTCGTGGCAAGTCCATCCGAGTCAGGTCAACTCGAGTTACCACATATGCGGTGAAACACGGGGTATGATGATTTCAAAAGGAAGTCGTCAATTCAGGGGGACTGGCTCGTTTGGGATTATCTCTACATTGCATTTTACGACAGATGTATTTGTCCCGATGGACACAAATTTGAGAGATACAGATAGCATGCACATACATACGCACGCATCATGACTATGAACACGGCCATGAAAACGACCATGAAAGCAGCAGTATAACATTACTCCCTGGGAAAGCGCATCCGCCTCTTCCCACAGTAGAGTCGAGCATCTTTGGACGGACAAGCACACGCCGGCGAGGGCGTAGAACTGAGGCGTCCTTCACGCATGCGGCCCCATGAGGCGAGCTTGGATAAAAAGCACAAGCAAAAAGATCCGAGCGGAGCACGATCTATTCATTGAGTGGACCATCGAGCTGGTTCTGCCCCAACAACGTCCAAATCGAACGCGGGTCTGTGGGAATTCAAGCCAGACCCTATCTTCTTTTGCCCCTTGACCTCCTCTCCTATAAGCCTTTGTCCAGTTGTACGCTGGATCGTGTCTATCCCCGGCCCGGACAGAGCTAGAGCTCTCTCCACCTATTACGAATGAGGTGTATATCCAACAATAATGATATGCACAACCAACAGTGTTCAACCACTGTGGATTTTCCGGAAAAATCCCCACCAGAACGCTTGCTGTGCACCAGATTTCCCAATCAAAATCAATCAAACGAGAATACACGGCTCCCTGGCTGCGGACTGTGTTACCGCTGCTTCTCCAGACTCTGAAGGCTGACCAACTCTCGATATCTCCCCTTTAACGCCATCAGTTCGTGGTGAGTGCCCTTCTCAGCAATCACACCTTTGTCGAAGACATAGATGATGTCCGCCTTCTGAATCGTGCTAAGTCGGTGGGCAACAGCGATTGTCGTGCGGCCTTTGGCGGCGACGTCGAGGGCTGCTTGCACAACTTTCTCAGACTCCGAGTCGAGTGCAGAAGTGGCCTCGTCAAGCAGTAAGACTTTAGGGTCACGGATGAGGGCTCGCGCAATCGCGATACGCTGCTTCTGGCCACCAGAGAGCAAGGCAGCTTTGTTGCCAACGTCAGTGGCGAAGCCGTCTGGTAAAGACATGATAAAGTCGTAGATGTTGGCGTCTTTGCATGCTCGGATGATCTGCTCGTCGCTGACTTCGCCTCTGTCAGCGCCGAGAAGGACATTGTCTTTAATAGTGCCCTGGTACAAGGTCGGCTCTTGAGAAACGAGTGCCAAGTGAGATCGGTAGTCGTTGAGGTTCAGGCTAGAAATTTCTTTGCCATCGATGTAAACACCTCCGGCGAGAGGGTCATAGAAGCGCTCCAGCATCGCGATGGTGGTCGACTTTCCACAGCCAGAGGGACCGACAAGAGCGATGTATTGCCCAGGCTTGACGGTCAAATTGAGTCCACGAAGGACTGGGACATCCGGCCGAGTAGGGTATCGGAAATGGACATCTCTAAATTCAATGGTGCCTTCCACATGATCAAGAGGCGCACCATCATCCGACCAGGGGTCGATAGTTGGCTGGCGATCGTACAACTTCTTCAGTGCGGCCGCTGAGTTCTTCGCTTTCGACATGTCTCCCGCGAAGGAGAATACGGTGCCGGCAGACTGAGCACCAAAGATGATCTCGTTGAAGACAAGGAAGAACTGGAACAAAGTGTATTCTCCACGAGCCAGGAGTTTTCCACCGTACCAGAAGCCGAGGGCGAATGCCAGGAACATACCGGATTGCGACGCTGCATATAGTGACGAATTCTTCAGATTGGACTTGAGGGAGACAGGCAACTGAGCTCGCAGCTGGCGTCTGTATTCGGCGTAGATTTCGCGTTCTGTAGTCAACGATGCGACTGTCCGGATGGCATTTGTATGCTCACACGCATATCCTGCTGACTTCTCATAGTGTTTCTGGTTTTCTGCCGAAAACTTCGCAAGGACCCAGAATCTTAGGAAGCCCGTGCCGAGAATAACGGGCAACGCGCACATGCAGACGAGAGCGAGCTTCCAACCGATGGCGAGTGCCACCACGATCGCGACGATCAGGGTGGACGAGCAGCCTGTGTATCCGTCAGCGCATGCCACTATCACCAGGTTAATGAGACTTACTGATTAGTGTCCCGAGCGTTGCCCCAGATATCGACGCCAAATGGGTGGTCTCTGTCGACAGAAAAGATGTGAGAGCACCTGTCGAGTTTTGGTCCTCGTCAAAGAAGGAGATGTCCTGCCTCAAAAACCGCCTGAATGCACCATCTCTGGCTCTCTGGATCAACCGTTCGCTGCAATAGGCAAAGGCAATGCCCTGGGTACACATCGCAAAGAGGGTCACGAAAGCCAGCATCAGATACATCAGCGACCAGAAATTGATATCGTGACGGATCTGATGTCGGAATACGTCAGGCGGTCGTGACAGTGCGATGATGCACTTCGCGAAGAAGACACCTTGGACGGGTTGGGCGGCCCCCGAGATAGCAGTGAAGACGAAGCCGATGCACAGAATCCACCATTCCTGAGCGTTGAAGCCTGCGATGAACTTGATGATGGTCCAGAGAGAGTACTTTGCGTCCTTCTGTGGCTTGTTGTCGGCAAGAACATTGGACGACACAGATTTCCCACTTCTAGTTCTGCCGAGTGCAAGCTTCTCGTCATCGGGATCCACCATGGCAGCACTGCCTCCGGACTTTGTTGATTGGATTCGAGCCAATTCAGGTTCGCTGGCCTCAGTCGAGTCTTCGGACTCGTCCTCATCCTTGTTTCCAATGCGTTGAGCAGAGACTAGATTGAAATAGGCCTGCTTGCGCTCGAGGAGTTCGTCATGAGTGCCTTGTTCGACAATGCGTCCCTGCTGCATTACCACAATGTTGTCTGCTGTCTTGATGGTGGATAGTCGATGAGCAATGACAATCGTGGTCCTGCCGATTGAGGCCGCTTCCAAAGCATGTTGCACCACGCCTTCAGACTTTGTATCGAGCGCGGAGGTAGCCTCGTCCAGTAGAAGGATCTTTGGATCGGAGACTATAGCGCGGGCAATTGCAACACGTTGTTTCTGACCTCCGGACAACAAGAAACCACGCTCACCAACATGGGTGTCATAGCCATCAGGAAGCGACGTGATAAAATCGTGAGCATTGGATTTCTTTGCCGCGTCGATGATACGTTGGGTCTGCTCCTCCTCGGTCTCGTTTTCGTACTTTGAACCGACTAGGCCGTTCTTGATGTTCTCCCGAATGGTTTGACTGAAGAGAATGGGTTCCTGCTGCACGAGCGCGATCTGTTGTCGTAGCCAATGCAGGTTGAGCGTGCTGATGTCGTGGCCGTCAAGGAGGACTGTGCCGCCCACCGGGTCGTAGAACCGCTCGACCAAGCCAACGATGGTGGACTTGCCTGATCCAGAGGCGCCCACAAGAGCAGTTGTCTTGCCTGCGGGAATCACCAAACTGACGTCCTCCATAACCACAACCTCGGGTCGAGAAGGATATATATGCTTGATGTTTCGCAGTTCAAGCGTGCCCTCGACTTGATCCAACCTCTCGCCTTCTTCAGACAAAGGGTCCACCGGCGACGATCGGTCGATTATTGAGTAGATCTTGGATGCCGCACCCACACCAGCTGCAAAGTGTTGCATATGCGGACCAACATTGCCAAAGGAGAAGGCACCGATCATAACGGCGAGAATGATTGTCAAGATATGCGCCAGGTTCGTCTCATTGCCGACGTAGAATCGCGATCCCATCCAAAAGGCCAGGCCATAGTTCAAGAAGAGGAGACAAAGCAAGGCTCCAATCATGCAGGCAAGAGCACCCTTGCTGCGAATACCCCAGCGACGAGCCTCGAGAAGGTGGACGTTATATTGCCTCGCCAGCTTGTCTTGTGTGCCGAACGCGACTGCGTTGCGAATCGAAGCCAGGACTTCTTCCGCCACCGAGCCACCAACTGCATACGCAGCTAGCGATTTCTTGTTCCATCCTGCCATTTTCCGGCCACCAGACCCCATGACAAAGACAATGGCCACGACAGTTGAGAAACATATTAGGGTGAGTTTCCAAAATCGTATGAAGCCAATGATGAACGCTGAGAAGAAGGCGGCCACGCCAGTCAGCGTCAGACCAACCTTCTCGCTGATAGCCTCCTGGATGATATTCGTGTCTGCCGTGATACGGGTCGTAACCTCTCCTGCTCCGACATGCTATGTACCGAGTTAGCCTGACCTAGCAGAGAACCTGGGGCACTTACGTCAAAGTAAGCAATGTTTTGCCTCAACACGGCGAAGAGATATTGCTCGCGGACTTTCGAGGTGATGTGTTCGCCGGTGTAGATGAAGAGTACGGTTGAGATGTATACCAAGAAGAACTCTCCAATCGCCAGATAGACAAAGTAAAGCACGTATCGATTCACGGTGGAATTGAAGCTCCGTAAGACGTCCTGTTGTCCTTGAGCGAAGCCACTGAAGTTGCCCGAAAGATTGCCAAACACGACCGTCATCAGGGGAAGGACCGCTCCCGCTCCGATAGCCGTAATGCAGGCTATTGCAATGAAGATTTTGTCCCACTTCGTCGCGTAGCGATATAACGTCCAGTACGTGACCTTGACGTCCGGCACATCCAATTGCTTCTTTATAACGCTCTTCTCGTGATCAGGCAAGTGAGCCAGGGCGGCGTCACCTTCTGGTATATCCCGTACTTGAACAATCTTTGAGTCATACTTGTTGAGGTCTGGCCGCGTGTCTGAGTCGGAAGACTGCGATACGGGCGAGGTAGGCGATATTGCAGAAGTCGGCGACTTCGGGTTTGGAGACACGGGCGTCGCGGGCGGTTTCTCTGTTAATGGGTCCGTATGCTGTTGCTGCTCCGTGACGATTCCCAACTGTGCTCTCTCCTTCTCCTCCAGATTCTGTTCAATGGCCGTCGCCGCGGCGGGCAAGTCGCCCTGGCCCGCGGGATTCATGATGGTACCTGCTCAGACCACCAGAGGTATGGGAGAGGGTCCAAGAATGTAACTCAGCACCTCATGGTCGAGCCGAAAGTCGGAACAATACGTTCGTAAAATACGCGTGGATTGATGCAATAGAGCACGATATGGAAGATCTCAGAGGGTGAGGGTTCGTACTTCTGTTGTGTAGAATAATAGACGAAAGGATGCAACAGTAGAGACCGGAGGAAGTGATGCGTCAACGAAGGTATGTATGTACACGGTCACCAGGCAGCAATTGACAATCTCGGGCCCGAGAAGGACAAAAGTATGAATGGTGTGGAAAGTGGTGACTATGAGATGCGCTGCCATCGGACGTTGGATTGCACGGGAGGGCGACACTCTCCGGCATGGGCGCGCCCGTGGCCTCGCTTGGAGCGCCTAGAGCCAGTGATAGGCGCCGCGGTGGGGTTTCCTGTCGTATTCTGGCTTCTCCGTCTCGCGACCTTTACTCTTCCCGGCTACGGATGGCCGTCCCACCTGCATAACCCGTTCACAAAGTGCTCGTTATGCGGCTTAGTGTTGGCCACTCTATGGTGCTATTCCCGGTGGTTGACAGAGGAAGCGGCCCAGCAAGACACGATGTGGGTTGGATGCTCGATCCGGGGCAAATATACATGAATTTAGGCGAGTCTTCGCCCCACGCTGAATTTGAGCGGCGGGTGCAATTGTTATATCCATGGAGAGGTGCCTGTCGTCGGACTACGCGGTTACGACACCCCATCGAGAGAGAGCGGGCCCATACGTATTCGTATACCGTCCTGAACCCAGTCAACCCAGTTCCTCTCACTGCGGCCTGGGATCAGAGGCATCAGCACAAGTTGTGAGAATTCCACGAGTCCGGAGTCCGATCATCCGCCGATTGCCACCAAGGCAAGGTACCAGGACACGTATCCCGAAACTGGAGTCTATGATAAGATGCCATAATCCTCGCGGCTTTGTTCATCTGATAGGGCGGCAGTATGATGAGAGCGGAGACTTTCCGTGGTGAACGTGAGCCGAGTCTCGATCACAACCCAACCAGCGTCAAGTCTAAGTCGAGGAAGACGCCTGTTGCAGAGCGACCATTACAGTTTTGCTCGCTGGACGACTGCCTGATAGTCGTCGACCCTCTTTCTTGCCTCGAGATCACGACGACTCCGGTCCAGATCCCTGGCAGCCAGTTTCCCGCGAGTCTCAGCCGCTTCGTCCAAGTCCTTGACGACTTCGCGGTACAACTCTTCCTTGATCTGTCCGTACGACCTTCCCTGCGCCTTCTGAGTCAATTTCATCTCCGCAATGAACTTGAGCGTTTCATCGACACCTCCAACACCGTCAATGATGCCTTCTTTCAAAGCTTCCAAAGCTGGGAACCTCTTGCTCTCAAGGACCATGTTTCGGAATGTCGTCATACTAAGCTTGACTCGAAACACGCTCGCCATGGCAGGTTGAAGAGCTGCACCAAAATCAAGCTCGTTCAGGCACAAGAAACCCTTGTGAGGATTCATGATGCGGTAGTCGTGCATCATTGCGGTCATAAGGCCTCCTGCAAAGGCATGGCCATTTATCAGGGCGATGGTCGGCATCGGATACTATGGTGCTGTAAGTATTCTGTACCATTACCACAACCACTCATCTGGGGAATAGTGGTACTCACAGTTATGAGTCGCCGCCATAGTGGGTAGAGACTGTTTGGGAAGAAGGTTGGATCCTTGATGGCATTTTCGAAGTCGAGGCCATTGGAGTAGAACTTGCTTATGGATGAGGTCGTGATGACCACACCACGCGGAAGTCGGTGCTCGATAATATCCAATGCGAGGAGAAACGTCTGATTAAAAGCTGGGACAAGACGGTTGTCTGGGGGACAAGAGAATGAAAGAAGATAGACCTGCTGAGCAGCCTGGGTGCATATGAAGCTCCCCTGTCCGCCTGGAGCAGACGAGCTCGCGCTCAAGGTCGGAGGAACTGGAAGCACGAACAGAGGTGGAATGGGCGGCATGCTTCTTCGCAGCTTTAAACAGGTCGATAATTGCCTGCTGGTTGATTCTGTCTTGCAAGGTTTTCGTAGATGTTGTATTCCGGAGATGGACAGCCGGTAGAAGTCGACCTGGGATATATTTCATTGGCACCTTTGACCCATCACATGTGATTACTTAGTCGAACTGGTTATCTCTAGGCTCCAGACAACCGAGGTGCACATGCTGCCAGCCTGCTTGTCAGTACTCCGTACTCCGTCCAAAGACCTGTGAGACCCAGAGGCAAGACATGCCCCTCCGGCGGAGCACAGCGAAGCCTAAGCCGCCCAAGCTCATGGCTGGGTGCCACGCTAGAGTCGCTAGGTGCCACGTGAGGTGAGTCTGGATTGACTCAGCAGTGACCCCGATGTCCTGACTAAGATATGCCTCTCAGCGCCTAAGGCCAATGACGTTGGTGCCTGTACAGAGTACGTAGATCTCCAATGCGTGCCTTCTCTGTTCTCCGGCTGCAACCGGGCCACTGGCTGAACAGCCTGCCTAAATACTTTCTCGACGCCCACGTCTTTTGCGGCCATATCACCACAATCCGCCTTGCTAATGTGGCTACGGCCTGCGCCCGCAAGAAACAAGAGTGCTGACCCCTCCTATCCAGACTCACTGTAGCCGGCGCCGGTACCAGCGAACAGTTGGACTCCCCTGCCGAGTCAGCTCCTAGAATCTGACCCGGCTTCCAACATGGCGCAACCCACGGAGGGGCCAGCGTTACAATCCACGACGACGACGACTTCCACCAAGACATCCTCGGGCACTTCGACATTATGGGACAAGACCAAGAGCGGCTCCAGTACGGTCTACAACAAGGCACTCCTGCCGGGCTTTAACAAAGCCTACAAGGTTGTTGACAAGCTGGGAGCCCCGGTGAATCGTCTATCGAACAAGGTCGGCTCGGAGGCATTTTGGCCCACAACAATGGACAAGGAATCCGAAAAAGCTGCTCGAATCCTGCGTGGCTTCTGCAAAGATGGCTTCTATGACCAGATAGAGGAGAAAGAGCTCAAGAAGGTGGAGACACGGAATGCGACAGCTGTCGGTGTTCCGCAGGGCAAGCAAAGAGTGATGAAGAAGATCCCAGCGAGCGTTATCAAGAACGCAGTCGGCTTGGCCATATTTACAACGATGCGAACCGGCTGGCTGTTTGGTGGCTCTGGTGGCGCCGGCGTGCTTGTCGGACGACACCCCGAGACTCGGGAATGGAGCGCTCCTAGTGGTATCCAGACCCAGAACATATCGTTTGGATTCCTCGCAGGAGTCGACATCTATGACACCGTCCTGGTCATCAACACATATGAAGCACTAGGTGCTTTCACCAAATGGAGGACTACTTTGGGAACTGAAGTCGGGGTGGCTGCTGGCCCGGTCGGTATCGGCGGCGCCCTCGACACGGAACTAACAAAACGTCAAGCTCCTATATGGTCGTATGTGAAGAGTCGGGGGCTTTATGCCGGCGTTGCGCTGGAAGGAAATCTGGTCATTGAAAGGACTGACGAAAACGCGAGATTCTACGGTGAGCAGGTCAGCGTGACAGACATCCTGAACGGCAAGCTTCGACATCCCCCGGTCGAGCAGTATCAGGTCCTTATAGATACGCTGAGAGCTGCTCAGGGCGAGGATGTGGACGACAGCTTGCTCCCTGACGCCCCCGCTCCGAGTGACATGGACATTATCCAGCAAGGTAAATCACGTGTAACGTCTCACTGACAGTAAACTGATTGGTAATAGGCGGGCCTACCTTTGGGATACCTTCGGAGGATGATCCAGATCCGTACGGCGTGAAGGCTCTGGAAGCTGAAGGCTTAAACATCAGAGAGGCTGGAACGCATCAAAGGCCGCCTGCCGAGACATTCGAATTCAGACCGTCCCCAACCAGCCCGGTGTATACACATTTTTCTCGAAGAAGTGTGGACGGCTCGATCAGGAGCCGGACGTGGAGAGACAGCACACACAGTCTGGCCAGCGTTACCCGAGGGACGCAGACCGATGACGACGACACCAAGAGCCAGGAGAACAGTCCCCACCGAGACTCCTTGCGTGGTCTTGAGGGTCATCATTCAAGGAAACACAGCCAACTTGTAGACGAGCCACACCACGAACGAGACGAATCCTTCTCAGACGTGGATTCAGATGTTGAGGTGTCTACAGCAGTGCCAGTCATGGCACGTGCGAAGGTGGTTGAGGTTCCCAGACGAGTACCACCAGCGTTGCCACCACGAAACCCTGGGCGAGTCGCATCGCCTAACTTAGAGACACAACCCCCTATCGATGGTTTCGATAAAATCGACTTGAACGGAGATGCTGAACAGAGGCACGAAGGAGGACACGTCATTACGCCCACATCAACCCGGGAAGCCAACGACTCTACCTTTCATTCCATACCAGTGACGCCGAGCGACGAGGACAAAGACAAGCCCAACGATATACCCGGCTCCTTTCACTAGGCGATAATGGGCAGTTCTTTCGGAATGTAGTAATGGTTTCATGATCTGTGGCCTGCATCTTCTGGTTGTGATTGTTGCATTGTTGGCGCATCTCTTCGCGATCAATACCAGGATTGGTGATGCGAACGTGTGCAGAGGATCCTGGCACCAGATCAGAAAACGGCCATGCTGTCTCGGGCAGCTCTTCCCGGGCGAGTTCTACCGAAGCAGCACCAGATACGAGTGGAGAGCAATCACCCCGGTGGAAGAGATGTGTGCCCCTACCAGAAGATGTAGCCTCGACAAAAAGGCCTGCTCGACGAGGGATATGTTTACAGCATGCGCTTCCTGCGCGGCACAAGGTGTGGAAGGTCCACGAGCCTGGATCCAAGAACAAGTTCGACGTGAAACACTTCATGGTCAAGAAGAAGGGTCGTGCGAAGGTACATGACAGATGATTTTGGAAGCTCCAGACAGAAGCCAGTGGTCAGCCAGCGTGATGAATTTATGGCTTGAATATGAAATGGTAGCAATGATCTAGTAACAAGTTAGTGTACACCTCACTTTCGCCTCAGATTTCTCTCTGTTTGTCGTTTGCGCTGCACTTTTACTGAGGCACCTGGGTGAGAAATACGAAGTGGGGACACGTGAAAAGGATCGACCGGGAGTCTCGGTGGGATGCGAGTTGCAACGATCCGAATGCGAGTGTACATTAATTAGATCCAGTGCACCGTCACTTATTACCTCTCGACTGAATCTGTCAGACCACCCTCCCCTTTCCTCTATCCCGGAGCCTATATCATGTGTCACCGCCGATAGCTGGCAACGCGTGCCCATTCAATATCTCGGTCAATCTCGCCGGTCCTGCCTGCGCCGCAAAGCCGTCGCCGCCGCTGCCGCGATGGACACGCCACGCCCCCTACGACTCGGTCGAAAAGCAACTCTCCTGCTGTACACCGGCCCTCTTCTTCTCCTAAGCACGCCTGCCTCAGCGCACGGTGGCCATACAGATAAAATCCCCGAGGGCGAAGCCGTCTCACCAGATCCGCTAGACTCGCGGCTATGGATGCACATCTTGCTCATGATCCTGGCCTTCGGGATGATCTTCCCCTACGGCATGGTTCTCGGCATAATCAAGAGTCGATGGCACGTTCCCTTGCAGATCGTCGGCACGGTGGTTGCCACGGTGGCATACTTCCTGGGACACATGCATAAGGGACGACAATTCCGACACCCGAACATCCACGCCAGTTTTGCCAATAGTCTGGTCCTCATGCTCATCGTGCAGGTCGGTCTCGGCGTAGGTCTGAAACTACACCTGGAGGAAAAGAAAGGGTGGATTGGCCGCGTGTTTGGCGGGAAAGCCGGGCGAGGAGGCCGCCGAGGAGTCGTCATTGTCCACGGCTGGTTGGGCAAGACGATGCCCATCGTGGCGTGGACACAGATGCTCTTCGGCGGGATCGTCGCCATGGGCTACTGCCGCGGCGACCACCTGGGCCAGTGTCTCGCGCACTTCATCATGGGCAGCGCGTTCATCGCCTACGGCATCATCATGACGCTGCTACTGCTCGTCGGACAGGCGTGGCTGCGTACCACGGGCCGGAGCCAGGAGTTTTTCGACAGCTGTGTCATTGCGGCGTGGGGCTGCGTCAACACCTTCACCGAACACCGCTGGGGCCACCCCTGGGTCAAGAACGACCTGCAGCATACAAGCATGGGGATAGTCTGGTGGTGCGCCGGCCTTTTGGGCGTGTGGCTGTCCCGCAGTCGGAACGGGCGTCCCAAGCGCAATATCCTCCCTGGCTTGGTCATTCTCATGACGGGCTGGGCCATGAGCGCCCACCCGCAGGACCTGCCTCTGAGCACCATGGTGCACACCGTCTTCGGGTATACGCTGATGGCGGCGGGTGCGGCGCGCATCATCGAGATCAGCTTCCTCCTCAAGGACAGCCGCGGCACAGGCGAGGTCAACAGCTGGCAGCATCTGCCTCCCTTCGTAAGTGGTTCCTTCCCCCCAACACACTCTGTACCTGCTGCTTGTTTCCCGCAACACTGACTAACCCAACCACGCACTTCCCAGCTGCTTTACGCCTCGGGCTTCCTCTTCATGGGCGCCACGGAGGAACAAATGCGCCTCCTCTCCGAGGCCGACGTCACCCACGTCAGCTACATCCTCATCCTCTACAGCGTGGCGTTCCTGCTCTACCTCTTCGTCAACATCCTCCTGTACGTCTACGCCAGCCACGCCTGGCCCGACGACGAGAGCAACGGCCTGCGCGCCGCGGGCGGTAGAGGCTCCCAGGGGGGTAGTAGGGGCAGCAGGCACCTCAGCGTCGCCGGGCCCAGCGGCTCAACCGGCCATGGATATAAAATGTCGGGTCTCCCCAATGGTGGGATCAACGGCTCCGCGAACGGGAGCGCGAGGTTGCCCAAACATCGCAGCACCGCGAGCCAGCAGGTTCGCGACGCGGAGGAGTTCGAGTTGGAAGGCTTGATCAGCGACGAGGGCGAGGACGAGGTGGATTCGCCTCGCGTCGAGAAGAAACAAGGCGGTGTCGCGCTGGCGTAGAGGGGGGGGTGGTTGTTTCAGAGACCGCGCTATGCGGTGACAAGGGGTAGTAGTACGGAGTAAGGGCTCCCTTCTGAGAGGGCATCCGAATACAGACGCATACTAGTCTCCCCCTTTGTGATGGTACATAAACGGCGCACGGTAGAATATCACTCGAGAGCTTTCGGAGGGGGGGTGGTATCACGTAATATCATTCATCATTGCGGGCACACCTGGCGACAGATTGTTCTACCCTCTCAACGGCAGGACCTTCTGGCTCAACACACTCTGCCTGCACAACGGGCACTCGGCCTTCTCCTTGACCCAATCCTGCACGCACGTCCAGCAAAAGACATGTCCACACGTCGTCACACTCGGATCGCGGAAAGGTTCCAGGCAGAGCGTGCATTTGCGCTGCTGACCGGCGGGGATCCACGCGATGGTTTCGTCGTCGTCGAGGTGATACCGCGGCGAATCGAGGACGGGTGTGGATGTATTGGCGCTGAGGCCGGGTGGGAGAAAATGCGGTACGGGAACCGAGGAGAGCAGTTGGTTAGGGGTGGCGCCTGTCTCGAGCGGTCCGGCCAGCTGCATCTCAATGCCCGGACCTACCATCGCGGAGCTGGAGGCTTCCTCCTTCGTCTCTCCCCCGCTTGTCGTGGACGCTGTTGTTTCGAGGTATGTCTCCCGGACATGCAGCGCGGATTGAGCCGCCATCTGTAATACAAGCAACACGCCCAGGACCTCGTATCCCACGCGTTGTTCGTCCGGTTTGATCTGCTTGGTGAACACGTAACGGAGGCCGAACAGGCGTTTGGAGATGTGGTAGTACGCGCCTGTGAAGTAGAATGTCGCTAGACTTAGCGCATAAACGGGTTGCAGGGATGTCAATGTGTCGAGGTGTTTGAGGATGTATTCCTGCGCTTTGAGCGCCCGAGTCGGCCGTTTCCGTCTCTGCTTTGCGTGTTCGATATTCCACTCGAGTTTGGAGCGCAGTCTTCTCCTTAGTGCCGGTAGGGACTTCCCGAGAATCCAGGGCGCGAAGACCACGCTTGCAATGTAGCCGACTCTCCTTCCCAGGCCTGCGAGTCGTGATGTGTCGTCCTCGATCTGGATCACGTCGCAGTATTCTTCGCCCAGTGTTCGGTTGCCCAGGAGCGTGGTGATGCAGAGGTAAAGGAGCTCGGATACATGGTTCGTGGCGTCTGAGTATTTATGGGCGAATCGAGCACCCAACAAGGCCCGGAGAATGGTCGATGCCTGTGTTGAGATGGTGCCGGTGATGTATGCGTCTTTCTGATGCGTGCGGAGGATGTCTGGGGAGGTCGCGAAGGGGTACTCCATTGGAGACGATCCCGAGGAGGAGGAAGGAGGAGGAGGAGAAGAAGTTATCGAGGGAGCAGATGCGGTCGTAGTGTCGCTGGCCATTCTGTTGCTGGTAGAAGAGTCCCAGCGGAAGGAGCACTGCAAGCCATAGAGATGAACCAACAATGATCCAAAGGTGATCTATAGATGAACCGAGGTAGACTGCACAGAGTGCCGCTTCGCACGCCGTAGAATGCGACGCAGAGCCCCGAGAGCTTGAGCTCGCAAAAGACTCGTCGCTTGGGGTGCTCCACCGACTGCATAGGTACCTCTACCTATACTCCGTACAATACCCCTCGTTGGGGCTCGCAATACTCCGTAGGTACCTGGGTCTCTTCCCGGAGCGGTTGTCGGTATCCTGGCGTCCCATTGAGTTCTTACCTCTATCGCAACTTTGATCAGTAAATGAATCTGCTCCGATCGGCTTCCAGAGTTGTTGCTCGCTAAAGGAGCGTCTGTGGTACAAGTGCAGGGTTTCTGAATCGTGCCTGCCTGGGATAAGACAGCCTATTGGTGCCATGGCTCCATTCTCTTCTCCTGATTCTTCTTTCCCTTGATCTTTCATGTGCCGTCTTGGTCTCTCAATTGGATACTCGTACTTCTGTCATCAAAGAACCTTCATGCAGTGTGACGGCCCCATCCAATCGAGGACTCCGCCGTTGCATGCAGCTACTGCGCTGCACCATAAAGCATTCAGCCACATTAACCACTCAAGTTTCCGTCTTCTCATCAAGAACAGTTGTCGATTTCCACCGCCTTGTCCTATCTCACATTTCTGCATGTCATGACGACAGAACCTAAAAAGAGCTGGCCTCGTGAAGGCTACCGACCAGAATGGCTGGCAGTAGGTCTCTACAAAAGAACAGGGGCCCCGCTACCACTGACCCCGCCATTGCTGGGCTTGGTCAATTCACTGACCATATGACAGCTCGAAGATGCATCTGGTGGGCGATATGTCATGACGGGCGATTGGAGTGTCGATGTTCCTACCTATGATGCTGTCTTTTCTGCGTTTGCAAAACAATGGCCTCAGCTGCCGGAAGAGCTGAAAGTTTGTACGTTTGGTTCAAGATGGCACATTCACACTCTCCTACCCTCCCGCTCGACGCCCATTGATGCAATCAACAGGCGACGAAAAGACAGACAGCCAGACTGGAGAGCTCGATGTTCGGATATACAAGCCTGCCTCTGACAAACCGCTGCCGCTTATGATCTATTTTCCAGGAGGGGGATACATTGCCGGCAATCTTGACACTGAGGATGCTCACTGTCGCATCTTCGCAGCGAAGGTGCCCTGTCTGGTTATCAGCGTGAATTATCCCAAGGTACCCACCGTCAATCTCGACGATATCATTGATCTTGCTAGCAAAGCAGTTCCTTGGGTAGGCCTGCTCCCGCTTCAAGTTACTGTTCCCCACTGAGACCAGCCAGTGCCGCAACAAGGCCGAGGAGCTGGGTGATGATCCTACAAAGACTGTCGTGTCCGGCGGCTCTGCCGGGGCCATGCTCGCCGGTCAGGTAGCATACCGCTTCATGTCTGAAGGAGACTATACCTCCATCACCGGCTGTGTCCTGCTCTTTGCTGTAACCCTGTCCTGGAAGTATGATGGCGAGTACAAGCACATGTACACAGCTTGGGAAGAGAACGGACACGCGGGAACTCCAGTCTTCGGGCTCGAGCTCGCCAAATTCATCTGGTGTAGGCATCCCCTCAATTACTGACACAACATTGACTGACGTGGCATTGCCCAGCTCATTTCGACATTGACTTTGATAGCCCGCGCCACCTCATTGGGCTCGCCGACGATCTCTCAAAGTTTCCTCCTTGCTACATTGTCACAGCAGAGAAGGACTGTTTCCGAGATGATGGGAAGGTGTTGGACCTCCGACTCAGACAAAGCGGTGTCAGAAGCAGGCTCGACCATTACGAAGGGCTCCCCCACTACTTTCACGCCTTCCCCAGTCTGGCGGTCGCGCACGAAATGATGGGCAAAGCTGTCGAAGGAGCTCGGTTCGTCTTGGCGTAAAAGTGGGAGGGGAGAAAAGCCTCCGCCGTTGCAATTCGTCGTTCAAGCAAGGCTAGAGATCCGCTCGCGGGGCTAGCTTTCCTCTCCACCACGGAACAACGGGCTTCAGGGAGTGGACTGCTCACTTGAATCGACCGATTAACGGACCACAAGCGTCTTGAGACACTCGAAAAATTCTCTAGCCTCGACGGTTCCTGTGTCCTCCGAGATTTTGACACGTCGCAACACGTGCCGAGACCCCAATGTGGCTGTTCACGCTTGTGAGGCTGTCCCGCGCCCTGGAAGCCATCGCCCACCTAGCGGGCTTGTGGGCACCACTCGCAGGACGAATGGGTGCGCGTTCAGCATCGACTAGACACCTTCCAAGACCTAATCGGGGGCCGCGAGTCTAGAAACTTGACAGCTTTAAACACTAGCGACTTCGCAAAGATGCTTCCACCATTCTCTGGCCAGGATCGTGGAAGTTTGCAGAGGACGGACTCGGTCTCGTTTGTATCCAACACGGTGCCCCGCAAGCTCCCCAAGGTCGACGCTGCGGACTCCCAGCATGATCTGATTCAAATGCTCGCCCCTGTCCAGCCACCGTCCATCCTTCTTTACCGTCCCTTGAACAAGGCAACTCTGCTGCGAAGCCCAACGTGCTGACCGCCATTGTTTACCTATGATAGAAAACGGTTCGGCCCGATCACCCCCCAACAATCACCGGTCTCTCTACGACTACCTCGGGTGCTTTGGCATGAAGTAAGCACGAATTATATCGCAATCCTGGTCTCGGCCAACGGCCAGAGCGTTAGTTGCCGGGCCCTTGCTTTAGGTACTTTCCGCCTGAGAGCAGCCAATTTGCAAGGTTGCTATCCGGCCTCTACGCGAGTGGTCCCTCGTTGTATCGGCCGTTGGCTTCGGCCTCGTCATACCACCACCCCCCTTCCACGACATTACATATACTCCGGCGGGCGGCAAGCCATTGTGCTCCTCAGGAGCTCCTGAAGCTCGCCATGTGTCCAGAAGGGGAGGATGTCGACGACAGTCAAAGCGAGCGCTCCAGTCGAATCACTGCCGATCCTGTAAGCCAGAATGCGAGAGTGATCATTGCATGTTCCCCACCGGAATTATTCCTGACTGCAGACGCTATGACAGGGCATTGCTGACGACGATTCGGCATATGGTGATGATGCGTGAGTTCCGAGTTCGAGTGCTGTTGCTGACTCTCTCTGACGCTGTGCTGTTCAGCTCGACGGAAACAACTTCGATATCGTCGTGGATAAGAGACTATCGCATTGAAAATGGCCGGACATACCACGCCTTCAAAGATGGGAAATACTGGTACGCTTGTCCAGACCTTGTCCGTCGGGCTACAAGAAGACTGACCTCGCGATGGTAGGGGCGCCAATGACGAAGAAGCGATCCAACACCATGACATCGGCCATAACCTCTACCTCAAAACACTCCAAAACCGCCTCTTCCTTGCGCCCATCGGCCCCGACCCGTCAGAAATCCTTGACCTCGGCACCGGAAGCGGACTTTGGGCCATAGAGGTCGCCGACATGTACCCCTCCGCCATTGTCACCGGCACCGACCTCTCCCCCATCCAGCCTACCTGGGTGCCCCCGAATGTACGCTTCGAGATTGACGACATGGAATCCGAATGGACATTCGAGCCAAACACTTTCGACCTGATCCATATCCGTGGCTTGCACGGCACCATCGACGACTGGCCCACCTTGTACCAACAGTGCATGCGATGCTTGAAACCTGGTGGCTGGCTCGAGCAGGCAGAGTACTCTGCACAATTCACCTCCGACGATAACACTATCCCGCCAGCTGGTGGGATCGTTGTGTGGAACGCCGTCGGCCCGGAATGCCACGCCAAACTCAACCGCGAGTTGCAGGTACTTGAATCGATGAGAGGACATATGAGCCGTGCTGGGTTTGAGTCCGTAACCGAGCAAAGATATAAGTGGCCGATCGGGCCCTGGCCAAAAGATCCGGCCTTGAAAGAGCTGGGCTCATGGTGCAGAGCACATATCGAAACAGGATTGGAGAATTGGACATTACGGCTGCTGACTAGTGTGCTGGGATGGACGGCCGACGAGGTTAGGGTGCTGTGCGCGAATGTCAGGGCCGAGATACGGAATCCAAAGGTTCACGCCATTCATCGGATGAACGTGGTTTATGCGAGAAAGCCTGGGGGCAACTAGACCCGAGTCTATGCGAAGAGGGGAAATCCTTTGACACAGAGTCCCTACCAGCGGCTTTTTGCATTGTGAACTTGGGCGGTCATCTGAGCGATTATACGTGGGTCGGAAGTTTTTGAGCGAAATGCGGCTTTAGTCGACAGAATGGTTTGATCACGGACACGAGATATGGCATGGCGGTGGCGTGCGGAGGCGTTTGACATTCACCGAAGCGGAATCTGACTTATCGGGGCGGCACAGTCACTACCGAAGATACCTCAGCAGTTGTTTCTGCAACCAATTCCGGAGTTGGTGGTTAGCGAGTGGGATTGCGGACACGACATCATGCCGCGCGAAAATCGACTTCTGCGCGAATCGAAGCCCGGGCGAGGCAGGACGAGGTCTACACACATACAGGAATACAAAATGTTTCGCAGCGTGACTTGTGTGAGCGAGAGCATGAGATCAGAACAATATACGATATGGTAGGTGGTACCCACGATGTAGGCCTTTCACCCCATTCTACCACAGCATATTGTGCCTCGCCTGTCGCTGATATAGTACATTTCATGGTATTCGACTTCCCAATTACCTCGTTCAGGATACCCTGGAACGTCTGGACACGCAGACCGGTATGTATATGTACCTGTTCGTCGATAAGTATTCGTGAAGCACCTGTCGTCTTTATCTCCAGACCCAATAGCCCCTTTCCATCATTTCACCGACCTTCCTGTAGGCTCGGCCGATTTTCTAATGATATCTTCCCTCGGCTCAATAGCCCCGAGTGCCTTTTTCCGGCTGCGGTTTAATTGCACCGGCAATCCCTGTGCTTCCTGCTGTCGTTTCTGCCAGACCTGGGCTAGAAATTCCTGGCTGGTCGAGAACAGAGGGCGGCGAGGTCGCGGAGTCCCTTAGTGCTCTACCATGGGCTTTCAAGTCAATCCACATGGCCTTCCGGGATTTAGCCGCTTCTTCCCTCGCGCTCCTCAACTTTGCTCGGACCGCTTCTGACGGCGAATTGGGACGATTGGACGCTGGAAGATTGCGACAACGCCAGCTGGCCAGCTCTCCGGACCACACCACGATGGCACGGTCGGAGACTTCTGAGTCTGGATCTCGAGCGAGGTCTGGTTCAATGGTGGAGAGTGTTTCCGTGGGTAAGACTCGCACGGCCAAGTCATCTCTCCATGCTTCGAGTCGGATGCCGTCGCCGTCGCCCCACGAGAATTCGCTGGTGGGATCGTCACTTGATCTTGAATGGTCGGTCGAGACCTTACTCACGACCATGCTACCGACCCGAGCTGCTTGGCTGGAATCACCGACCTCCATGACCAGAAGTTGCGCACCCGCCGCCTCAGCAATGCGACGGAGTGGTTGGTAGAACAGGTCGGCCTGCAGGATCGCCGAGGATTTGATGGATCCACAAGCCAGAGGCACGAGCGCCTCTCTGGGTTCGTGGTTGCGCACGCTCGGCTCGGTCTTTCCGCCCAGCTCGTAGTCCTTGGCTGCAATGTAGGGAGGGTTCGCGATGACCATGTCCCAGGGCGCGCTTGAGAGGGAAGGACGGCTGATGTCCTCGTCCGCCATCCCGGCTGCGGCAGCATTCACGACCTTGCGCAGTTGGTCGTCTGAGTCCCTGTCTTTGTACAGTTTACTTCCCAAAACCAGAACATCTGCCTGGCGGAACGACACAGAGTGGATTGCATCGGGACGGAGAAGCTTCTGAGAGATATTGTGGTGGAGATTCTTGCGGGCCAATTCGACGGCCTGAGGTTTGTCGTCGATACCGACTATCTCGAGATCAAGTCCAGGCGGCAGACTAGGCTTGGTTGGATCAATTGGCTTGAGGATGGAATGCAGCAATAGCGCAATGCAGCCGGTCCCGGTACAGAGATCCAAGATGCGAATCTTGCGGGGCTCCTGCCACCAAGGTCCATCCGTCGGCTGGGTGGCAGCAAGTGCCGCCAACAGCAGCTTCGCCGCCTCTTCAGTATAGGTCTCAGTCTCGGGTCTGGGTATCAACACGCCACGCTGGCACAGAATGTCGAGAGTTCCGAATGGTTGGTTTCCCATAATGTATTGGAGAGGCACTCCCTTCGATCTCCTGTCGACGTTGTGGGCCAGGAGCTTCTGAGCCCGAGCCTGAGCGTTGCCGACGGCCTGGGTACTTGGCACCACCTCCCCAGTTTTGGCGTGGAGTCCCAGTTCGCGCTTCCCGTCAGGAGACCGTGACCTGATTGCGGCGGACTGTGGGCGGGATACTTTTACAGTCCTGGGTCGCTTCTTTTCCGTAGGATCGTGTGCCCGCTTTTGGTGTGTGGTTTCCGAACTGCTATTTCTCTGGTCTGGAATCGCAGCCTTCATGCGGCCAGACATCTCTCCGCCCGCTCGTCCGTCGTGTGCTTGAACTTTGGAGGCTGTATTTGTGTCGATTGTGACGCCGGACTGCCTGAGTCTGATTTGGTATCCCATTTGGGCCTGGTATGATTTGATCAGACGACGGGATTCAACCTTTCTCCAGAGAACCTTGGGCTTGCGGACCCTACCCAAGCCTTGCTTAATCGACTCTTTCGGGACATGGCTGTGTTCAGCTTCGGTTCGACCTCGTTTTACCCCCTCCGTATCAGGCCACCCCATCTCTTGGGGAGTTCCGACTCCCTGATCTGCATAAGGCACAGGCGGTCCTTGACTGGCGTATCTCTTCGCGTTGACGGCTTCGTAGGCGTGTTCTTGGAGCCACCGCAGCTCGTTGCGAGCAGACGGGAGGTCGCGACATACTTGCAAGAGCTGTGTCAGGAGCGGGTTTTCCGAGCTGGCCTGGCGGATCAAGGCTGGGGAGAGACGTGGCATCTGCTACATGTCGTCGGCGGCCTCAGTTAGCAGCTCGCGGAGTGAAACTGCGGCTGTTGCAGAGGTGAGAAGGGTTGAAAGCAGAAGTCTGTGTCTGACAGCGCGTTTCTTGTCACTAGAAATAGTGCAACTTTCCGTCTGACAGCTCAAATTTTGATTTGGAGACTTCATCTCGGCCTCTCCAAGTCGCGTCGACCATCTCCGTCTATCAATGCAACAGCTACGATAGCAAATGGTTGATCCCCTCACATGGACGTGTCCTCGGTATATAGTGACAGGTAGGCTTCTCGGTGTCTTCAGCGCTTCGTCCTCGATCCCTCCTTGACCAACATCCCGATTTCTGCCACAGCCCTCGCAACCATGGTGAAGAAAGTCTTGGTCGGATACGGCATTGATGTCGACGCCGTCAGCGGCTGGATCAACACGCAGACGGGCCAAAAGGCGGACGTGACAAACATTTCCCGCGGTGTCTTTGGTGCTACTGTAGGGACAGACCGATTACTGAAGCTCTTCGACAAATACAGCATCAAAGCGACGTGGTTCATTCCGGGCCATTCGATCGAGTCGTTCCCGAAACAGATGGCCAAGGTACGAGATGCTGGACACGAAATGTTGGTCACCGCTCCGTGCATCTGATCTACGTAATGAGCTGCTGATATCATGCATCCGGCCCCAGCGGACTCCATGGCTACACGCACGAATTCATCTCCCAGCTCTCGGCACAGCAAGAGCGGGATGTGCTGCAGAAATCCATCCAGGTCATCACGGACTTTACGGGTAAGAAACCTCGAGGCTTCACCGCACCGGCGTGGACCCCATCGCCTAGCACGGTCAACCTATTGGAGGAGCACGGAATCGAGTATGACCACTCCTTCATGCATCACGACTCGCAGCTGTACTATCTACCTTATCCGCCGCAGCAGTGGAAGGAGACGGACTACAAGAATCTGTCGGCCGGTGACTGGATGACTCCCATGTCATCACTGCGGCCGTCATCGCTCGTCGAGATCCCAGCAAACTGGCACGTCGACGATTGGCCTGCGTTCCAGCCACAGCGAGGGCCGGGGTCTTCTGGCTTCATCGATCCACACCACATTGAAAGGTTTTGGCAGGAGCAATTCGACTTCTGCTACCGCGAGTACGAGCATTTTGTGTTTCCAATCAGCATCCACCCGCAAGTCAGTGGTAAGCCCCAAATCGTGCTCCTGCATGAGCGGCTCATCGAATGGATCAATCAGCACGAAGGCGTCGAGTGGTGCACGTTCGAGGACATGGCCACCAAGTTCAAAAAGGGCGAGATTCAAGGTGTCAAGGTCGAGGGAGGCGTTGACATGTGAGCCCCCAGTAGAGTTATGAGTGTCTGCCCGTCGATCTCTCACTGAGAGGCCTTGCGAGACTCTAAATGCGGACAGTCAAGCCCGCAGGAAGTGGACTGAGCGCCGGACAGAGAGTCGCCCTACTGCAGAGAGTTGGAGCCTTCTCCGGCCGCTGTCTGTCCCATGACATTGGATACATTCGAGAAGCCGTCCTAAGCCAGAGAAGAGCTAGGCGTAGGCGATCTTTTCCACCGTGTTCGCTGTCATATGTTTGCTGTCTCCGAGCCTCCTTTCTTCCATCCCCGACCCCAGAGTCGTAACATTCTTGCTCCATATTGCCCACGGCAACTTCCCTGGCTCTATGCAGGAACCCCAGGAAAGAGAACGAAGGTCCGACGGGCCTGCTCACATGCTTCCGACGCGCCGGTGTCACTCTTCATATTCTCGTTGGATGGAGCTTCTCGTCACCGACTCGTACCCCGACGCCATCGATGATTGATCACCCTCGTGTCCCTAAGGCCTAGGCGGAAGATGGCGCAACTCTCGCCCAAGCGAGGTGGCTAGTACGTGCCCGCCAATCGCGAATTTGCCCTGCGAGACTCCTAGATTAGCTGCAGTCCTGCAGACCAGCGCGCGGGAAGAGGGAATGTGCATTTGCGGCCCCAGCTTGCTGCGGCCGAGTCCCACGCGCAATGTCAGCCTCCTCACCGCCCCTTTGGACCTCACTCGGGGGTTTCCTGTCCCTTTCTCTGCTCCCAGCGTGTAAGCAAACGACCTGTGCACAACACTGATGTCCGTCGTGCGCTCGCCGCTTGCGATTGATCCGGAGGCAGAGGGTGGGCGCAGGCGTACGAGGTACAGTGGTGCAAAGGCGAGCTCCGTGACCGACTTCCCCGTTTAATGCTGGACAACCACACCATCCCCCAGGCCTAAGGCGACACCGAGTTTTCGGTTCGGTGCCTGACGCGGTGGATGCCCTGAAAGGGCCTTGCATGGCATCTTGCAGGAGAAAGTCAGCCTAGGCACACGCCGGACAGGCCTGGTAATTCGTCGCTCTGGCCGTTGGCTGGGTCGACGGTACCGAAACGCCACACAGTCACCGCATCTTTGACAGCTGACACAGAACAGCGGCAGCACGGAAGAAAATGATCTACCTGGCCAAAATCCATTCTGGGTCGACTACGTTTCCTGGCAAGGGTTGGACGTACTCGGTGCCTGACTGGGTCCATCCGTTGACATGCCTTGACACTTTTGCATCACCCCCGGTGCTTCGTATATGCCGGCCAGCTTCGTGACGGTGTCACCGCTCCCATCGGGACCTGCATATAAAGGTCCTCCATTGCCCAGGGCGCCATATCTGTCTTTCACATTCGATATCCTGCCCAGAGACAACTCCAGCGGGAACGTTGCTTCTAGGAATCTACAGACAAGACAAGCACTAATCGACAACATGGGTCGCGGCCATTACGATGTTGCTGGGATCCTCAAGCCCATGGGACCGCAGAGACCGAGTCCCAAGAAGACGAGAGACGCCCACCAGAGCACACCAGGCCAGATGATGCCAGCCTCGACGCAGGGCTCATCTCCGCGCTGCCACAAGCCATCATTCACGCACCACTGATGCCTTGCTGCGGCAATAGAGGCAAGGGCCAGCAAAACAGTGGGTCGCACGCTTGATCATGAGCATGAGCATGGATGGATACAAACAGCAGACGTCAAGCCAACTACATACATATCCCGAGCAACCCAAAGACGGTCCGACCATTCATCCATCACCGCCTACTCCGACGATCGATCACGTCAGACAACATCACCGCCTGCCTGGAACATATCCGGACCTGGATCGATATCTCTTTCAGCTGAGCACCGTTTCCATCTGACACGGCTTGCCACGTCCGTACACTTGCACCGTTCGGTATCCGAGCTTCCTCGGCAGCGCAACGCCAACGCCAACGCATCAGTGCGCTTGCTCATCACTCCGAGCGCCATGGAACAATCAAATCAAACCAAGCATTTACCTTGTGCGGCGCTGGAGTAATGAGATGCGATGCGGTGTCCACACACTCGCTCGATCTGCAAGCACGGGACGACTGGCCCTGACCCAATCCAACTCGACCTTTTTTCTCATCTCTCCCACGGTTTCAGGATACAGGCGGACGGATCTGAAGGCGCTAGATGGTGACTATACAGTACGCAGCAGGAGGAGCACGAACAGTTCTTACCGTCCGCTTGGGATTGAGGTTCACTTCTCTTCGGGTGGCTGGCTGAGCTTACGAGGTACATGATATGACGTCCCTCAAGGATGCGATGCGATGCGACGCGCCATACATAGTTAGTACAGTACCGTAGCACTTGGCCACCGACGGGCACTTTGGATGTGTCGGCCCCAAGAGATACAGCTCAGCTGAACGGTTTCATGCAAGACATAGAGGATATATGTAGTCCGTACGGAGTAGTTGCTTCATAATCACCTCACTCCGTACTCCATGCCCCATACTGCGTACTCGCGTACCCATATGATCTCTGACGGGGAATCTGGGAAATCGCATCACTGACCATGACACTGCATTGCCACCGCCAATGCCACTGACTTCGCATCACGCCGGCACACGCGCACGCAAGAGGCTGAGTGAGTCGAGTCGAGTCGAGCCGAAATACGAGGGTTGGAATTGATTAGTTATGCACGGACCGTGAATGACATCAACTTGAACGTGAGCATGAACACGAGCATGAGCACGAGCATGAACATGAGCTTCATCAGTAGTCCATGAGGTGGCGCGGCCGAGTGTGAGCGTGAGCGTGAGCACGCGAGACGCCTCGCATATTTCGCCACCCACCTCGGACTTTTCCTTATTGTCCTGATTTTCAGCCTCAGCAGCCTCATTGTGATCAGCCTCAGCTTGGGAGCTGCAGTACCGCGAGTGCACAGCGCACAGTGCACAGTATCTGACTTCTACGGACGCAGTCTTCATACACCGAACTGCATCAAATGCCGCGCTGGGACTGGATTGAACTGCTGAGCGCAGCACAGGGCCGATTTACCCACTTACAGTAGGTACCACCGCCACTTACCATCGTCGGTACACAGTAGAGTATGATCCAGTCAGAACACGAGCTGCCCAGTTGACAGTATCCCCTTTCGAGTGCAAAGGCGTGCAGTGCGGGACAGTCCAATCCAATCCAATGCAATACAGTACTAACAGTGTTTCCCTGAAGTCGTCTAGCCAAACACATCTTGTAATTAGTTACCCCCGCCCGGGGGCGGCGCTCTACTTGTGTACACAGCCGGTACAAGAACGTATGGGAGATATTCCTCAGCGCCTGTGACAATGGTGTATGAAGAGGGAAACAGGTTACTACATACTACCTAGGTATGCAATAACTTTCTGATGGGTCAAAGAGAGCGTTCGCCGCCGAGCACACTATGCATTACTGTAGTTGGCGCTACTGATGTATTCCCGGTAGTGGCACTGTCTGGTCCATACGCTCGGTTTAGGAGGAGGAGCAGAAGGAGGAGAAGCAGAAAGGAAGAGGAAGAGAAGAAGAAACAGGAGAGTAATCAACTACGCACTGTACTCGGCAACATCGACGTCGTGCGTAAAGTGCCCGAACTGAACTGAGCTGGGCTGAGTTGAGTTGAGCTGAGCTGAGTGCGTGTTCCTGTTGCTGTGCATGAGCATGGGAACTGAGAGCTGACTCCCTGAAGGGGCGAGTAGATACTCTACTCTTGGAATGTGGGCTGCGGCCTTTGGGTTGTGGCCTTCAGGCTGGGTACAACACCAAGGTCCACCCTTAAGATCGTCTATTGAAACATGCTATGTGGTCCCTCGCAACTTTACTGGGCCAATATAGTCAGTCCATCAGCTACTGTTGTTCATTATGTAGATGCATTTTAAACGGGTCAGTAAGTTCTCTGTTGTATGTGAAAGGGAGAGCCACCACTTGCAACTTGTATTAGATTCAAGGAGTGTTTCATGAGACGACCTTTAAGGGTAGACTGTAGTGCTTACCTAGTAGATGAGCTCACAGAATGGTGCTGTTGTCTCCTGCTCTGATACGTTCCTGTACTGTACCAGTGTGATTACAAGGAATGAGTACAAGTACGAGTCTGGATGTAGAGATTCGAATTTGATGTCGGATTCGAAACTAATATTGGTTTTAATTCCCCCGTTTCCTGTTCCTTTCCATCCGTTCTAAACTGTAAGTCTGATGACTGAGCACATCCGATGTCCATCACAAACGCCTCGCCATGCTATATGGGGTATCTGAACCAAAAATTTCAATGTCAATGTCAGCGTCAACGTCGAAATCAAAAGCCATGCCAAAGCCATGCCAAAGCCAAAGCCAAATCCGCCCGATCTCCGGAAGTATACCACGCACCAACAAACCAGGACCGTGTCTCTGTCTTAACTCGGACGAAAGGCAACCGCAACCCTGGCCATGTAGAAACCCATTCGCCCTTCCCGACACTTCTCAATCATCCGCGGTTACCATTCCGGCAAATGACTGCTGTCCTTTATGACCTCTCCAACCTGACAATCTCACTTTTCAGCACGGCGGCCAAACTTTCGGTCGTGCCCTCGATCTTGGCCTTCTCCGCGGCCGTCAACTGCCCTAAAACCCAGGCACTAACATCATCTTTCTCCCGGGACACAGGTCTCCCAATGCCGACTCCGATCTTGATAAACCTCTCTCCCAGGGTGGACAGCAAACCAGCAGACTTGAGGGATGATTGTACGGATTTGATCCCGTTATGACCCTTGGGCGACGATTCGCCGCGGCGCAATTTGATCGCCCCGAGAGAGGACTCGAGTTCGTCATGAAGGATGACTAACGCCGTAACCACGTCTTCCGACGCAGGATGCAAGTTTGTGAATGCTTTCCATGCTTTTAGAGTCCCTTGACCGGAGATGTTCATCATGCTTGCACTCTGCCAGAGCGTGTATTGTGGTAGGCCGACATCGAGTCCGGAGCTGACTAGACCAGAACCGAGGAGCTTCGATTTCGTAAGTGAGGGGAGACCCAATTGACTGGCGACGTGTTTCAGGACGATGTGCCCCACGGAGTGGCGTGTGGAGTGGTATGGCGGCGGGTTGCCCAGTGAAGCGATCAGAAGGCGCACCGATCGCATCGTAGTAGGGGGCGGGTGGGGTGAGGGTCCTTTGAGTCGGCGGATGCGCAGTGGCGATGGGATGATAGGTGAGAGAATGGGTTTGTTGCCTGTGTCGATCGGTGGAGGTGGGCTGTGGGAGATTATGGGCTTGACGGGCCGTCTCTTGACCACATCTTGTCGAGGCGTCGAGGGGCTCGGTTGAAATTGCGACTCGGGCTCGATCTGAGCAGCGGCTTCGAGAGCCACTTGGTCAACAGGCTCTGGCCAGAAGAGATCCTGATCAGGGTCGCGATACTGATTGTACAAGTGGGACTGCAACTGGGAGGCAGGTCGAGGGTGTTGCCGTGGGTCCGGCTGCGGTTGATTTCTGTCAGCCATGGATTTGACAGTGGTTGCGAGAGCGGTGCTTACCTTGGTTCAAACGAACGACGAAGAGTTGGTCTTTTGTCTGCGGGAATCGCTTTGTGAGTGACTCAGGACCCAAAGTCGGACTGACAAAGCCAGGAACCGAGTGAAAAATCCGGCTGCGTCATGTTCATGGTTGCTCAGCCGCACCAGCTAGCTCTTTTCGGTCTAGCGCTACCAAGGCTAATAAATAGCTCGCGTTGGCAGCAATCTCGGCGAAATATGTGGCGAACTCGCACTGTGTAGGCTCGTGGAATCCCAGTTGGAAATCGGTCAAACCCCTTCATAACGCCGCTGCGTAGGGTCTGGGGCTGCCAGTTCTTCGTCGTCCAAGGGGTACAGACGGTCCAAGGTCCAGTCCGTCTTCGCTGTGTGTGGTGGTTTTCGAACAGACCCAGCACTACTGGTACTGCTCGATGCAGGGGTGGCATCAACGCTGATTTCCTTGTCCTTGCCGTTCTCGTCTCTGTCGACCCAGGATTTGGGCGTGTCATCTCGCGACGTGTGAAGCTTGAGTTTGTGCCACGAGAGCTTCCCGTGTTCACCGTCGGAATGACTCACTTGACGCGACCGGGGCTGACTCTCCAGTTGCAGGACCCCGAGACTGTGCCCAGTAAGCTCTCTCGGTTGTCCTGCCTGGATGTGTGCTGCAGTGGAGTCGCCAAAGAATGACCGAAGATTGAAGATCTTTCGAATCAGTGCCCAACTGTAGGGCATGTTGGCCACAATCATGGCCGTGCTCGCTTCCCGACAGTACCAGTACACCCACTCCGTGCTGTACGGTTGAGTGAAACTCTTGCGCTTGCTCAGGATGGCGCACAGCATGGTGAAGAGACCGAGGCTGAACGGGAAAACAAGCAGAGCTTTCTTCCGGAGGGGCAAGTGCGCCCTGACAAGCAGTGGGAGAGGGATTGACAGGATCAGGATGTCGCTGGTGAGGTTGAAGACGAGGTTCATGATGAGATGGTGGAGCGCAGTCGTGCATTGCACATTATCCGTAGGCGTCTGCCAATAGTCGTGGAACGGGCGGCACCATACCGCAAAGTAAAAGATCTCCATGATAATGTACGTCACCACCACATATCCCGCGGCGACCTTGACCACGAGAGCTTGTCGAAGGTTCTGTGTCAGGCGCCAGTAGAGCAGCAGCAGGCAGCATTTCGTGCCCCATTGCACGGCGCACATGCATTGCTCGACCAGCAGAACTGTCTTGGAGCCCCATGTTCGTTGCGAGATCTCCAGGGGTGTGAGCGTGACTGGGTGGGCTGGATCGATCAGGTTCGTCGAGACGTTCAGGTCAATGTTGAGGAAGGCGATGAGTATGGTGTACAGGCACTGGTGTTGTTAGCCACGCAGAAGCGCACGAGAGATATTGTGGCCGACGGACGGTCAGAAATACCATGACATAGTCCTCTGCCTGGAGCCGAAGCACAGACTTGAAATGCATCAGTCGCACCACCCTGTGTCGGGTTGTCAGCCCTTCTTGAATTCTTGTCTGAGGGTACACGCTGCGTACACTCGAGCAATGACCATGCATACGGTCACCGCGTACCATATCCACGATTCCACCACGAACGGCGCGCCCATGCTGTCTGTCGGGCGTGGGGCGGGTGTAGGATTTCTCGATGACGTCGCTCGCTTCGTTACGAGCAGATCGGGTACCGAAGGACTGGTTCGAGAGGAATGGTCAGGTCTGTCGAGGGAGTCCTCATGTTGCGAGGATGTTGTGCGTCGAGGTCAAGAGGTCAGGCCGAATGCGATCGTGCGTTTGCCAGGGATAGAGCGCAGCTTCACCCAGCAGAGATATCATGCGGCGTCCAGGGACACTGGTGGTGATAAGGACATGCCGACGAGCTAGGCTTGTCCGGGAGAAGAAAGGTGACGGATACAAGCGAGCCACTCTGATGGTCGGTTTGGCCGTCGATGGCGAATCCTGCCGTGGAGAGGCGGGTTCTGTGGGTGAAGTGAGTGACCCGAGGATGAAAGGAACTCGATTGCAACCCGATGATCTTCCATCTCAAACGCCTAGGAGAGCCCCAACGCGGGAGAGGACAAGGTGCGTTCGAGGACTAGCGGGCGCTATCAAGCCAAACCCACCCTGTGTTTGGTCGGGTTGCATTGGAGAGGAGGAGAGGAGGAGAGGAGAAGAGGAGCGGGATAATCGTATCTACGACCCGCAACATCGAACTTTTGCCATGTCAGCCTCTGGAATTGTGTAGATCTTCGATTCTCTCAGTCTGGTGTTTCCTACTGAGGCTGTTTGCATCTGTTTGTTCCACTCCGAAAATGCAAATAGAGGAATGAGTGATGACCGCGCTGACAGTCAACGGTGAATCCGGTCAAGCGTCAGGGCCGCTTCTCCGAACCAGGCAATGGGGAAGCTTGACCTCAAGTGGGATACGGAGTACTGGGTACGGAGCGAGCTGCTCAGGGGGAAGAGATGGGGGTGATGGGGGTGATGGGCTTGGGCCTCGCATCCTCGCCGCGCTCGACGGAGGCTGCTGAGAGCCGTTATAAGCGACCGGCATTAATTAGTGTTGTGGACAAACGAGCACGGGATCGGCGTGTTGAGACGGTTGGATGGTTCACAAAACCTTGAATTCTGACAAGCAGAATGGCGTAAGAAATGACAGAATTAAGACGGTCGAAGGATTCACGCACTCAACAAAGAGCAGAGCGGCCAGGAATATCAACCCAGCGACGCAGTAGCAAGGATCGAGGGCTTAAACCTCAAGGCTTCTCGAGACCCGTAACCAGCTGCTGGCGCCCAGACAGTCAGCAGCGGCGCCGCGTCTACTGTCTGCCGTCTCTGCACGTTATGCTCCAGCGGTGCCGCGAATACTGTACATGTGCTTATTAGATATTCCATTAAGTTTCTGTGTCGTGTATATCCAGTCGGGGTATCATCTCTATGTTCGCATAACGTCCTTGCTGTTCAGGGCTGAAATGAAGGCTCCCTCGTCCCTCGTCCCTGCTTTGGTCGAAAAGACCGAATAGCCTCCTATGTCAAGCCTGCCTCCTGCATGTGTCGTGTTCGCTTTTGTTGGCTCCTGCTCATGTTTCGCTCAGACCGGCTGTTCAAAACCCCCAACTCCGTCATGTGCTATGGGTATGCCAAGGAATGGATGAATAAATACATAAATAAAGGCGTAGAAGTAGAGAGCGTAGACTCCATTTCCGCTCGACTTGTCGCTAGCCGGTCGAGGATCGCAGCTTCTTGTTGGCGTTAGCCTGCATCTTGCGCATGGCTTCGCGGTGTAGATCTTGCATGTCCGGCCGTCTCATCATCTGGTCCATGAGGTACTGCTTTTGTCGCATCGAGTTGCGCTGGTGTTCCTCGACGAGCTTCTGATTCTCCTTTTCGGCTTTCATTTGAGCTCGGCCCTGCTCTGCCATCACACCGGTGATGCCTGTGCTTGCGGCTCGTTGTTGCTGCGAGAGCCGCCAATCGGCCAGAAGCGATTCTCGCCGTTGAGCGTCGGTCCTCACGTCCCTCTGTGGTGGTTGGTGGGAGTTGTGCGACTCCATCCTCGTCCCAGTGGCGAGACCGGGCGTGGAACCGTGTTGCGTTAACGGACGAGGCATCTCAAAGAGGTCCTGTGTGCTGGTATACGGGCTAATGCTGTAGGCCGTTTGGGGCCGGGGCCCGCTGTTGCTCCGAGAGGGCATCATATGTGGTGCCGACACGCGCCGGCTTGACCTCTTCGGATTCGGGAACTCCATAGGCGCGTCCTCGGCAATGGGCGTACTAATGAGGGAGTTCTGCATTGCTGGGTTCAAAGAAGCACGGTTGCCTCTGCTGGAAGAGTGCCAGAGAGATTGGCTGGAGTTCGACCGCGACGGTGCCCTGCCGCCACTCCGACGACGCTCCTGGTCTGAGAATGAACGCTGCGAGACTGGTGGCTTAGCAGCTATTCCAACACCACCACCGCCTGCTTTGACCGTGGGCGGCAAAGTCGCTGCTGGGGAAACTTCGCCAGCCGGGTCTGCGGTGAGATGTTCCTTTTCGGACTCCATTGATACCGGAGCCAGATGGGTGGGCAACTCGTTGTCAACGCCCTCAATGGTCTCTGGCTCGTCATACATCGGTTCTTCAGCCACAGTGATATGCTTCGCCCACTCGTTGGTCCGGTATGACAAGACCACGCTCGACAGCTGGCTCGGCACTGACGCAAGAGCAGTCTTTGTCAAAGTGTCAGCGCTCGAAGTGCTCGACTCCGATGTGTGTGACTGAGGGTTTTGGGGTTCACAATGCTCAGCCCTAAAGGTGCTTTCCTCGGGCGTCTGTGCCTCCTCTGAGCTCGTACCGCCATTCTTGGATATCCTATCAGGCTCAAGGACCAGGCGATCTCGTTCTAGATTGCCGCCAACGCTCGAAGCCGGTGTGCCTTGCCTTTCAGTCGAGGGCTTGTTCGGATCTGCCGCGTCGGCAAACGTGGGTCCAGAGTTACGTGCCGGGGATATGACAATATCCGGCGGGGATGGCACATCCCTGTCCAGCTCGACGTCGATCGCGTGGACGTCCAGATCTTCGTTGTCAACGTCTAGGGTTGCAGCAGCCGAAGATGCTCTGCTGTGTGGCCGTTCCATGTCAATGAGATGTTCTTGTGACTGAGAGTTGCCGTTATAGTTCACACTGAGGTGTTTGGATATCCGGGAAAGTGACTGTTGCGAAAGACGCTTGAGTCTTGATGGATCGCCAAGTTTCCCTGACGGATCAATGGGAGCGGCACCAAGATCGGAGCCACCATCATTCGATGCACCCGGAGCGCTCTTTCCTGCTAGGGAGTCACGGCTGCGTGTACGCTCCAGCCCACTAAGGGGAGTTTTGGTCCTCTCCAGAGCCTGGAGAGCTCTCTGCCGCTCTTTCGTCGCAAGAGCACCGGCATCCTCATCTACTTCTTCAATGACGTCCACTGGCAGTGTGCTCTGCCGCTTGTTCTTTGAGCCGTATGCCGAATCCGATCTCCTGGGGCCGTACGCATCCGTCTCCAAGCTTTCAGAAGAACCTTGCTTCGATATCTGGTCAAGCTGAACGACCGACACAGTGGAATATCGCTTCTCGGGATGTGCGTTCTGCCACAGTACGGTGCTCCGTCTGCTCGCGAGGCGGTCGCCGTATTGCTTCTCCCATTCTGACTTTTCCCGTTCGTTCTGCCGTTGCAAGTGTCGGCCCAGAGCAGCCTCAACGGCTTCTCTCTGGCGTGAGTCCTCCTCGTCGACGACCTCCTTCTCACGCTCCTTGGATCTAATGACCTTCCAGAGTTTCATCTGTGAGAGCACACCGATGATGGTGCCAATCACAATTATCGCATTTTCGACCTTGATTCCTCTTGTCAGTGGGAAAGTGTTGGTGTTTAAGGGGAAGAGGTCGTCGTTGAGATCCCAGATGTAGAACCAGAACTCCTTCAAGCCAGCCCGTGTAAAGCAATCAACGCCCAGTGTGAATGCCGTGGCTCCGCTGAAAGATATTGCTCCGATTAGCGCATATGGCCGAGAGTAATGTGTCCACGACAGCGCCCAGATTGCAATACAGAATATTCCAATGAAAACACCTTTTCCTCCCGAGCTAGTGACGAGGCCACCAGGTCGCAGTGTGAGCAGCCACATGCTGAAACAAAACCCGCCCAGCAGACAGGCAAAGCCTTCGGTGATTTCTTTGAATACCAGGGCTCCACCTCCAAAGATCACACCGGTCATGAAGATTGCTACGAAAAAGCCTCCTTGGACAGCATTCGTGACCGGTGGGTTCATGACATAGTCGACCAACGCCGTTGTCGCAATACTCGCAAGGAACCCACAGGACAGGAATATCTGGACCCATCTGCTCTTGACCCCAATCATCGCATATGTGGCGCCGAGGACAATGAGGAACACTCCGGCGATACCAAAGGCCGGTGTGATTTGCGGATGTATTGGCAGTGCATCTGACTCTTTCTCGTCCGAACTCGACGTAGCATTGCTGGCGGTAGTGCTGGAAGCGGTCGGCAGGATGGATGTCGTCGTAGGGGAATGCTTGACCGTCGAAGAGAGACTTGACGAGGACGATTTTCCAGCCGATGTAGATGATGCCGTGGATTTAGAAGACTGAGCCTCGTTTGTTGAGGTTGTTGCAGCTGCTGTGACCGTCACGCTCTCTGAAGCTGGAGTGTCTGTGGAGACAGAGGGCGAGTCGGTCGTAAGAGCTGGAAAGCCAGTATCTGTCGTCTCTTGCCGTCTCTGGACCTGCGCCCCGGGGACGGCGTCGACAGTCAGAGGTAGAGCCCATCCCAGCGCCGTCCAGACGATTAGTCGAGAGATACGCATCTTGCTTATTGCTGACGAAGGCGAAGCTTATGCTTTCGAAATGCGCTCTTGCCGCAAGCAACAGACTCTCAACGCATTCGGAGGTCTTTTGGCGGTGAAGGTTCAACCTTAAACTCTGCAAGTCCGGTACCAGGTATCCTGAGTAACCATTGACGTGTCTCCTGGCCTGCAATTCGACGGCGGAGAATATCTGACTTCAATCCAGAGTGTCGAGTAACAACCACGGGCCCCAAGAGAACGGAGACAACAAGGCCAAAATGCTGTCAAAGCTACTCTCCTCCCCACCCGGCAACAGCAAGATTCTTGAACGAAGTGGAAAAGAACAGCATCAGGCGGGTCTGTAAGGCATTGAAGCTGGGGACATGGCAAACTAAGAGCGAAATTGAAAGTGATGGAGCAAGCCACGCCCTCGCATCGCCGTACGCTTTGAGACGCGAGGGGCGTCCAATTGTCCAAATCGTCATCAAGAAGCAAGCCAGAACGAGGAGAATCGAAACGTGCCGATTAGCCTCCGTTAACGAGACCCGCTAGGGGCGTAGTCACGCCCACGAGCGGCATCATGCATTTGAAGGCCGGGAAATTATGCGTTAGAATCAAGGCTGGAACTGCCGTGCAAGGTCAGAACTCGAGGACGATTCTTGCGGTGTTACGTGTTCGCCGGAAACTTGACCCTATCTCGAGCACAGGCGAACCAGTATTCGCTCGAGGAGCTGAGAAGGATGAGGTCGACCTGCATGATATCTGCACGAGTGTCTGCAGATACCACAAGAGTGTTGGACGACGGACAACGTGTTTCTCGAGCTTGAGAAGGCCGTCGCCAACCCCATGCGCTGGATCGACAAAAACCAGAAACGGCACACATGGGTGCAGATTGAATGGAGCCGGACAAGCCGGGGTCAACGCCCCGAGATTGGGTGGACGGCGTTATGTAGCTCGGCCAAAGCCCTGTGGACGTGCCATTGGTTGACGACTGTCCCGGGAGCCTCTTGAAATTGACGCTCTCTAGCCTCCAAGCCTCTTTTCGAGCTGCAGCCTGACTGAAAGAGGAAGGACAAGCTGCAGCATCAGGCGGCTCAGGCTGTGTCTGCCCAGTCAATAGGGCATAGAGGGGCCATTGCCCAGGGGGGCGGCTCTGAACTTCCGGGTCTTGGTAAAAAGCTCTTCTGCACGTTGGCCATGTCTCAGTCCGTCTCACAAAGTGCCCTCAACTTCGGGTCGTTGTTCAGGTTTCGAGCACATCTCGCTTGTGAGGACATGTAATATCCTGCCGATACATTGTACGAGTACCAGGTTGTGGAGAGGCCGACAGAGTGACGTGCGTCCTGGTCTCAGCGGAGGATCGCAACACGACCAAACGAGATTTCTGGCTGATGCCCTGTCGCGCGCCTTGCCTGAGGCAAATTGCGGACTTCTTACGTGAATTGGGCGCCGGACATCCACCCACCACGTGAAGCTCCAGGCCAATGGTGTCCGCCCAGACGAAGGAGGCAGCTGTCAAGACGGGGTTGGGCTCAATATACACGTACAGTCCTTACATGTTGGCGCCCAGATTTATATAATCGTCTTACAGTGACACATGGGAAATGTCAATAGCGTTCAATCTTATTTGTTCTGTTGCAGACATTCGAAAGGAGAGTATCACGTAGCTTTGATCCTTTTCCCTGCATCTTATCGGCGTCAGGGAATCTGCGACTTGTAGGGGTTGACGAAGTTTGGCGTAGTGGGTGTTCCGTGGAGCGTCGAAGATGGCGAATGTGATCGACCGCTTTCCACATTTTCCGTGTCACGCTTATGTGGCTTGTGCTCGTTCTTTGTCCACCAAGGGAGCAGTGAGAGCCACGGCAGCCAGGTGACAAGATACCTGAAGCGAGTGGGTTCGCCTTGTAGGAGCTCGTCCATGTCTGTGTCTTCCGGCGGCATGTCTTCTGGGAGTTGGGGGCGGCGGTTGAGAGCATTGGTCGGCGGTGCAAAGACCTTAAAGAACCTCTTCGTGCCGGGGAACTCCTGTCGTGTTCCCGTGAGGCGAGGATCGTTGGGAAGGGAGGGCTCGTCGTCAGGATCTCGCCATTGCTCCAAGACCTTGTACATCAGCCGAACAAAGCTGAAGCATCCAATGATCATAGGGATGAGTTGAGAAGGGAAGAAGATGCGGTTGCCGGGGCCAAGAACTCCCTTGACGTGGTTGAAGTTGAGTGTGCATTCGACCAGTATCATGGACCACAGAATCCAAATCAGATTGCCGATCCTGAGGAAGTAGAAGGTCCTGCGAAGCCTAATGTCGGGGCATTCAGCTATTTGTCTCGCGCCATAAATGCACTCATCCGAGGACTCACTCCTTGTGATACAGTCCAGTAGCATAATGCAGCCGAGTGCTCGTTCGCCATTTCCCCTGCTTTGCCAAGTTGGCCGCCTTGGCCAATCTGGCGTAGAGGGCTAACGTGGATGCGAGCAGCATGATACCAAAGTAGATAACACATCCAACGCAGATGATGATGTAGAATATCCTTACGCCGCCGTCGGCACGGACTTTCGCAAACATGAAGGTATATACCGTCTTGCACGGACCGGCGTCCACGTTGATCTCAGTCGTGTCTGGTTGAATACCAATGATCCAGAACCAGAGCCCGTAGACTGCAACAGCCATGGAAAGCAGCAACCTCAGATGCGTGCCAAAGCCTCCGAAATGGCGAATCCCCTTTGGACCTTCTCCGAGGTAATGGCAAGTGCGATACCCCCAGAGGCTGAGCACCGAGAACACTGTGCCACCAGACAGATGCATCAGAATCACACAATCGAGCTGCGTCAAGACCTTTGTGATGGTACACCTGACCATAGCCACAAGATTCGCAAAAAGAAATATGGCGTTTGTATCCAAGGCGCCGCCGATATCCCCAGCTACGAAGGAGTTGGCCTTCTCTGGTCAGTTTGCAATGCATGAAGGACTGTTGGATCCGACTCACCACCCAGCCAGTTATCCAGGAGAAGTAGATGCCCTCATAAGAACGACGTTAGCATGCCATATTTGTAAGGAACTCATTTGGGGGTCACGAATTACCAGGCGGACGCCAATGCCATAATAGTCAGCCGCTCGAGCACTCTCACATTCATAGTCGTTCGGATTGGGCCCTGTGATGTTCGTTCGAGGAACGAGCCACTTTGTTTTCTGCTCGGTTCCTGCGGCTATAGCAAAGTGCGTGGAAGACAAGAAGAGAAGCATAGCAACATAGCTGAGGAGACTGGTCTTTGCCGCCATGGTGTGAAATAGGATGTGCAAAATATTTCGACAGAAAGACCTACATTCCCAGTTGCAAAAGGATTGCTACTTTCTTTTCAAGCACGCTCGGGCTTGTTGAACATGTAAGAGCAGTCCATGTCCAGGCATCTCGGTGAGGCGTACCAAGGCCTCTATCGAGATGCCCATAGAAGGTTGTACTACTAAACGAAGTCTGGCACCAGAAGCCAGTCTTCTGGCTATTGAAAGTCAAATGCGACTAGAAGTCCAGTTCAGCCCTGCACTGTATGTAGACGGTATGCGCCGATTTGCTTGAAGCTTCGGCATCTCGTCGAATACATTGTCGCGTCGCCCGTTGCGACTTGGCCGATGACGAAACGAAGTTTGCAATCCAACGTCATGGGATGAACATGGTTGCTGCGACGCGGTCGATCAGAAGCACGCGCCTGACGCCTGGCGACGAGGTGAAAGCACGTGAACCCAATAGATTATCAGATCGCTGAACCACAACTAACAAGGTCGGGTCAACAGAGAATCATCAAAGGCATCAACAAGGCCAGCACCGGTGTGCGATCTTCGTGCCGACAGGGTAGGGTGGCGTCGATGGTGCATGGAACAGCTATCATTGCTTTAATGGCGTGGGACGCCTGAACAGAATCTCCGATTCTCATGGTCGTACGCCGCAGGTGTGTGCTCTGGTTGTATAGGCAGTCTCATGAAATTGAAGGTTCAGCCATGTGAGTCCTCGCCCTGGGTAGGAAAAGCTGAAGCATCTGCTCTGTTGATGGCTCAACAGATCTGTTTGTGAGAGGGAAGTGAAATACATTTCAAGGAGAAAACAGCGCCAAGCCTGCGGTGGATCAAATAATCCTATCATGCACTTATCGTTGCTGGCAGTTGTAGCAGTAGATGGTTGTTGATGGCAGACGATGGCAGACGATGGCAGCAAGTCGGCGTAGCTGGAACCAAGCTCAACCTTTTATTTTCAGGGCCTTGTCATTGCCTGGTAGTACTATGTACTCATTATGCTAACACCTACATATGTAACCACTGTACACTCGTTCTCATAAACTCGATCTTTCCACCCAGAAGACGGCAGTCGTGTGCTCTATTACCCATCCCTGCTGTCCCAACTGGCGTATCTGTCGACAACTATGGTCATTCCTCGCCAGCTTTCTCAATGCTCGGCCTTGGCTTTGCTCAGCGGTGGCAGCGTCCCGTCGTAATGAACCTTGAAAGTGCACGGGAAGACAAAGTACGAGCCGTGGTCTTCGCGCATGTAGACGTAGAAGCCCCCGTCTCGCGGGACCTGACGTGTAGAAGTCAGTCAGAGGATCCTGTCATTTAAAAAAAAAAAAAAAGGGGGAGGTGGGTGCTTTATTGGGCAAGAGGTGCGTCGTCGATGCCTTACCTTCTTCAGCTGGCCTTGCGGTCCTGGGGCTCTTCGCAGATTCTGCAGTTTGCCCACAGTTCTGAGCATGGCTGTCAAGGCCACCAAACTGGCTTCCTTGCCAAGGCAGGTATGCTCGCCGATCCCATAGTGAATATATGACTCTAGCGGTCTATCAAGACGAACCTCGTTGGGGTTGGGGAAGACCCGGGGATCTTTTGCCGCTTTCACGAACCCGCAGAAGACCTTGTCGCCGGGCTTGACCGAGATTTTTCGCCCATCGTCGTCGAAGGTATGGTTGACTTCGGCGCGGCGGTAGCTGCCGAAGGTGCCGTTCAGACGGATGCCTTCATTGACATAGCGTAGGAGCTTCTCGTC